GTACTCGGAGTAAGTCTCAAGCTCAGCTTGGTCTGGCACTTGCATAATTTCACCACATGATACTCTAGTACTACTAGTAGTAGGTGTGTTTCGTAGTTTGTTTCGTAAATACCCAGATAAAGGGAAATAGAAGTCAGAAAATTTTGTGAAAAGTTGGTATAGATGATGTGCACCATAATTTCGTGTTTTTTCGGTTGTTTTCGTGTTTATTTCGCAATACTACTTACGGTTAATAGTAGTAGTGTTGCGTACCAAAAATAGGTCCTCGTGATGGATGCGAAACCGATAGTTGGGTACACGGCAGTTTCATGATCAAGCCCCAACATGCAGTATGGCAGCCCGAGCGTGAACTCTGTGCTAATGAGCGGCTCTGTCCGCCGGCAGCAAAAGAGGCAGTCGTCGCCCATTGCCACGTCCGCCCTCGTGGAGATCCAGTGGACTCTTGTGGTCGGAAGGCCCTTGCTCGTGCTCTGCCTTGCTCAGCACGCGCTTTGCTGCGTCTACTTTATCATACAGGGAGCGCTCATGTCGGCCATGACACCGTACGAGACGGTCTTATTGCAAGCATGGAGTCCATTCGTTTCGTCGATTGTTTGTTATGGCGTGGCCAGCCTCCACGTCGCTCCGTTCGTCCGGCTGGGTCACCACTGCTATGGCACTCGCCCAGGTCCGCAATTAGCCGTGAGGAGTGCATCGTCGTTGTCGGCGTTGTCCAAGCTGTACGTGAGTGCGACGCACCTCGTGGAAGTTGCTTGTGAAACGTTCTTGGCTCAGCAAATGGCAAACAAGTTGACTCACTCGTACGTCGCGTACGGGTACGCACTGTGTGTGACCACCAACTGCTGGTTCACCCCGTGGCTGTTCTTCCTTCCCGTGTCCGGCCTCCTTCGCATGCTCGTGGACTTTGTCGACTGTCTCCTGTCGTTCCTGCTCTCCACGGGCATCCCCCTCTTCTACCACGTTGTACCGCTGGTGCAATTAAAGTTGGGAGCCAAATCGTACGAAAATAGTTTTGACTGGCTCGCAACCAACCTCCCCGTCGCCCGCCTCCTCGTCGTCAGTTCCCCCGTCGACCTCATTGCCACCGTGGGTCCAAACTTGTCAAACTTTATCATTCTTTGGCGCATTGTCGGGGAGCTCCAGTGTGCAACCATCCCCCGTCGACGTAGGCGGCACGTACAGCAACTTGATGCTTCAACGACCTTCCGGCGGGGTTCTGTCACGTACGAATCAAAAGCCAGTACCCACCCCACGACCAAACAAACCACTAGCCCCAAACATAAGTCGTGGAGCGATCGCGTTCTGCAGCTCGAGCCGCGGATTTTGAAGGTCATGCTTGTGGTCAACTTCATTTGGGGGGCGGTGGTGCTGGTCTTGTCGACGGTTAGCACGTTTGGACGCCGGTCGTGTCCGCCATTTTGCGTCCAGAAGACTGCGCCGTGGGACCACTTGGGGTGCAACTGCCTATACGTACGACTGCATTGTCCTGAACTGGTCATCACGTCCAACACTACCATGGACTCGCTATTAAACAGCTCCGTGCTCGGGCCAAACGTTCTCCTCCTGCTCGTCAAGTCGTGCGCTATGCCGTACGGACTCGCCGCCGATACCATGAGCCAGTTCCCCACGCTGTTTGCGTTTCGATTCCAAAACACATCCATGCACTCATGGGACATTCCGTCGTCAGCGTTCAACACGTCGGTGCTGATGATGCAGATCTTTCAAAGCGACTTGAACCATATCCCCCCCGCGTTGTATTACCCCCATCCACGCAGCGGGGTGTACATTTCCAACGCCCCGAGACTGGCATCCATCCCGTCGGACGTGTGGAGTCGATGGCAGGAACTGTCGATGCTGTGGCTACGCAATTGCAGCCTCCGCGAATTCCCCTTGGACATTCTCACGATGCCGTACTTGGGCGACGTTGGCCTCGAGTGGAACTCAATTTCGATAATCCCGGCACAAGTTGCAGACATGCCGTCGCTAACATCGCTGCATGTCGACGGCAACCAAGTGCGCCAAGTGCCACAACGTCTCCTAACAGCATCCCAACTGACCGTCTTTGCAGAAGCGAACCCGATCGAGACGTTGGACTGGCATGATTCGTCTATTGCCGCGGCGTTGGTGTCCCAGCGCCTATTGGTCTCATCCACGCCGTTTTGCGATGCATTGACGAAGACGTCGCCCACTCTGCTGGACGTGTCCGTCGTGTGTGCAACGAATTGTGCGAGAAACTGCACCCGGTTCAATCTCGGGGACTTTTTGTGTACGGCGGATTGCAATACAGACTCGTGTGGCTACGACAATGGCGACTGCGACCTCCCCTTCGACTAACGTTAAAGCGACCGGGTTGATGATAAAGTGTTGTTTGGTTGAGATACCCCAGTACTTTCAATTAACTACTTCGTGCAATCTGCCAGGACACGATCAGTGTAACGTTACATCGATCGGTGGCGTTATGACAACATTCACTACCAACTTACAATCAGGATCGTGGATTCGTTGAGTCAGCACGATATGACCACAACAACAAAAAACCGTCAAAGGTGTCAAGAATCGCAATATGTGACAGGGTGGTACACTGTACCTTTACCTTGTCAACAAGCAACGCGAACACGAGCCGGGAGTCTACAACGCTGTTGTGAAGGCCTGCCCGTGTGTGTTTGCTTGGTACCAAACATTCCCCACTTCGACTTTTACAATGCAGTCCTAAGTCCCATATCACGCGATGGTGATTGATCGAAGTTGTCCGTCAGTGTAAACGATGCCGTGTGTCATCGTGGCTTGTCGTGCTGCCTCGGACGCTGTCGTCCAACAAACCAAAACCCTGGAGAAGGTCACGAGTGGGTGGACAACTTCTAGGAGCTGATCGTGTGGCGATCATCAATATGATTCAAATCATGGGGTCGACTGCGGTAGTTCCATGCTGAACATATGTGCCAAAGTGGGGGCGTTCAACGTCTCGTTGCCCCCTTTCGGATAGTATCGCGTCTGTGGCCTAGTGGGGACTGTACGGAAACTGGCGCGGGACCACCTCGCCATCAGCTCGATGGTTCTCGTCGAAGCGATACTCTAGAACGTCGTGCGCAACAAGGGGCTCTTCACGGCGATGGCGTTGCCGGATATCGTGCCCGGTCGAGTGCGCATCATCGTGGAAACAGCAGCAAAGGGGCCATATAATGCAAGGGGGGTAAGCTTCCGGTGGCTGGCATCAAGTCGATCATATCGTTTTGTGTCCATTTGCGTAGGTTCTGTCGTTGTCGTAGTCGTCGTGTCAAATCACCATCCCCTGCGAAAGCCATCTCCCTAAAACCAACGTCACTCGAGACATGTGTGTGTAGAGTGCGCCGACCACTACCAACATGCCAGCGTGGACTCATTCGTCTCGAGGATGCTGCTGCGTCACATTGTCCACATCGTAGGGGCGTCGTGAATGGGGTATAGGGTGCAATCACACACATTGTTTGCTTGATTTCTGCACTCAATTTCTATTTTTAGCACATTGTAGAGTCGTTGTGAACGTCAAGGAAAATGATTCTGACGAAACTCCATTCTGATTTTTCTATTCTTAGCCCACCGTACAGTATCACAGTTGGTTTTGTGAGCATAAAAAGTCAAAGCGTGAGAGGTACTATGGTTGGCTCAAATCGTGCAGAAGTCCGCAACTAACTGTAAAATCAGCACTCCAATCATCCCCAATTGCTACAATATTAAGGGCAATAATGTGCCTCACGACAAGCATCGATTGGACAGCGTTTTACATGAGAATTCGAGAGCTTCGGCCAGCAAACATGGATGCACGACAGCTTAGCATTATTAGAATCTTGAAGACGGAAATATCCATGTCAAATTGAAACAACGAGGCGGCTACATTATTCACTACACACGACAACCAGTGTATGGGAACAAATAATATTGTAATTACAACTGGCACATTGCAATGGTTGCGAAATCCAATTATTAATAAATACTTTCTCAGTACTTCGTCGAGTAATTAAAATAGTGTACGTAGTACTCTATTTTAATTACTCGACGTGCCTCCAACAATGTTCACAGCTTGATCTTTCCTCTATTGTGTGCATGGACAACTATTATTTCAATATTTACTTGCAATTTTGACGAGTCAATTGCGACAGCACAGTGTACTTCGAACTAGTATCTGTTAATTGCTTGCTGGCGCAAAACAATTAAATATTTATGTATCTGTCGAAATGGCTGCAATTCATATAATATTACGTAGTACTACTGTAGTATTACGTAGGACTTGTTTCGACTGTTGTCAATTGGTATAAAAAATACTATATATTTTCCGATACCCACACGGCGTCCATCTATGTCGTCTAACTAGATTTATTTTTGTCCTCCAACACCCACTTGACCACCTTGGATTGGCCGTGGTGTACTGTCGTAAATGACTCGGGTTGCGAGGTTTGAGCCATTTGCTTGGCCAGTTGTTGCTTTGGCTCCAAGTAGTACTCCCCTGTGAGCACCCACGTACCCCAGTGCACCCCCACGGACGCCGCGCTTTGAACTTGGTCGTGGATTTGGATGGCTTCTGCGACGTCGCAGTGTTGGTCCCGAAAGAGGTGGCGCGGGGCGTACGCGCCAATGGGGATGGCGGACACGCTCTGAGGGCCGTACTTGTACCCGATGGCGTCGAAGACGGAGCCAGTCGCGGTGTCGCCTGCAAAGTAAAAAGACCCCCCTAGCCCTCGCACGACAAAGCCTCCCCAGAGTGCCACGTTGCGGTCAAAGAACCCGCGCTTGCTCCAGTGGTTGGCAGGCACACAGCCCACCTCAAACGGGAAAGAAGTGGACGAAATATCCCACCAGTTTTGCTCGTGGATGCTGGTGATGGGAATGCCAGCCTCGGCAATCCATTTGGCGTTGCCCAGGGGTGTAAAGTACGAAATGTTGGCCGGTTGGGCGGCATGCAGCTGGGCCAGTGTCACTTCTTCCAAGTGGTCGTAGTGGTTGTGGCTGATCAACACCACGTCCACGGGAGGCAGGTCCGTCACGGCCACAGGCGCCGGACGATACCGCATCGGTCCAAAGTACTGCGACGGACTGCATCTGTCGGTGAACACGGGGTCGGTGAGCACCACGAACGGCTTGTCGTGGCCTGGCACGGGGACTTCCAACAACACGGATGCGTGTCCTAGCCATGTCAAACGAGCATGACCGGGGGCGATGGGTACGGAAAAATCGGGGGTCAGCACGGGCAAAGTTCGGTCCAGTTCGGCCGCATCCGTTGGCACGCGTGGCCCTGTTTCTTCTTTCGCCGTAAGCCACCACTTGGCCAAATCGCGGAAGCGAGGACCAGAAGCTGTCACTGGGAACCTCCCAGATGCATCGCGCGCCGCGGGCTGCAGGTCAATGTCCAGTTGTGATGTTGGTGGGGCGTTGGCGCTGCTGGCATTGCGACGATGGAGGATTTGGAACGCCGACGGGGCAGTTGCTCTCTTCTGACGGTTCAGGCAGGGAAATAACGCGTGGGAGAAGGCAGACCGGACGACTAGCATGCGAGGGAAGTGGCAGCGCAAAGCATGCAACAGCGAGGAAGTGTCGATTGTGATAATTTGCCGCCACGAAAATCGTTTATCCGGATAATGGGCGTTTTCACCGGATAGGGTATTGACGAAACAACGATGCAAGTCATGATCCGAATACATCGCATGAGTCCACGGCAGCCAGCCACTGGCGCATCTACCGCAGGAAGTGCAGCGGTATTCTTGATCTCATGGGAAAGAAAGCTGTACTGATTGAGTCGAATCGAGCGGGGTATGTATACTAGCAACGTTATCTCAAGTTGTTGCCCGAAATGGGGGCACACGTGCAAGGATGGAAGTTCAAACACACGTGGTGGTGGTGGCTTGATGACATTGGTGCTAGTTGCGATCAAGCGACATCAACGAGGATGATGGCCCGCGCAAGTAACTTGATGTACTACTTCAATTTCATGAGGAATTTCGACCACAAGTGGTCAAAGGGCAAAAGAGTGTCGAGTGCTGTGACAGCAGCTCACATGGACGAAATATGGTTCACGCGGTCATTCACACGTCCGGTTTCAATGGGCATGAACGCATGCGTATGCGGCATGTCTACACCTGCAACCCTCGAACGGCCTGCAATCACCTTGACGTCAACGGTGTCTGTGGGTATAGCGTTCACTTGCACAAGGAGCCCACGGCTTTCGAAGTGACTACGTTGTGTAAGCCTTCATTCATGTTATGTAGGCCTGGACCTACTACACCCTCACGGCATCGCTCGCTCGCCGCCATGGGCCGACGTGAGAGAGTCCGCGCGACGCTGGAGTCGATCGATGGCTCCAACACCAAAATGTGACGAATTCAACGACCATTAATGCAATTTATGGGGGGACCTATGAAATAATATAAAAGAACTTCCATATAATTGCATTGAATTAATTTCAAGTTTTGCTTTTGTGGGGCCCACCTAAAATTCGCCTTATCCAATTGGATTGTATCAACCAATCCTTCGAAGTCGTGAAATCTGGCGCTGGCATTTTGGCGCTCGCGTGATGACCTCGACTGCCGCGTCCACGACGTCTGCGGTGCGGCGGAATCCGCTGGTGAAGCAATTCGTGCTGGAGAATGACCGCCCGTCCAAGATCAGTCATCTCAACTTTGGCATGCTCAGCGCCACGGACATGATGCGCATGTCGGAGGTCCCGATCCACTCCAAGTACACCCACGACGTCGCCACCATCTACCTACAACCTACATAACTCGTCATGACGTAGAGACCTGTTTATCATGCCGACGCGTGAACCTGCTCCGAACGGGGTCTTGGACAAGCGTTTGGGGGTGTCCAACAAGTCGGACGACTGCGAAACGTGCCACCAAAAGCTCACCGACTGCGTCGGCCATTTCGGGTACTCGACGAACGCTTCGCCCCCCGTGATCATCATGTCCTCGTCCTCATCTCCTCGTAGGTACATTCAACTCGAACTCCCCGTGTTCCACATTGGGTACATCAAGGCAACGATCGAGATCTTGCAAAACATTTGCAAGAGTTGCAGTCGCGTGCTTCTCGGCGGAGACGTCCGGGAGTCGTTTCTCCGCCGCATGAAGGACCCGACCGCCGACGCGCTCAAGAAGATCAACACGCGGAAGCGCATCAGTCTCCTCTGCAAGAAAGTCGTGCGGTGTCCGCACTGTGATGCCATCAACGGCACCGTGCGCAAAATCGCGAGTCCGACGCTCAAGATCATCCACGAGAAATTCCGCGCCAAGTCGGCCCATGACATGCGCACCGTGTTCGTGGCGCAGTTCGCGCAGGCGCAAGCGGCCAACTCGGACCTGACCAATGCATTGCTAAGCAAGGCGCAAGAGGATTTGAGCCCCGTGGTCGTGCAAGAGCTATTTGAGCGAATTCCAGACCAGGTACGTCGTACTCGGTGATTCGTTTTGTGTGTGAGCTGATGATGCGTTCATTGTTGTGGCTAAGATAGTTGCTTGCTTGGTTCATATAGGACTGTGCGTTGCTGTGGTTGAATGCGTTTGCCGGCCGCCCAGAGAAACTCGTGATGAACGCGATGCTCGTGCCCCCAGTGTGCATCCGCCCAAGTGTTGCCATGGACGTTGGCAGCGGCTCCAACGAAGATGACTTGACGGTGAAATTGCAAGAAATCATCCAAGTACGTTGACCTCTCCGGTGATTTATATATATATATATATTTCGACGAAAATATATCATATCCTGGACAAGTTCATGAAGTTTTAACTCGTCCAGGTCATGTAATTTTTAGCACAAATTGTGTTTTCTGTGTTTTTTATTTTTATTTGACTTTTTTTTCAACGAAAATGAACCCATCAATCTACGTCATGTATTATCTCCTTGATATTTTGGATTGTGAGAATATTTTAATATATATTTGATTTTTAGGTGAATTTCGCCCTCAAGGCAGCGCTGCAAAAGGGCGCGACGCTCAAAATGGTCATGGAAGACTGGGACTTTTTGCAGATCCAAGTCGCCCAGTTTATGAACGGTGATACCCCCGGCCTGACCAAACTCCAAGGGGCCCCCAAGCCCATTCGAGGGCTGTGTCAGCGTCTCAAAGGTACCTATCTATTCGCTGCTATAAATATATATTTCCGAGATATATTGACGAATAAATCGAATGAAATAGGCAAACAAGGCCGGTTTCGAGGGAATTTGAGCGGCAAACGCGTGGATTTTTCGGCGCGAACCGTCATCTCCCCCGACCCGAACCTGCGCATCGACCAAGTGGGGGTGCCCGAGCACGTACGGCCGCTATTTTATAGTAGATGACTCTTTATTATATATATATATATATATATATATATATTGTAGGTGGCTAGAACCATGACATATCCTGAAAAAGTGACGCGATACAACATTGCCAAGCTTCGCCAGCGCGTGATCAACGGGCCCGCCGTGCACCCTGGCGCCAACTCGATCCGCATTGAAGGTATGGCTATGAAACATATATAGAGAATTACCCCCTTGTAATGTGATAAAAACGAGCTCGTTGTTGGAGAAACATATATTTATCGACTTTGGTAAATACATAGGCCAGAAATACACGAAAAATCTCATGTACGGGGACCGCGCGAGCCTCGCGGACGACCTCAAAGAGGGTGATGTCGTGGAGCGGCACATGGAGGACGACGACATCGTTCTGTTCAACCGGCAGCCGAGTCTGCACAAGATGAGTATCATGTACGGACAGATATATATATATATATATAAGTATAGATGCGTTTGAAATGCAATGATAGTTTGACGTTGTTGGTTGTGCAGTGTTATTTTATTAAATATTATGGTGTGGTAGTGTGCATAATAGGTTTGTGCTGGTTTTGGGTATTATTGATTGTCCTTTTTCACTGAAATATATGGACAGGTGATTCACGGATCGATGAATGTGTCACAATTGAAGCTTACTCAATGTATGGTAATTACATCTTTCAAGATATCGATGTTGCCTATGGCGACGATCGATCATTGGTTCAAATTGCTCCATAGTGCACTTTGATTGGCTAGGACTTTCTAAGCCACAATGCATTCGATTCGACTCGAAAGTCCAACTTCATATATATATAGAGCTTTCAAGTAGTATCGAATGCATTGTGATGGCAAATGTGGAAAAATATAATTAATTTTTATATATTTACAGTAATTTAAAGATTCACGATAAAACTATTTGAGCCGATTTCACCATATATATTACATATATAAATAGGTCGCACCGCGCCAAGGTGCTGCAGTGGCGGACGTTTCGCTTCAACGAGTGCGTGTGCTCGCCATACAATGCCGACTTTGACGGCGACGAGATGAACATGCATCTGCCGCAGACGGAGGAGGCGCGCGCCGAAGCTGCCACGCTCATGTGTGTCCCCAACAACCTCATCACGTCTCGCAACGGTTCGTTCTATATATATATATATATATATAATCCAAGCCGAGAATATACATTTTGAAAATATAGTGGCCAGAATAGTACTCGTATATATATATATCTTATAAATAAAATTCAAAACCATCAAAGGATTTTGCAAGAGAACCGTACTCCTATACATATATTTATATATACATATATATATTCGAAGCCGTCAATATTACATTGAAAATAATTGTCGCCCCTTACCGTGGTCATCATATACTATATATTTGATATACATTCCAAGCGTAAATATATATTTTTGCAATATTATTTGTCCCAATCTGTCTATACTCATATCTATAATGGCTGGCTTTGTAGGCGAACCGCTGGTGGCCGCGACGCAAGATTTTTTGACGGCGTCGTACTTGTTGACGCAAAAAAATATATTTTTCAATCGCGAGCAGTTTTGCCAGGTGCTGACGCTCATGGGCGACGGCATCGACGACATTGAGCTGCCGGAAGCCGCCATCGTGTGCCCGATCCGGCTCTGGACCGGCAAGCAGGTGTTCTCTCTGCTGGTGCGGCCCAATAGACGGTGCCCCGTCAAGGTGAACTTTGAGCTCAAGGAGCGGAACTACACGACCAACCTGAGCATGTGCTACAAGGACGGGTAACGTGTAGCTGATTACCTATATACATGTATACTTAGAACGACTGTGTTAAAAGGACGGGGGACCTCATGTTGATGTAATCGTGTGGTAGGTACGTGGTGTTTCGCAACAGCGAGCTCTTGAGCGGCAACTTGTGCAAGAAAACACTGGGGGACGGGAGCAAGAAGGGCTTGTTCTACGTGCTCATCCGAGACCACGGGTCCGCCGAAGCCGCGCGGTGCATGAATCGACTCGCCAAGTTGTGCGCGCGATGGCTTGGGAATTTCAAAGGCAAGTATATCGACGACTGTATACCGTGAAAACGTGATATATGTGGTGAAAAGTGATTATGGTGGTGTTGCAAACGGATATGGTTTTGTTGGCTGAAATTTGGCGTTAGTCTACTGCAATTTCGAATTCGATATTGCAGTTCGATTTGATATTGAAGCTTATTCCGTGTATGATATATATATATGGTATACACAAGTTGACCAATGCACATGTGGACTGGGCCAAACTATACCAATCAATGATTGGTTGAATTTCGTCGTTCGTGCACATTTGATTGGCCAGGACAAAAATCTTTATTTTCTCCAAACCATTTTGTAACAAAATTCAATTCGAGTTAGTCCACCTATCAAATATTCAGAGTCGAAACTATGGATGTTGTAAAAATATTATATGATGGATGATATATATATATATATATATATATGATTTGAACTGGATTTCAATTTTGGATGAATGAATATGACCCACCAATCAATCATGCTTTGTACATGTCGGACATTTGTCTGGTTAGGTATTTATTCGTTTGCGTACGAACAACTGACTGTATTGACACTTGTGCATTTGTTGTGATTTGTAGGGTTTTCAATTGGGATCGACGACGTGACCCCGTCCAACGACTTGAAAGAGAAGAAGGCGACTCTGCTCAACAACGGCTACGACCGCGCCAACGACACGATCGAGCAGTACCGCCGGGGTAAACTCGAGCTCAAACCCGGCTGCAACGCGCTTGAGTCGCTCGAAAGCGAGCTCAACGGACTGCTGGGGAAGCTGCGAGAGACGGCGGGCGCCGAGTGCATGCGGTCGCTGCCGTTCCACAACAACCCACGTGTACGTGCCCTCCCTATTTGTGTGGGTTTTTATTTGTGGTATTGGATATATATATATATATAGTAGATATTGCAAGAACATGCGATACAGTGGACTCTTGGTCTTGGCATGGTTCAAGAGATTGGATTTATATTCTATTGCGTGTTGTGTGCTCTACTGTATATGCTTCAAAGTATATATAATGAAGAGGACGTCTATGTGATATATATATATATATGTATATGCGAAGGAAATGCGACACAGACAGTGGTCATATCGCATTTTTAGATGGGATATATATATATATATATACGCTATCGTGTGTCCTTTACTATATATATATATATATGCTTCAAAGTATATATCATGAGGATGCAGCTGTTCTGTATGGACGTATCTATGAAAATTGCGAAAACAAAATGCGATAACAACGTCATTGTTTGCATTTCTTTATATTTTCTCGAGACAGTGGATGTTTGATGTTGATTGATTCTATCGCATGGGGTGGTATACTTTATACTCTTCAAAGTATATATATACATATATATATGTATACATTGGCTCGAACAACAGAGGTATTTGTGAAAATATTAAAATATATCATGATAGATCATGGCCGAGTGTGGATCCAAGGGGTCGGCGCTCAATATTTCTCAAATGGTGGCGTGCGTGGGCCAGCAGAGTGTGGGCGGCAAGCGCGCGCCCGAGGGGTTCGTGAACCGGACGCTCCCGCACTTTTTGCCGTACGCGCTGCACGCTGCCGCCAAGGGGTTCGTCAGCAACTCGTTCTATTCGGGGCTCACGGCCACCGAGTTCTTTTTCCACACGATGGGGGGGCGCGAAGGACTGGTGGACACGGCCGTCAAGACCGCCGAAACTGGTACAAATATCTCTCTTGATAGTTTGATCGTGCAGTTGTGTGGTTGAAGTGCAAAGTGCCGTGGAAGGCAACAAGTCCTTGAATTTATGTATATATATTGGAATCTTTCGTGCAAAGTCAAACGTGCAAAGTGCTGTAGAAGGCAACGAGTCCTGGAATAATTAATTTACATACATATATATAAATACACATACATACATATATATATATATACATATATATATATATATATATATACATACATATACATATATAATATACACACATCGCGTTCCTTGAAAATGATATACCTGTATGAATTCAATGTGTGCAACGTACACTTCAACGCACTGTTCGTATTCATGCAACATGTAATTACAAACACATCTATCCACTATTTATATATATATACATGTCGACAAAGTGTGTGTAAACAAATAAAGATACCCCAATAGTCGTTAACATTCATGTTGTACATAGGGTACATGGCGCGTCGGCTGATGAAAGCACTGGAAGATTTGAGTTGCCAGTACGATGCGACAGTGCGCAACTCGGAAGGCAGCGTGGTGCAGTTTACATACGGGGACGACGGGTTGAACCCGGCCTTCATGGAGGGCGATGACCGACCGGTGGACTTCGACCGCCTCGTGGTGCATGTGAAAAACACAGTGCCGGACCGGTCGGGGGTCGCGCTGAGTCCGCTGGAGCTGCGCGAGTTGGGCACGGCCGCAGTCCAACGCGGTGAATTTCAGGCGATTTTGCCGCTGGGGCGTAAATTCCTCACGGAAGTGGAGCAATTCTTCTACAAGGCGGCTGCGACTTTGGCTGGGATTCGAAAGAATGTGCATTTGCCTATGCTTGACAATTCGTCCATGGTATCTTACTGTATACTATCTGGAATGGAGATAACCAAGTGAACACAAACATACACGAGTGTGCTGGATATATATATATATATAGAAAGATATATATATATATGTAGATAGATGTGCATTAAGTATACATATGGATCTGGTAGACGCCGTTTGCAGATTCGTTGGGGGCGGCATTCCTCGCTGAACATTTGGGCCATACCACCAAGGCGGGGGAGGGTCAGAAGGAGAAGATCACGTCGCGCAAGTCGGCGCCCGCGGCGGCCGCCGCCGACCTCAAGACGGACGCGTTGGCGTACGTGGGGCAATCCCAGTGGCACCGCACGTTTTCAAACTCGACGGAGCTGGCAAAGTGGCAAAAACAAGCCAAAGTACACGGCTCCCACGAGCAAAAGGAAGCGGCTCGGTACGATTTATATATATATATATATATATATCGAACCTCGTTGTTGTATCTATTGTCGTCTTTGCTCAAATATAGCCTTGACAGCTGATATTCGAGAATCGATTCGAGTCGGATTTGAAGCTGATGTAATGATGTATATGGTATATATATATATATTGACTTGTATCCCTAATTTCGACTTTTGTGCGATATTCTTTGCCAAATCTATCGATCGATTCGTTGTACTGACTTTTGTACGTTAAAATCATCCAGTGTCACACTAATTGAAGTCCCACACTAATTCGATGTTGAATTGGTCGAAGGGTAGATTTGATTGGCTACTTGATTCGTGATCTGGGTTTTGATTGGTCGATCGATTGTCTGTCGATTTAGCTATTCTGCTCATTCGATTGAGCACCCCACCCATTCCAATTTCGAATCGACTTGACAATATATATATATATATATAATATATATATACTAGTACACATTTGACGATGAACATGTTGACGGAGCCAAACTGTGGAGCCAAACTAGACTACTCGATGATTGGTTGAAATGTGTCGTCGTTCGTGCACTTTGATTGGCTAGGAGACATTCTCGAATTTAACACTTGTCGTTCTACTCAAAAGTTGGAACGGATTTGATAATATGAGGAGACGCTGGTTGAGATAAATAAACTCGAGAATAATAATATCTCTCGTTCTAACGTTTATCTATGTATTTGTATGTATGTGTGTAGACTGCTCGTGCACAACGTGTGCCGTCTCACCAAGGCTCAATGTGAGACACTGTTGCGCCTAAGTTTGACCAAGTATCACCGAGCCATGATGGAGCCTGGCGAGGCCGTCGGCGCCATCGGCGCGCAGTCCATCTCTGAGCCGGGGACGCAAATGACATTGAAAACGTTCCATTTTGCAGGCGTCGCATCCATGAACGTGACTCTGGGGGTGCCGCGACTGAAGGAAATCATCAACGCCGGCAAGAACATCTCCACTCCCATCATCACCGCCGCTTTGGTCTGTGCCGACGACGAGCGCAGTGCGCGGGTACCTATCTATGCATTATATATTGATTGTTTAGATTGTCGTGGTATATATAGGTGTGAATATGACAGAGTTGTGGTGATATATATATATATATTGTGACGGCTTGCGGTGATTACGTCTATTTATGACGCATTGTGATGGTATGTATTTAATCACTGGTGATTTAAACATATATGTTTGACCACTATGACTGATGGTCGTGACATATCTATATATATTATTATTTTTGGCTGATTGATAAGTACATGTATATCTGTATAATGTATTTATTATACATTGCTGGGGGGAGTTCATATAATTTGACATGATGGATTATGGTGATTTAAATATATTCTTTGACTAATTGTAGTGACAATGAATATGCATGCATATACCTATCACGGATAGTCGTGGCATATCTAGACATAGTTGACTGGTTGGGGATATATATATATATATAAATATAAATACAAGTTGACTGTTTGGGGATATATATATATATAAATACATGTATTAATCTATGGCTGGGGTGATAGATTGTCAAGGGGCGCATTGAAAAGACAACGCTGGGCGAAGTAGCGGTGCACATCAAGCAAGTGTTTGCGAGAGACCAGGCGTACCTGTCAGTCAAGCTGGACATGGCCGCCATCGACGCCCTCCAGCTCACGATCGACGCCCGTACGGTGCGCCATGCCATCCTCGGGGCTGTGGGGATGCCGCCCCGAAGCATCATCAAGCTCCTCAAGGAGCCGCATGTGCTTCTCAACGCCCGCCGCCCCGACAAATTGCGAATCCTGGCGCCTGCCAAGTACAAGTCGGCGACGGATTCGCGGTCGAGTATGTACTTTGCGATGCAGTCGCTCAAGGCGGCGCTGCCCAGCGTGATTGTCCAGGGCATCCCGACGGTGAATCGGTACGTACCCAGAAAAGAGCTCGAGCGATTTCTGATGTTTTTTTTTAAATATATATGATGAGTAGGGCCGTGATCAACTACGAAGAAGGTAAAGACAAGAAGCTGCACTTGCTCGTGGAAGGGTATGGACTGAGCGACGTGATGGGCATTCCTGGCGTCGATGGCCTCCACACAACGTCCAACCATATCATTGAAGTCGAGAAAACGCTTGGGATTGAAGCCGCCCGGTTCCTTATTGCGTCTGAAGTCAGCTATATTATGAGCGCGTATGGCATCGGCATCGACCGGCGGCACTTGATGCTGCTGTCCGACATCATGACGTTCAAGGGCGAAGTGCTGGGAATTACTCGCTTTGGCATTGCCAAGATGAAGGAAAGCGTGCTCATGCTGGCGTCATTTGAAAAGACCACGGACCACTTGTTCGATGCTGCGGTACGTCGTCATATATATTGTACACAAATATAATCTGTTGGACTACTTTTGTGCTGATTCTAAATCTATCCATCCATTGATTGATCTTGTGTGTACTGGAATTAGTTTGGATCAAACCATCGTCCAGTATCACACTAATTGAAGTCACACACTAATAATTCGATCTTGAATTGGTCGTCCAAGAGTGGATTTGATTGGTCGTTTGGTTTGTGTTTTGATTGGTCGTATATCGATTGTCTGCCGATTTGGTGCTTGCTGGCCATTCGCTTGAGCTCCCAAACACTCGCAACTTCGAATCGACTTGACAAAATACAATATATAGTTTTGTGTGTGTATCTGGCGTGTTGTGGTTGACTTAATATTCAAAGTCGAATAATATTTTTAATATATTTATCTGTGTAGGTGCATTCTCGAACCGACGCGATTGTGGGGGTGAGCGAGTGTATTATCATGGGAATCCCCATTGCAGTGGGCACTGGCATCTTCAAACTGTTGCGCCAAGTGGACCAACCAGCCCTTGTCAAGCGACTGCCGCTCATGGAACAGTATGCATAACCACCGCCCCAAGAATGTGTAGCCAAAACAAATATCCCGTCGCTGTAGCTGTATCTCCCTGGCCCACTCCTGCATACTAAAATACTACTAGTATCAACCGCATCATGTGTTCCATATATAATATGATCCGACATTGGAGTGTTTGGAGCTCAATCGAATGGCCAGCACCATCGATGCTCGACCAAACAAAACTCAGATCACGAATCAAATGGCCAATCAAATCCACCCTTCGAGTCTGTGAATGAAATTAGTGTGACACTGAACGATCGTTAGAGTACATACAAACGTCAGATCAAAGAATCGATCGATAGATTTGGGGAGTCAGCACAATAATAGTCCAAATTTTGGGTAAAAGGACAATATTAGTACTGGACGATTCTACTGGTAGTATGTCGTCTGTGTATTGTAAGTTAGCACATTGCTAGTAGGACAATCCTAGCTGGTGTTTGGGTGTGTGGGGGGGATGGATTCTATCGGAGACGTTGTTGCAGCACTTGCACATCATAACAAGTAGAAGGCAAGCATATCTAGCTCTGACGGGGAAAACTGCTCGGATGTCGACTGGAATCTTTTGGCTGCGTTGGACGCGCATGACGACGACTCGGTGGTGGTGGAAGTCGACGACGATGACGCCGGTGACTGGGGAACCAAGTAGCAGCTGCTTCTGCTGTCTCTGGATGTGTACAAGTCTGGGTGGAGTCGCTTGACTACGCGTAGCATGGCCCGGTCGGCTTTGTACTTGGTGTCGCTTCGTTTCTTTGTCTTGTTTTGCAATCGCCGGTGACGCTCGCAAAGCAGCAACATCGCGTCCGTGCCATCCTTCTTGTTGGTTTTCAGCGCTCGGGGGTAGTGGCACTTGCCTGTCTTGTACCGGCATCGCCTATCTTCTGGCAACGTTGTTGTCGACGTCATCGTCGGCTTGATATCGTTGGTTCGAACACTCGTAGAGACGATTGAGATGAATGAGTGGGCAGGGGTATGATGGTGTGGTGTGGACAACGAAGACATGTCGTACTCGTGCATTTTGGTGTGGCGTTTGTCGTGCAAATGGCAAAGTCAGACCTGCTTCACGTGCTTTGGGGTGCAAGTGATTTTTGGCTAAACATAGCCGCCAATCCCATTGGTGCGAAAGTAAAACTGCCACCGTCGAGCCGTTTCAAGCAGATCGCAAGTCAATAAGTACCACACTATTTCGACGGAACTACTCGGACAACATATAGAAATGCCAAGTCAACATCAACATGTCGTTATTAGTGTGAGCCAGATCGGTTTCAAGGTACTAGGTACTGGCAGTGTTGTTTTGAATGTAACCGCCGTCGATTGAATTTTTCAAACGGTGCATACGCCAGAAAACGAATATATGAGGGATCGATCTGTGAATCAAAACCACCAGCGGCAAAACTAATCCCTTTGACCTGTCGTAGAAGATCGTCGTTGCAATTTTTACATGGCCTTTGTAGTGCAAACTTGTGTCTACTGTACAACTACCATGCCCTAATTCGTAAGGTGGTGGATATGCCATTGGGGATCCCTTTCATGAGTACTACAGTCGGAACACCCATGGGAATATTGCAGCAGCTCAAGCGCGGAGTGAAACCGATAGCGCTATCACCAACAGGAGAATTCTTAGCAGTCTTGGGCATCCCGATGATCTTCGCATGATGTTTCTCACAGACGCCGTGTTGTTCTCCGAGCGAAGTAGTCCGTCGCAACTATTTGGTCCGTCCCGCGGGCCTCCGCACGTCTTGACGCAGTGCTTCGGAGCCACAACCATTCGGACCATATGGACATGTCAGCGTTGTCGGCGATCCAGGCCACCTCATGCGCATTACTTTGTTCCGTTGCATAGCACGTCGTAGCTTATAGAGGGTGCGGGCTTTCCTCGGTCCCATATCTACGAGCAAAGCGAGGGTGATCCACTGTCAATGGAGGGTCACACGCTCCGCGTGTCTTGCGTTCCCCCCACCCATTGGAGCAAGCGAAATATCGTAGGGGACACAAACAGGGCGACTGGGTCGTCCAGGGATGCGGGGGGCCTTCTACTTTGCAGGTAACGTGGCCTGTAAGCTGACTTGCGAGTGTTGGACGCCATATGAAATCGCTGTGCGACCACAGCTAGGTGGTCATCTCTCCTTCCTGGAAGTTCCAGGACCAACATGTGAATCTCTACGAAGCGGTGCAGATCAATCGAGATGTGGGCAGTCCCGTGTCCGTGGGGATCCACTGGGGTACGAATCAGCTTATCACGGGCGAGCCAAAGCAAACGCTCGCAGTGCTCATGTCGATTGCATCGAAGAGTCGCTTTGTCGCGCTGGACTACTACGACCTAGAGATCATTCCGTGGACACTGTAGACTGGTGGAGTTTGTTTACTATGTCGTATGCATGTTCCATGTAATTAGCCATCGCATCGTGCCTTTGGAGCACTGAATAACATTCTATTAGTAACATTTGCAGAACTTCGGCCTTCACTTTGGAAAATCATGACGATCAACTATCTACTCCTACTTAGGCCTCGTGGACGCAATTCATTCAAATACATCAAGTGGGGATTGGTTTGGCTTAAGCGTAGCAATGCATGACTGCTAGACATGCAGCAGTTAGATGGGAATTGGGAAGAAAACCAAATTTCCACTGCGAGTCGAAGGATTACATTTGCTTCCGATACGTTTACGGATTTTCGTTTGCAATATGATACTTCACTCGACGTGTATCAACTAAATACAATATCATCTGCAAAGTGGTAAACACCACGGACGCTGTCGACGGCGCCCTTGAACTCGTCCTTTCGGCAATCGTACAATTGGCGTTCAATGTGCCGCATGTAGTCTGGGCCGACGTAGTGAAACGCAATGCTGTCTGGCGCACAGCAATTTTCTTTCCACTGGATGCCTCCGATACCTTGGTGGTACATGTTGAACCTGCACAAGTCAAACTTACATCAATAGCCCCATCATTGCATAAGTATCTAATTCCACACTCACCACATGTCGTCTGGGTATTCGGACGGATCTGTAAAGTACACTCCATCTACAATAATGGCCACTCGTGTCGTGCAGATTTGTTTTTTACAGGCATGTCTTACGCGGGTGATTAGCATGCCATCGCTCTCGACCACTCAAGTCCCTCGTACTCGGTGGAAACACGCGGTGCCACGCCATACAAAACGCAATCGCAGCATCGTCAGGCAACGTTTGGCTGTACTCGTCGCTTAAGCACGTCCACAAAGGAAACGACTGCACTGCCAAACGCATGAACAAGCTGTTCATAACAACTCCAGGGCCACCTGAATTGAACACCCACCTACAATTAACACGAACGAACGACCACATCAACACGAATGGACGATCGAGGGTACTCGAATACACGTAGCTGCATACCAATGGGGCCAACGTTGTTGGTACTCTTCCAGCAAGTGTTTGTCCCGGACGTAGTACTCGGTCAGGTTGTCTGTAAGTCGAAATCGATGGCCCAATTGAAGGGGCACCACATCCTGCTGCATGACAATCTCTGGACTACGCAAATACGCCCGTAGATTCTCCATGATCACGTATGCGTCGTCGTCAGCCTTGTAAAACCAGTCAAAGTCGTGCCGGTACAAATTCCATATGTACTGCATGCTCGCCTTATGCTTTTGCCACAAGTGGCTGTGGTCAGACGGGACGTCGGCGATCGCCACTGCCCCCAAGGTGTTGTCGGTAACGTTGCTCAAGAAAACCAGCTTGTCGCATCGTTTGCCCCACGTGTCTTTGATGGCTTGGGCCTTGGTTGCGTGGTTGGGCGAGATGGTGTTGACAAAACACAAGATGCGTGGCAACACGACGTCCGACGAACTCACTTGAATGAGGTTCAAGGCCACGTTCGACTGCTGATAGTCTTCCGTACATGCATCTCTTCTCCTATTGTGTTTTGGCATCGAGGCGTGTGCGTTTACATGAATAGCTATCAGAGCTACCGCCGCTAGGCATAGCCACCTTCGCATTCTTGATGGCATCAACCCAAAAGATCGAACGATGTGCCGGTTGAAGATCGCATGGCGAAGACACACTCCGGATAACCATACCGATGGGGTTTATCCGGATTATGAGGAAAGCACAATTTTTGTCGAGCGGGGATTGGCCAGAAAGTACTTCAATTATCCAATCTGATGGAGCCACGACCAAACTGACGCCACAGCCGCTGATTGTTCGATTCGCCGAACATGCAGCAGCCGCAAGGGTACCCCGCCGCGCCAGGTAGCGCCGCTGGTTATGGGCAGCAAGCTCAATATGGCCAGCAACAGCAGCCTCAGTATGGCGCTCAGCCAGGTCAGTATGACCAACAGCAACAGTATGCACAGCAGCAGCAACAATATGGCCAGCAGCAGCAACAGCAGCAGTATGGCCAGCAAGTGCCTCAACAACAGTACGATCAGTATGCTCAACAAGGCCAATACGGCCAAGCCGCCCCACAGCAATATGCCCAACAAGGCTACGGTGCACAGCCCGCGTACGGCGGCCAACCTGGCTACGACCAGCAGCAGCCCGCCGCCGCCGCTGCGTCGCAGCACAACGTGGTGGCGCCGGCTGTGTGGGACATTGAGGCATTGGAAGCAAAAGACGGCATTCGTTTCTCTTGGAACAACTGGCCCAGCACGCCGTTGGAGCAAACGCGGGCCGTAGTGCCCATGGGGTGCATCTACCAGCCGCTCAAGCCGATTGAAGGCATGCCCGCGGCAGTCGAGTACGACCCCGTGCATTGCAAGAGTTGCGCGGCCATTTTGAACCCGTTTGCGCACGTCGACTTTTTGTCCAAGCTGTGGGTGTGTCCGTTCTGCATCACGCGCAACCACTTTCCACCGCACTATGCCGAGCACATTTCCGAACAAAACTTGCCCGCGGAGCTCATTCCATCGTTTTCGACGCTCGAGTACGAGTTGCCGCAGCGTCAAGCTGGTCCGCCCATCTTTGTGTTTTGCCTCGACACGTGTCTGCCCGAAGACGAGCTCGAGGAGCTCAAAGATTCGATCCAGCAGACATTGAATCTCCTGCCAGACGAAGCTCTCGTGGGGTTTGTCACGTTTGGCACGATGGTCCACGTGCACGAACTCGGGTTCGCCGAGTGCCCCAAATCGCACGTGTTCCGCGGGAATAAGGACTTTACCGCGCAACAAGTGCAAGACATGCTCGGGCTCGTACCCACCCGCCAACAACCGGCCGCCACGACCTCCATCCAACCCGGCCAGCAGCCGCAGCATCCCCCCGCCGCCGCGCGCTTTTTGCTGCCTCTAGGCGAATGCGGCTTCACATTGGACAACATCCTGCGCGACCTGCAGCGCGATCCATGGCCTGTGAATGCCGGCCACCGCCCCCAGCGCGCCACGGGTGTCGCCCTCTCCGTGTCGGTGGGGCTGTTGGAGTCTACGTTCCGGGGCCAAGGGGCCCGCATCATGCTGTTTGTGGGTGGCCCCGCGACCACCGGTCCCGGCGCGATCGTAAACCGCGAACGCACCGAAGACATTCGATCACATACTGATCTGCACAAGGGCAACGCCCCTCTGAGTGCCAAAGCCATCGAGCATTACACGGGGCTCGCGGAACGCTGCGTGGCCGCCGCGCACGTTGTGGACGTGTTTGCATGCGCTTTGGACCAGAGCGGGGTCATGGAGATGAAGGTGTGTGTGGCCAAGACCGGCGGCGTGATCGTGCTAGCCGACTCGTTTGGCCAGTCCGTGTTCAAGGAGAGCTTCCGTCGAATGTTTTCGCGCTTCTCCGACGAAGCCGCCGACTCGGACAGAGACCACTTGACCATGGCATTTGCTGCGACGTTGGAAGTGCTCACGTCGCGCGAGTTTAAAGTGTCGGGGGCGATTGGACCAGTCGCCGCGCAAAAGAAAACCAACTCGGCTGTCCCTGCTAAAAACATTAGCGAGACGGAAATTGGGGTACGAACGAACGACTTTGTATTATGTGAAATCGACATTTATATAGTTAGTTGGTTGTGTATCGTTGTTTTTGATGGAAAAACAATGATGGCAATAAGATGGTATATTATATTTGGCTGACATGGGAGTGTGTGTGCCAAGTCAAGTCTAGGGCAATTTGACTACTATTACTGGCACGTTTTGTATTAGTTGAATTGTTGCACCTTTGATACTCTATGTATTGTGCTTTCGAGTGAAACTTCGTGTTGTGGCGTGGTTTCTCGTTGGAATTTAAATCGATTTGATTGGCTACCTCAGATGGCTCAAAATTATTAGCCAATCAAAACCTTCTCAATGAAATTCAACCAATCAGATCGATTGTGGATCGGTTCGGTCGGCGCGATTCCCAAATTTGTATCAAATCGACAATAGCCGTTTCTATTATCTTTTCAGGTTCAAACTGTGAATGGTTTTCGTGATGGTTTACCACATCCATCCATCGATCGATTCGATTTTCCGTTTGTCTATATAGTAGTCGTCTACACGAATAAAAGCCCCACACGCTCATTCAATGTTACCTGCTTAATACGTGAATATGGGGTATTGGCCAGTAACATCGAATGGTGGGTTGGATTGGTCGATATATATTATATATTTATATCGATTATCTGTCCATGTCACTCTCCCCCTTTTCCCCCTCACTTTTGAAACTCAAAGTGGACACTCTTATCATGTCATTCCATATATCAATCCTCCGTCATGACACTAAATATTGATGGGGGGGTACGCTTTGACTAGGTTGGCGGCACCAACACGTGGAGTTTGGGTGGATTAGATCCTCAGACTGCCGTTGCCATCTATTTCGACGTGACCAACCAGGGCGCGATCGCCCCCGGCAAAGGCCGGTACCTCCAGCTAATCACTCGGTACCAGCACTCGAGTGGCAAGTACCGCACGCGCGTGACGACGATCTGCGGTCCATGGACGACTGACCCGAACGATGTCGAATCGCTCAAGCGAGGTTTCGACCAGGAAGCCGCCGCGGTGCTCATTACGCGGCTGGCCGTGTTTCGATCTGAGCGGGGCGACGAGACCAACGACATCATGCGCTGGATCGACCGGTCGTTGATTCGACTCGCGGCGCGGTTTGCCGAGTACCGCAAGGACGACCCGACGTCGTTTCGGCTGTCGCGCGAGTTCTCAATCTACCCCCAGTTTATGTTTCACTTGCGGCGGTCTCAATTTCTCCAAGTGTTTGGGTACTCGCCCGACGAAAGCTCCACGTACCGGCACTGCCTCCTGCGCGAAAGCACGACCAACTCGCTCGTGATGATCCAGCCGTCGTTGCTGTCGTACTCATTCCAAGGGCCCCCCACCCCCGCGCTCCTCGATTCGAGCTCGGTCCGCGCCGACACGATCCTCCTCCTCGATTCGTTCTTCTACGTGGTTGTCTTTCACGGCGAAACCATTGCCAGCTGGCGCGATCAAAAGTATCACGAACATGCTGACCACGCCCACTTCAAAAACTTGCTCGAGGCCCCCCAGGCCGACGCCCAGCTTATCATGGACTCGCGCTTCCCCGTACCCCGCTACGTCGTGTGCGATCAACACAAGAGCCAGTCGCGGTTCCTCATGGCCAAATTGAACCCGAGCACGACGCACATGTCTGGCGACGGACAGGGCGAGGTCATTTTTACCGACGATGTCAGCTTGAAAGTGTTTATGGAGCACCTGATCAAGGCGTCCGTGCAGACGTAATATGAACGAACGAACCGACGTACATATACAGATATCCGATCAATCAAATCGCTACTGCTAATAAAGAATACGCCACAGTCCTGTTCGAGAAAGAATGAGAGGCTGCTTGCTCTGCAAGTCGCATAAGCGTGTGGTTGAGGGGGGCGGGCATATGTGGGTGAATAACTAGGCACTTGAAAGCGGTTCACCGTGTGCGACACCAGTGAAGCACACTGGTTGCCCTAGTGTTTGAATTTTATAGTTAGAGTATACGTACGTACTGTATGTGAGATGAATTACACATCTCACAAAATCCCAACTTCAGAACGAACGTGGCCCGCAAGTACACAGTACTGTATCAACTGTATCCCATATTCTTGAAGGCCAACTGCGTTCGCTCGCCACATCATATCGCCAGCTGGGCTCACTATTCACGCATACGATTCAACATGTTTGGATGTTCCAAGAACTAGCCCCCCCCTCCGCCCCTCCACCCCGCGGCTAGGGCGGCCTCGTGGTACGATGTGCCCCAAGATCGCCACGTTGTCTTCTTCATCTCGCCAGGGGGCTCGGGCCCCTTACAGGACTCGAACTACTCCCGTCTCCTGATTGACTTGTTCTCATCCTCTACCTTCTTGTTCACAGGTATGAATGCCCCTTGTCAATTATGCGGATAACCTCGGAGAAAGAATTGAACGGCGGTCTGTATAGTTACTAGGAGCAAAGATTGGGGGGGCAGTGCATCATCGTATCGTTCGACACTTCGTTTCTGTTCTTCGCTGGCAAATGAGTCCCTGGAATATTGTCATCGCCTCGGATCTGAACACGACCGATGGGTCGCAAGTGGGCTCTGCATACTGGTATGCTTGGGCTTGCAGGTGATTCTAACGCCAGTAGTAAGTGGCAAGTACTATTAACCCGACCATCCTTCGTTCGTCCTACTAATAGTACGCTACATGCGTGATTGATCCCTCAAGAAATTATCCACGACTATGACATAAAAGTATGGCAAACTTTGCACTTTTGTCTATCGAGAGCGTCCTTACGACATGTCATATCTAACGTTACCTCGTTTTGTACTGGAATCGCACGTAGTCACACACTATTAATAGTATTTGCCAGTCTATGTTGTGCTTTCGAGCTACGTAACAGTAAATTTGGTATTTTCGGAAGATTCGACAAACGACGTCAAATCAATCGTCGAGTTGTCATTTTACTTGAACTAAATATACTCACTGTGAATCCTGTCAGATATGTACAATATTATTGACAGAACTCGGTGTAATGCACCGGATTCGCCTGAAATTTGATTGGTCAAATGGAATTTTTTCGAAAATTTCATTGGTTACTTCGTTCCGTGTCGATTTTGGTTCGTCAATTCGATTGGCAGCCCCAGGTCATTTTGATACTAGTATCGAATTCTTACAAATCTAATGTACGATTGCATACAGTAATTGAACACTACGCCCTTGATATGCACTTTCACGCTAGTCCCATTCAAAACGTCAACGGCTGCAGCGTAAAGTTGGTGTGTCCAGGAACGAGCTCGGCTTGTTTGCCGAGTCGATGGGCTTGAATAAACACGGACGAGCCAAACCCTTCCGACGACACGAACGTCACTTCGCCCCCAAAGTACCGCGCAAAGAGGCGCGAGATGGGCAGGCCGTAGCCGCCGCCGCAGAAATGGTCGCGAAAGTTCACTTGACCTTGAAATATGCTCGGGTCCATGTCGTCGTCGGCCGTCGAGTACGTGTACTGCCACAGCTTGCGCCACTCACTTCGAGGGACGCCCCCGCCTTCGTCGGAGATTTTGATGGTTAAATCTAGTACACATTTATTGAGAGTCGTCACACGATGTAGGGTCTGTGAATCATCATATTCCACGCATTCGTAATCGCAGCAGCATATCCTGTGAAAATGAATATATCGTGGATGGACAGCAACCAAGCACCTTCGACGCCTTGCGAAATGACCACCGTAATAGGGGGCAGCGTCAATCTACTTGAGTAGTCACAATATGATTCTTCGGTCAACATGATGACAGTACCCCGCGGCTGCAGACGGTGGAAAGATCGTCACGCCGTCGATCGTATCCAGCTAAAACATCCACATTTATATTAGTATAAAGAATTAAATATCACTAATCGAACAAAATACGAATATTGTCGTGTGTGGTTATTCTAAACTAGAGCGACGACATGGAGAATAAATCGACACAACACCAACTAAATGTACACAAGAATCTTTCGCAGAAGGATATATTTAGCCAATCAGATTGCTGGAAACCATCACCAACATGGAATTAGTGTGTAACTTGAATTAGTGTATTCCAATCACCACTGACATACAAAATTCAGTACAACGAATCGAAACGATAGAGTCCAAATTCTGGGTAAATGGACAATATCATGTAAAAGGTCGACATTTACCTGAAGCATAAAACATCACTATATATTATACATGCCAAGTCGGGAGAATTATATATACACCATGTAATGTGTTGTGATTCGGTATACGAATGTCCTGGGAATCTCGCACGATCCAACTTTGCCGCGACATTTGATTGGTTAATCATCTGAACTCTCGTGTCGGTGATTGGCTAAAATAAATATGTCTATATTCTATGCCTTTTCTGCGGATTGGTATTATTGTGTGTTCTACTCAATCGAAATTTCATGTATAAAACGAACAGTAAGTTGACGAGGTATCTTTGTGACTGCAATACTACAATCAATATTTTTAGCCAATCATATTGCAAACTTCATTCTTTGTAGCCAATCATACTCCTTTGCTCGATTAGTTGGCGATTTCAAAATAAAATAGGCAAATTTCACAGAAAAGCACAATACTTGATAGCGAATCAAAACATGTCGTCCGAGAATGGCGAAATATGTACATCATGTGGTATGTATACATACATCGGGAATGACAAAGCCAAGAAGGGGGCTGAGGTGGTTCATTTTGGGCTTGGGGTGCAACGCACATGTAGGCCGGCCGTCCTCGCTCAAAAGGCGGGCATGGCGTTCGACAGTGGCCCGCATCGAGTTTTTCAGCAACTCAAACACCTACCCACAAACGGTGATATAACATAAAATAACCATAGGTAACACTGTACTCATTGTGGTTTCAATATGACAATCATCGGTCGAGTATTAGAATCAAAACAAGGCAGATTAGTGTATGTTGGATGGTCCTCGAAGTTTTGTCAATTCGATTCGAAATACTGAACTACACGGGGGGGGGTACTACATCGAAGGAGCAGATCGACAGACAATATCGATGGTTGCTCGACCAATCAAAACGCACAACACTCGGACCAATCAAATACTCTCTCTTACTATTGTGAATTTCGCCCAAACAATTTGGACTTAAAGATTCATTTCGCCAAATAGCATTCGAATCGACTTGATCGTATTTAACCTTGTACACACTATACAAAGATGAGTAGTATATCATGGTATCAATTAGATTCGTGTGTGACGTGGTCACATTCAAAATGGCCACGAGACCAAATTGATCTTGTACATGGATTCAACCCAACCCAATCTCCAAATCATGGCCGAATAGCACAATACCATGTGATGAAGGTGCGACCGCACATACATAAACGGCGCGTTGCCATTCTCCACGACGCGGACGAGCACGGGCGGCGGCGGGCCGCAAAATGCTGCGCACAACGCGCTGGCTCGAGCGACGGCTTCGTTGACAATATCCTGAACGTCCGTGAGCTTGACCCGTCCTCCGTCTCTAGTATTGTCAAGTCGATATACCGTATAGTGTATATGTATTGCGACAGGTGATATTTCACAACCAGCCGACACCCCAAAGTTTGTTAATCCAATGCGTCATACAAATTGGAAGTGTATTCAACATGGTCACAAGTAAATATCAGTTATTACAAGAACATTATAAGTTATTACACAATAGATTCATCCGTCGCAATGCATATACACTATACGGTATTCGAAAGTTGGAGGGGGTGGAGGGCTCCATCGAATGAGCAGCAAATCGGCAGACAATCGACCAATCAAAATCCACAACACGAATCAACTGGCCAATCACATTTCCTTTGACAGTTCCTCACCGAATGATTAGTGTATGACTACAATTAGTGTGATACTGGACGATCTTTACAAAAGTCAGGACAAAGAACATGGATCAATATTGTGCTTTCGAGTGAAATTTCATTATGTTGTGGCGTGGTTTCTCGTTGGAATTTAAATCGAATTGATTGGCTACCTCAGATGAGCTCAAAATTATTAGCCAATCAAAACCTTCTCAATGAAATTCAACCAATCAGATCGATTGTCGGCGCGATTATTCGATTGCACTCCCCAAATTTGTATCAAATCGACAATAGATTTGGCATAGAATCCGCACAAAAGTCAGCCAAATTGGGGTAAAAGAAAGACAATAATACCAGTCAAAATAGGTTGTGACAAGTTCAGATGGAATTCTGGGGCGAATATGTCCAATAACTTTGCAAATGGGAAATGCATTGGCAGTACTGTACATACTTGGAATGTTGGCCGATGAGCATGCGAATACCAATGCGCGAGAGGAAGAACGTATCGAGGCGGGTATTGAGGTCGTCCTATGGTTCAATATGCAGCAAAATATATGATATGGAAGAGCATGATGACGTGGTGATGCATCAAGGATGGATGGGCGGCTCGTACGTACTTGAACATCTTGAAGTCGCAGGGCGTCGATCCCGCGAGGCGTGGTCTTGATGGTATGGAGACCGCCGCAGATCATCGGCACGAGGTTCGACCCTTGCTTCTTCATTTGAGTGATGCGCGACGTAAAGATCGCGTCCTCTTCCTAATGGCGGTATGATCCATCTTAGGTACCGAGAAACGTCATGGATGATGTGCATGTGTTTGTACCGGTGTAGATGGCGCTTTCATGGCAGCGACATCGTGCAAGAATGTCGTGTAGTTGGCAATGGCCATCTTCACCGGCGGGGTCTCGTTCAATCCGAGGGGCAGTTCCGACAGCTCCACGACCGCTCTATGATGTATATAAGAGCCATGGCAACATGATGGTAGGTCCTACTACTTTACCTAGCAAAGCGGATTTGGAGCTCGTTGTGCAGAAACGCCGACGCTTTGAGTCGTAACTCGGGGCCGTTCGTGGCAAACGTCTTCATCTGCTGCAGCGTCAACGGCGTCGGCGACACCTTTGCCATGGCAGCAATGTCTTCTCGGGACAAAGAAGGACAGGCGAGGGCGGTGGTCGCGTGGACGTGTCGTCTCGGAGCCCCTGAAGGCCCTCGAAGCACTTGCACGACACTTCGACGCATTCCGTATGTCCAACTCGGAAGGTGAAAACTGTCAAAGTGTAAACCCGCAGGGAATATCCGGATATACGGATACGCTCGAAACTTCCAATCAAATGCGAGGTTTCACATAGTACCGTGTACAAGAGCGTAGCGCATAAACCCCGCTGCTTCCAGCGGCACTACGGTGCACATGGCCTTGCCTTGGAGCATTTCGACTGGAAATGGATCCCCGGCATGGTACTGTAACGTCATCACGGGGCTCCAGCCGTTACCCCAACTGTGTTATTTGGAGGTGGGTACAGTACTGTTAGTAGTACTATAGTACACCATTTTTGTGCACCGGTACCAGTATATCCAACGTCCATTTACATGAACAGTAGTAACACGTCCGTCATCGTCATTGCATTACCGTGTAGCGTATACTTCGAAGTATTGGTCTTGTGGTTTTACATTATTAACGTTAGGGGGAGTCAATATAGAAACCAAACTGCTTTTCGTTTTGAAAACTGCTTACTCCAAGTACCGTTTTTAACTATTAATAATCACTGTACGTACTAATAACTGGAGTATACACGCAGTAGTAGCCAAGAACCGCACAAGGCTCTAACTACAGCGGTGACGGCAGGATCTACTCGAATGATATCAGACGCCTTTGAATACCAAGAAATCACTGACTTTTAAAGGCCAAATATCCCCTGTGAACTGTTCTCACGCGCTGTGATGCCTTAACGTTAAAGAACAAACTGTTCCCTTAGGTCAATACAACACTAGTCGAACTCGAAGAACTCGGATCAAGGGGTCGTGCTGGGTTGTTGGGCTTCCCAGTAACGACGAGGGCGACCAGCCGCCACCACAGCACCCCCACGAGGTCCGACACCGGCAGCCGCCCATTCCTTGCTCGACTTGGCGTCGACTACTGCAGCTCCTTCCCATCGACGAAGGAGGGGGCGCCCCACCACCACCACAGGACGATACACAGGCACGATTGGTAGTACGGGAACGGCAATCACGGGGCGGTAAAGTGGGCGGTACCATCCCAACCATTCCTTGCTGTCCTTCGAATCCACTGCCGGCGACTCGTTCGCGTTCGGCGGCGTTGGCACCTCGGGGGTGGCAGGGGGAGAATCAGCAGTCGCCAGCGCCGCAACAAGAGCCAGAGCAAGCACGATCGACGAGTACATGGTTAAGTTTGGAGGAAATCGCAAGATGAGCTTTGGACGTGAAGTGCTTGGAGGTTTATACGAGTCGAAAATGCCGCCCAACGGATTGTTCCAGCTTGTCATTAAGGACACTTTGGTTGATTGATAGGTCGAGACACCATTCTGAGGTGTCACCTTGCTCATTTGCTTTGTTTCGGAATATAATACGCAACAGTTATTAGAGTCTAGAGTTCGAGAGTGCTGTCAGTACCCACACTTAGTTTTCCCTTCGATTGTGTGTCATCAACCTTGGTGCCTTGTCCCAACCATGAGGCAGTGAGTGGACGACCCAACTCATCCACCGGACGATACACTGGGCGGTATGCAGGAAATTACGATGACGCTGTTCAAAATTCACATTCGACTTATAGTTAACGCGAAGGGCCAACAGGAACAATTGAACGCTTCTCGTCGACGCATAACGAGGGTTTGGGGGTTTCAGGGTTTGACATAACGTTGCCGTGGTGAAAATGCATCGATTGCAGCTGAGCATTACGGTGTTTACTGTTAATTCGAAAATACAATGGTACACACTAAGTGATGAAGAAGTTACTAAGTACCCTCTACATCGTACTAGTAACACCGTGTCGCGGAATGACACCTTCGTCCGCCTAGGCTGACTCAGCTAAACCCATGATTCATAGCGACGTTAGGTGGTTTTGTGACGAATACATTGTGTAGAAATGACAAAATATGTGAGTACACCAATGGCACCTTTCTATCGGGCATACGTCGACTCTCTTCCGCAAGTCCGATCCCCGATGTCAAGCCAGAGAAAGGCGACGGACGAATACCTTTGAGCCCTTCATCCCACGACGGGGTCGTCGCAAACGGGCACCACGACGTGGGATTTGAATTTGGCCGGCATCTTGAGTGGCCCCAAGTGCACTTTGCCGCCACTCGTGTCCGTCTCAGTCGACGTGGTTGGCGACATTTGCAGCAATGACGACGACGGCGGGGGGCTATTCGTATTTGTCGAGGGGTCGACGACAGCCTCGGGTGGTTCCACTGCTGGCTCGTGTGCCGTCGCCGCTGGAACGTCCACTGGACTCAGCACGTTCGTTTTCACTAGGGCCTCCCTTGCCTTTCGCGCCCGGGTATTTCGCACAAACCGCGTGAGGACGTACTTGGCCGTGTACACCGCCGACGGACTCCACGCCCTCCACCGCACGTCCACCTTGTCTTTGGCCCCGTGCTGTTTCATCCACAAGTCATCCAGTTGTTTATTCACGCCCAGATCGTCCAGCACCCGTCCGATCTCGCGCATCTTATCCCGCTTGCCCTACGACAAAATCCAAGTTAATGACTACCCCAATTCCGTTAGAGGTTTTCCATAGGCATCATCCAAATATCCATCACGCACTCGTAATCAACACACTTTTAGAACCCCCCTCTCTGGGGATATCTCTCAGACTTCAATTGCTATTTAAACGACGATCGTATTTCAGAGAAAGCGCCGTACATCTCCCATGATACGCTGGACGAGGGCCCGCGGCACGTCTTTGAAATGCACCAGTTGCTCGTCGTACAATGGAATGTTGAGCTCCCCTACCCCCCACATATAAGAGCAGTGTGAACCAACCACATGATATGTCAGATTTCACTTTCGCCTTACCAATCACACCCACCACACGTTTGCGCGTCATGCTGTCGACGCCGTGAAAGCCAAAGGGGGGCGACAGCGCCATTAAAAAGTCGGTAAACTCGTCCGCCGTGATGAGGCCCGTGGCCAGCGGGTCGTACGTGGCCCAGAGGTCGGCAAACTCGGCCAAATTGTGACCATTTACAGGGCACTCCGCCATGGAATCACCGATCGCGTCGACGACAATGCCAGAAAACAAGTTGATGCCAATGTACCCCAGCATGAGGAAGAACGAGTACATGAACGGAACGATGGTCCAGGACCCGCAGCCGTCGAGGGGGGCGCACGTGTCAGTCGTGTTGAAGCCACACATGGCCGCGTCGAACTTCCTAGACTCGCACTGGGCGTTCGTCGCCGGCGCCGTGTCGTACACTTGCCACAGAAACGTGTCCCAGTTTTCCCCCGTGGAGAACCCGATCAGCGTTTGAAACGCAATCCAAAACGTCTGAAAGTTCTGGTAATCGGTGATTTGGTCGTGGTTGAGCGCTACAGTCGCATACAACTGCACGGCCACCGCAGCGTAAATGTAGTAAAACAGCAGCAACAGCGACGTGACGTTGGCCACCGCGGGCAAGGACACGGTCAGCGTGTCAAAGAGCACTTTGAGGGATTCAGTCTGGCGGATCAGCCGCAACGTCCGCGACACCCGCGCGACCCGCACGAGGCTGTCGGCTAGCCCGAGGTCGATCTGGCCCAACTGCGACACGGCGATGCTTAGCCACGTGAGTACGGCGACGCAAAAATCCAGGCGATGCCACCGATTGTCAAAGTAGTGTCGCCCCCACGCACTGAATTTCACGCCCGCTTCGACCGCAAACACCGCCGCCATGACAACATAAATGTTGCCGAGAACCTGCCACACTTGTTCGCTCTGGCCGTACGTTTGACTGGCCATGAGAGCCGTGTTCAAGAGGGTGGCGCCCGTCATGACCGGGTCGAAGTACCGGTGGTGCACGAGGCGGTAGCACCACTGGCGCCATGGATGCCGAGGGGGGCAACGCCGTACGTGGGGGGACAGTACCATAACGCGGCGCTGCATCTTGACCCACGCGACCTGCTCTTCGGTGACAAGGGCGCCGTAGTTTTCTCGGACAAAGCTCTCGCAGAGCACGCCAATAAATAAGTTGGTGGTGAAGAACGCGCACGTGATCATAAATACCCACCAGTACACCATGAGGACCGGATGGTTGTTGGCGATGGGTTGCATGTCGGGCCCCACGGCGTCGATGGTGGCGATCGCTACAACGGCCCATCCCTCCATGGTCGTCAATTCGTACAACGCGCCCATGGATTCAAAGATGTTGTCGAAACGCTGGGGCACCAACGGGTCCCACGACGTGCCGTGGGTTGCCGCAAAGCACATGCAAATGTCCTTCGAGGTAGGTACGTCGTCGTCGGTGAACGGCCCGCAGCCAGTCGTGTTCCAAACCGGGCGAAGGACCGCCTGCTGATCTGCCGACAGATTTGTCCACGGTTGGGGATACGTCATGATGTCGACCCTGCGGAGGTCAACGTTGCGGTACGACCCCGGGTACGCGGGGGGGAACCATGGGGGCGGTGTGTGTGCTGCGTCCGACGTCCCGTAATTGTACGGGGACAGCGAGCACGACGCCAGCGCACCTTTGAACAGCATTACACTCATGATGCCAAACATGAGCAGCATGAACACAAAGAAGAGCATGGCGCGGCCAATGTCTGGGATGCACTTAAACAGCACGTTGATCACGACTTTGAGCTGGGGCAGTTTGTTGATGACGCGGAGGGGGCGGAGCGCACGCGCCGGTCGCAGAGCCTGCAGCCCCGCGAGGCCGTCTACATCATCCACGAACAGCGGCACGATTGACACGACAACGATCAACCCGTCGAGGAGACCCCACGGGTCGCGAACATACGCGTCGGATCCTTCCAGCAATCCCCGGGCGATGATATTGATGGCCATTTCAAAGCCGAAAAACACGGCAAATATCTTGTTGGATTGCTCCACCACGAAGCCGATGCCGTGGGAGTGTTCGTATAGGGGCGTGTCGAGGGCGGTAAAGATGCAGCTGGTGGCGATGGCGGCGGTGGTGGCCCATGTAAACTCGGGGCGTTGCAGCAACCACACGCAGAAACGGCGGAGGGGGTGCTGGGGGGCAAAAAGGCCAAGGCTTCGTCGTTCGATGGGGGGGTGGCTTGGATGATCTGAAGTGGCGGAGGACGATGCCAAATCGGGCTCCGACGCGCGTTTAAAGTACCTGCGAACCACGCGACGAAGGGCGCGTACGCGAGACAGTGCGATCAACTTGGGGAAATGTCCGAGTCTGTACTTTTTCGCCACGTCCGACGCAATCCCGTCCAGCCGCAGGTGGGAGTTGCTTTGCGACGCCATGGACGAATTCAGCTCACTATCTTCATCGTCGTTGTTGCTGCTAATGATGCTGTCGACGTCGTACAGGACGAAATCGTCGGCGTCCACCAAGACACTTTCGACAAGGATGGCGGAAAACATGTTCATAACGATCCACGCCCCAATCACAATGATAAACGCGACGTAGAGGGGAGCGAGCCACCCCGCGACCAGCCACCCGTCGTACAGAATCGCGGGAAAGTTGTCGTATGTGATGATCTGGAACACTGTGAAGAACGCCCATTCGATACTGTCAAAGTTGGACCGGTGCAGTCGTGCGGACGGATTCGACGTGTTAAACGGCAATGGGTTGTTGCCCTCGTCAAACTGAAACTTGGTTGCAAATAGCTACGTCGTATTGCACGGCGTTGTCAACATTGAAGTCAAAGCCAAATCAAATGATGACAGAGTAAATGTGTGTGGTCAAGATCATAGACACAAGAGATGGATGTGCCGCACCTCCATGCCCAGCAAGCTCGTGACAAATAGAAACAGCACAAGGAAAAACATAAAGTTGAGGATCTCGCCCATGGCCGCCCCAATCGCAAGCATCAACTTGTGCAGCGATTTCCACGCTCGCGTCAGTTTGATGGCTCGGGCGGCGCGAAGGGCGGTGAAGAAGCTGGCGGAGGAGCCCCCCTTGACGCCTTTTAGAATCGTGGGCGGACTCACGGCAATTTCGACAATGCCCAACAGCACCGTGACCAAGTCAAACCGATTGAAGAGGTCCCTACTCAATCAAACCACCCCCCCATCCGTTACTCGATCAAAAGAGGTGGAGTCGTCACGTACGACCAATACTGGGACGGACCCAACCCAACCAGCTTGATGGCCACTTCGAACGCAAAGTACCACATAAATACGAAGTTTAGCATTTGCGCGTAGTAACTAAACCGCGGGTCCATCGGGTGGTGGTCCGACGCCAGCGTGATGATATTGAGCACTGTCACAACGAGCCCTGTGCGCTGGAAGAGCGGCAGACGCGCGAGCTGGCGCATCCACCGCCGCGCGCGCTTGATGCGGCGCTTCGTGGTGGGATGCAACTGCGACGAGTAGGATGTCATGGCCATCTGGATTTGTTTGCGCGTGGCGGCATGGATAAAGTTAGAGACCGCCGACCGCCGCCGTTTTCTAACTCGTCGTGAGCAAACGAATAATCCATACCCCAACTGAGGAAGCACGTACACTTTGGCCTGGAGGTTTTGCTCGTCCTTGGCTTTGACGAATTCAGAATACAGCACGGCCATGTTGAGCTGGAGCAAAAAACACATGCCGATAAACAGCAGCGCGTTAAAGTACAACGCGCCCCCGACATACCCCCCCGCTTGTTGGGTCTAGACGATCGAGAAGGATGAGGGTTGGTCCATCGATGCGGAAGAGATTGTACCATTTGGGTGAGCACCATCCACCCCGACGCCGTGACCGTCTGCAAAATCACGACAAACGCGCTCCAGACGTTGTCGAACGTTGTGTACCCGTAGTTCAATTTGTCGTTGAACGTGTCGTATTGGGACGGGGATATGACAAACGATCCGTTGAACCAGACGTCGGCGAAGCGGGGGTTGCCAAAGCTATCGAAATTCGACCCGCACGTAAGCTCGGGGCGGCACTGACGCCCCGTGACGATGTTCGGGCTGCACAGAACAGCGTTTGCTTCCAACGGGTCCACGGGCCAGAAGCAGTTCATGGGTGAGAACCACGTGTCGTTGAGCGGCATCAATTGCCCCGAAATGGTCAAGTTGCAGGCATACTGGAGTGGGTTGGCCACGACGGCGGCGATGTAGCTGGCGTCGGGGGGATATGCCGTTGCGTTGGGTGCGTCGGACGCGTTGAAGTTCAACTGCACAGGAAACGGCGTGAGTCGACATCGGTGGTTGAACGCTCCGCGCCAAAGTTCCATGCCAAGAATTGCAAACACAAGGTAAATGAACGATAGCAAGATGGCCACGTTTCCGAGGGCGGGTAAACTCGCCAGGAGGGCCGTGGTGAGGACTTTTAAACCTGGACGACTCGTGGGTTGCCAAGTGTGAGGGGGTATGGGGATTGAAGTGGCATGACGAGCGTACCTGGTAGAGAATGGAGGGTGCGCAGAGGCCGCAGCACTCGCAGGACGCGGATGCTGCCAACTTTACCGCCCACACGAACCCAAGATAGCATTCTGTACTAGCGTTAACGTTGTTCGACCAGTAGAGTGGTCTGCAAACAAACATTACCCGGACATGACGATGAGAAAGTCCAGGCGATTCCATCCGTCTGAAAAGTAGCTGTGGGGCCCCCAGAGCAGCCCGTGGGCTACGATTTTGAGGACGACTTCGCACATGAAAATCCCGAGGCTGGCGGTGCTGACCAAGTCGATGGCCCGATTAGCAGGTCGAGTGGGGTTGGGGCCGTCGGCCCAGGGGTTGGTGTAGTCGACAAACCCGAGCATCAGCGTGTTAACGAGGACGCACAGCGTGATGAACCGATCGAACCACGCCCACGACACAATGTCGATACACACGCGGCGGAATGCATTGGATTTGCGCAAACAGCCAAGGGCAATCGTTTGAAACTAAACAAGCAAGATGAGAAGGGAGAACAAGAAGTAATCGATGTAATACCTCCGAGTCTGGGGTCGACCGCCGCAGGAGTTCGTGCTTGAGGTAGGCCCTGATGGCCCCACGGAGACTCATGATGTTCGCGATCGAATTGCGGAAGCGGTGAATGTTGTACGCGCTTGGTATGGTCTTGAGTTGGGCGAGCATCCTGCGGGGAGGTGGGGTCGAAGGGGCGAGTGGGGGGGATGGACCTTTCGACTCGACTGTCACCACCCTCGGTATTAACATTGGACCCCCATCCTCCATACAAGAGGAAGGAGATGCGCGTCGTTGTCGATGCGCCAGAGAACAAACGTGGCGCCGCCGTCAGCCGAAATAGACGTTGGTGAAACCGCTCAGGTAACTGATTTCCGATCGAATCAACGAACTTGTCAAATTCAAAAGCTCAGTTGACGTATTCAAGAGGAGTATGGCAATACTATAGGAATAATGCAATACACGTGGCTGAAGCGACCACAACACTTGTGAATGCCAGCGACGGCGGTGAGGTGCAAACGTTACTCGAACACGCTTGAGCTGCTGACGACGCCGGTTGGCCTTGAAGTGTGCACGTTAACGTCTGAGACTTGGAGAAAAAAGATGTGCATTCCGAATGCTTGCACATCTTGGCCATCGCGGCAGTGTCTCGACTTATGAGAGCTGTTATGTCCAAGTTGGCGGCCTTGATGCATGCTACGCCCACAACCAGCAGCGGCGTCAAGTCATTTGAGGCACATTCGGCCGCCTTGACACTCGAAGATGCCAGGAGAATTGTGGCGATCGCAGGTGAAGCAAAGAACGATCGCATAGTCTCCAAATGGTAAAGTGTCATGCGTCATGCAGCTACAACACAGTAACGTTAACACATATTAATACTTCGAAGTACTAGTATTGTATTCTGCTTCAGAGGAGTGGCGCCAAAAGTTATGAGTTACCAGTATACTGTATTACAGTAATAAACTACCGAAACGCAGTTAAGCACAGTACAATACCAGTATATTCGAGACGAATATATTTCGCATAAATGTGATTTCGGGTTCAAATTTCGTCGAATCGAACTTCGCCGCCGAATCGAATCATGAATCCACGCTATTGGCTAAGCCAATTTGAAGTGGATTTCATTAGCTCTTACAGGAGGCTGCGGGAAATGACGAACATAGTCATCCTCGGCGACATAAGCGAGGATAAACGTATGTCTATGTAGACGAAGGAGTCGAGTTTTGGTGCAAGGCAACTTTGTATTCGATTCCGCTGTTTGGAAAAATATCCACTGCATTCCACGAGAATACCGTTACGTATTTTTAATATAAAATAAGTATGTCATAATTTAAAAAGATAACATCGAAATATAGCATCAAGTTAACATAAGTTAACATCAATGTTTGTCATAATTTATGACAATGTTAACTATCGAGAAAATACATGACTTTGTCGTTGAATTGCTCAGCAACGGCTTGTCTGGGCGTGATATTATTAATATGAAAACTGAAGCGATGGCTGCGGGCTATATAACGAGACGTGAAGTGTGGCGATTGCACTTATTTAGCATGCGTGAAGTGACCTCAAACATGCCAAAAAACTGACATATAGCTTACTTTGGGTGTGATTACATCCCGTAATAAGCATCGTAACACCGTCCATGCCGCTTTATTACGTAGTATCAATGCGTTAATCGGTGATCTCTGAGCCACGAAGCAGTACGTTAACAGTAAAGGCGCATTTTGGCGAAAACTTCAAATATAGCGTGAAAGATGACAAACAATTATTGTCATCTTGAGCTATAATTTATAGCATACATTGATATGTTAACGTTATGGTATAATTTTCTAACATTTAACTGTAAATGTCATATTTTTAAGAGTTATGCAACCGTTTTGTGTGGAGCCAACCAACTCAGCGCAATCAATTGAGGACGATGCCAATCCTTCAAAATGGCAATTAAAAGCAGTGCACGTTGCTTCCTTCCTCAGGCTGAACTCGATTTGATTCTAGCGCGTTGCATAGTGATGATGAACAACGTACTGCCATATCGTTTGAGGATTGTAAAGTTGATCATTTCCCGCAGCCTCCAGAAAGACAAGTACAGTACTTAGTATATTCAACCAATCAGAACCCGGGTGATTCAATATTGATTAGACAAACTGTACGCGGAGTTTATTGTGAATTCACAATTCGCAATCAGCGTAAATATGCAGTAACGTTTGTGACGACTGCAGGCTCCAACCAATTCGTCGTCCATCCTTTTCGGCTCAACATACGGTTCACTACAACAATCAACTCTACTCATATTCTACGTGATAGCATAATCACCACACCTTGAATGACTTGGTCATCAATATATATGGTTCAGATATTACATTACGATTCCTCGCGCATTCATTGTAGCACCATCGGGAGGTGGCCCATGAATGCAACGAAGCAACGTCTTCATACCGAGTTTCATGGATGACCACAGGTTCTCGATTGGATTCACGCGAGTTTTGTGCCGAGTTGAAGTGAAATATACACGAAATATATTTGATGTGTTTGCGAATCTACTTGGAGCAGTCACAAGAATAATCTTGGGCGGCTGTCCTTTCTCCCACAACGAATACAATCATTGAACTTTATCGGGTTCTAGAGGTTCAACACCGAAAGGGCGGGTTCATGTAGCGCAGGTGGAAACTTGACAGCCGCGCCATCCCTGCCCGTGCCACTGGCTGTGAGTATGCCACAATCGAAGCCTTCCACTGCCGCCATGGAGGTGTGTGTTCGCTGGATACAAAGCAACGGTGAAGCCAACTCACTCGACTCGTCGACTCGACCACGTCCCGAGCAAATCGATCTGCACCACAGCGCGTTCAACCGATGGAAGCATGTCAAGGTGTGGCTCCGCTTTGCGTTGCATACGTGGCACTCCCACACCATCGCAACGATCTCCCCGTCTCCTTCTCCCTCCATTCCCACGTCCAAGTCAGCACCACTTTCGTCGGCGCCTGTCGACGATGGTGTGGAGGAAGTGTACGTTTCAATCCAAGTCCTCGGCAAAGGTGCGTTTGGCACCGTGGTGCTCAGTCGGAAAGCATCGACCAACACCCTCGTGGCCATCAAAAGCGTCGACAAGGCCAAGGTGTGCGCGGAAGAGTCGGCGCGGCTGCTCACGGAACGGACGGTGCTGAGCACGACCCAGCATCCGTTTGTGATTTCCCTCGACGCTGCGTTCGAGTCGCCGTCCCATTACCACTTTGTGCTCGAGTACTGTCCTGGCGGGGACCTCTACGGCCTCCTGGAGCATCAGCATCGGCTCGACGTGCCCGTCGTCGTCTTCTACACTGCGTCCATCTTGTCTGCGCTGCTGTACATGCACCAAGTATGTGGCATCGTGTACCGCGACCTCAAGCCGGAAAACATCCTCTTGGATGCCAAAGGGTTCATCCGTTTGTCCGACTTTGGCCTAGCCAAGACGCACATGCTGCCGTCGACCATCACGTACAGTTTCTGCGGCAGCGTCGATTACATGGCGCCCGAGTTGATCGCCGGGTGCGGGTATGGCCTCGCCGCGGACGTGTGGAGCCTCGGATGCGTCGTGTTTGAAATGCTCACGGGGCTGCCGCCGTTCTACACGACCGCGGGCCGCCGCGTGCTCTTCGAACGCATCTGCAGCGGGCACGTCGTATACCCCCCGCACATGCCGTCGGACGCATGCAACTTTGTCGCACATTGTCTGCAGCTTGACCCGCTGAAACGCTGGAGCGTCAGCCAGTTGCTTGACCATCCGTTCGTCGCGGGCATCGATCGGTACCAGCTCGGCATCCACCAAGTGCCCGTGCCATTCGTACCAGCCTTGGACCACATGGAAGACACCCGATATTTCGGCGACCAGTTCAAATGTGAGCCTGTGCCCCATGCAAAGTTGGTACTCACCACCAAGAGAAACAAGCAGCAACTGAGTCATGTGGATGACGAGCAACACTTTAGCTCGTTTGACTGGTGTCGTGACTCCAATGCGCCAACGTCCGCGGTGTAGGGATCGAATGAGATACTTATTATATATTATTATTATATGGTGTTCAAGTACTTGGAGAGAGAGGGATGAATTCGGCAAGCCGTTGCAGTTTAGAATACATTAAGCTGTCCTGTGAAATGTCGTGAAAAACGGTTGAATTGTTTGGTAACGTAAAAGTCCAATTTAAGAACACTTTTACGCTGCCGTGGAAGGAATGTAACTCGACTCGTAGGTATCGGATTATAATTCTACAATATGTTACATGAACCCAAAATCCAGGCCTATTCGGGAGATATGAATGCGATATGATTCCTGTTATAATTCATTACATTCACACCACTTTGTCTACAAACAGCTTTAAACTAGCGGTCCAATTTAAGGTGCACCATTGTAAGCTTAGTCTTTGTATACCCATTTGCATATTTTTTGGGCGGGTAGGTTAAAAACTGCCTTTGTAGGAATTGATAGGCTAACTCACATACACCTTAAATTGGATCGAGCACCCTTTTACGTTATTGAAATATTACAGTAAATCGAACGGAATGGTTGTTGACGCGTCTTGGCTGGGACATTATGGCTCCGTCGTATGTATTGGGCCCTGCGTCACCTGTAATGGGATTCAGCGAATATACCTGGGATTTGAACTCACGACCCCCCCTCCGGTACTTTACAGTTAGTGTAGGTACTGGAGGCAGGATATGGGAAAAATATGTTTTACCCATTATTGAGCGTGGTCTAAACAATCGAATATATTTAATTGCAGCCATTTCACGAGTCAATTATTTAATTGTTTTTCACCATGGCTAACAATTATATATTGTAGCAATTTTAATTGTCAATGATTGAAATAAGACGAACTTCAATACAAAAGGTAAGATAAAATATTGTAGGTCGATCAATTAAATATTCAAATGGATTAACAGCTCAAAGTATTTAATTGGATCTTGCAACCTTGACATTCAATAATTGCAATTTGTCAGCGCCTTGCAATTACTTCGAAGCAATTATTTTTTGTATTTAAATGTCACTTACTTTACAGTTAATTGCAGTTGTTTTTCACTAGGTATGGGAAAAACAACTGCAATTAACTGTATAAAGTAAGTGAGCAAACGGCGGCATGTCACCCTGCGGGAGAAAATGCAATCGCTACGACATCGCCGACACAACAGGTCGATCTCCTGCAATAAACGTTATGTCATTGTCCTTTTACCCAAAATTTGGACTTTAGCGCTGATTCGTCAAATCTATTGATCGATACTTTGTACTGACTTTTGTACTGACTTTGTATGTAAAGATCGTCCAGTGTCACACTAATATCAGTCACATACTAATTCGATGAGGCATTGGTCGAAGGGTGGATTTGATTGGCTACTTGATTCGTGATCTGGGCTTTGATTGGTCGATCGATTATCTCTGCCGATTTGGCTATTCTGCTCCACCCCCCCCACTCCAATTTCGAATATATCGACTTGACAATAATATATCCGTTGTTGCTTGACTTATGACTCCAACCAAGATCTTGGTTTGCAATTCCAAAAGTGCACACTGTGGAGTGAATGTGGAAATTTACACTCGGTAGATTTTGTACACGTCGAATGATCTTTTAGTGGGCCAATCACAGGCCGTTCAAAATGGCAACAACCAATCAAATTGAATTGTATTTCTTTCGATGCCAAATGTAACGGGAGATATCTTGATCAGTTTCGGGTCGGGAACTAGGTCGACGACGACTGCTGGGCTCAATGTCCGGCAGTACCATGGACCGGTGGGTGGATCGAGCGTGGTCCAACATCATGGGGGTGTTCGGACGGTCAACGTTGTCGCCGGCTCCAACGGTGCCGTTGGCACGACGGGCTTCGGCATCGCAGTCCCCGTCGATATCGTGCACCGATCCCCGTTGTCGGCGGTCCATGCCTTCGTCGTCACACAGCCGTCGCCCGCACAGTCGCAACACAAGCACTCCAATGCCGTCGTCCTTGATTCAACTGCCGCGATGCGACGAGTTCCAAACGTTGCGCACCTATGACATTGATCGCTCGGTGCATCATGCAAGGCGGTACCCTCGGTTCACATTCGTCATGGACGAGCACCCGATCCGATCGTTGGAGCCTACGATCGGTCCCACCACGGGAACATTACTCCATCTTGTCGCTCATCTCGTGGAGCAGGTCGACCGCGCCATCACCGCCGGCGAAATCACCACCACCGACCACGGACGGAATTGGATCAATCGGTTACATGCCCAAATCCTTGTCTCCCTTCACGGTACACTGTCACACGTTGACATGCTGTCCCCCTTCTGAACTCGTTGGAGCAGGACCATCGCGTCTGGGGAACGGCCCTTCGTCCGCGGCCGCCGTCCGCGACATCCACACCGCGTTGCAAGCGCAGCTCGACTCGCGCGACATTGTCTTGGTCGCCATTTGGCAAGACTGGTATGCCCTCGAATGGCGGCGCATTTTGCACTTGGCTTCCATGTCCAAGCCGCCATCCTTGTCCGCGTTGCCACCCACTCGACCAAAGAAGCTTCTCGTTCTGGACTTGGATCGAACGTTGTGGTTCCGGTCGTATCGCGTACGTTCGGCTTGACTTACTGGCGTGAATCTCACTCGGTTGTGATGAATGCAATGTTACTGGGTTTGATGTAGCCCTTTGACACGGCAGACTTTGTCGCAGTTTACCAACTGCCCCAAACTCAAGTGACCAGCTCCATCTACGTGTCCATCCGCCCGGGCGCGCAGTTTCTCTTGGACTCTGTCGCACCATTTTACGACATTGCCGTGTTTACAGCCAGCGACCGCAAAGTACATTGATTACGTCATCTTGATCACGTCATCTCCTGACATATACCCCAACTGAATATATTGTCATTTTCTAGTGCACGGACGACCTGGTCGACTTGCTCGATGTCAAGCGGTTGATTCAGTATCGGTTGTATCGTGATATTTGCACCACAGACACCACCAACACGGTAACTCGCGTTTGAATAGGATTTGGTTTGGATTATGCTCAGGTTACTAGGTAGTGTTCTTATAATCGTTTGTAGAATGTCTTGCGCAAAGACTTGAGCGTCACAGGTCGCCCTGTCACAGACGTCATCGTCGTAGACGACAACCCTATCGCATGGACGGGATGGTTGGCCAACACCGTTGTTTGCAAACCGTACGTTGAGCATCCCTCTCGATCGCTGCTGACCTTCCAGACGATGTGTCTACTAGATATATCGGAAGCAATCGCGATGTCGAAATGTACAGCCTCACACACAAGCTGTTGGCGTTGTACGATGTCGCAGACGTTCGCGTCCATGTTGCCCCCCTGTCGACTTCCACCTCCCAAGTAGCTTAAAACCTGTATGTTGCTCAATAATATGTACCCTAGTAAAACACAAGTGCCTCAAACGAAAAGGACAATTGAAACGATATATGTATATATATATATATATATATATATATATTGTGCTTTCGAGTGACATTTCGTGTTGTAATGTGGTTTCTCGGTGGAACTTAAATCGATTTGATTGGCTACTTCAGATGAGCTCAAAATTATTAGCCAATCAAAACCTTCTAAATGAAATTCAACCAATCAGATCGATTGTGGATCGGTTTGGTCGGCGCGATTCGATTGAAATTTGTACTATCAAATCGACAATATATATAATACACATCCCCCCATGATTACAATGGCAGTTCGCCGAGGGTATGCTGCAGTTGCATAAGTGCTTGGTGCAGCCCCGCCAGACCATTTTGTGACGATGAAGGCGATTTGGTTTTGACGACGTGGATGTCGTGGGCAATAACGACAATGGCGATTACGACCGCGATCAAGTTGCCCGCGGCCATGATGAAGAAGGGCGCGGTGGGCTGCCACCCATCAAAGAGGTACCCGCCGAGTTTCGAAGCGACCATGATGCCCACAGTGCCCGAGAACGAATACGCGCCGGAAATGGCGCCGCGGAGGTGGCTCGGGATCGCTTTCGACGTCACGACCGACAGCGACGACACGATGATCGCCATTTCGCCAACCCCGACCAGCACCACGACTGCAAACAGAACGTTCGCCAACGGATTCGGGCACATGAACAGCCACAAGTACGAGACCAAGCCGAGGACGGTAGCTAAGAGCACCACCAGCGGCCGGTACAGCTTGTCCCCGAGCCATCCAAAGAACGGGGCAGCCACCATGGCGGCGGTCTGCGCGACGCCGCTCAAGATGGACGCGCGGATGTAAGCATCCCGGCAGTCGGTCTTGATCGTCTCCGAGTCGGCGGCATTCGCAGACGCGCACATGTTGTTGTCCACGTAGTACTTGTATACCCATAACGGCAGGAAGATGGTAATGATGATCGTGTTGCCTCGCGCGAGAAATCCACCAAAGTACCCCTACAACATGGGTGAGAAGCAAACGTGAAGAAGAAGGTTTCTGTCGTCAGACGTACAAGTAGGACTTTGCCATCTTTCGCGGCCGCGTACCCGGCGCGAAGGCCCGCAAGGAACGACACTTGCTTTGATGTGGCTTGGGAACCAGTGGATGGGGATGACGAGGCGGTAGTGTCGTCGTCGGTGGCGTACATGAGCGTGGTGGACATGGGATTCGTTAACTGTTTGGGGCGCAAGGCAAAAAACAAAAACACACCAAATAACGCGCAAATGGCCGCGACGACGCTATAGGTCACTCGCAGTCCCTGGACTTGATCCGCGTACTTGGCGGGCATGCGCAGGAACACAAACACGGCGACGAGGGCGCCGATGCCCGACATGAGCCCGACGAGGCCGCTCACTTTGCCGCGATCCTTTTCGGACGAGTAGTCGGCCAGCACCGCCGTGAGCATGGACGATGTGGCCGCGCCCCCAAAGGCAAAGATTCCGCGGAACAAGATCAAGTCTGGGGACAGCGACGACGCAAACGGATACAGGACTAGCCCAATGCCCATAATGACAAAGCCCGAGCTGTAGATACCGCGGCGCCCCCATCGATCGCTGAGGACACCCCACACCGACACCATCACGAGAGAGATGCACTCGTCAAAGAGTGTGAGGTTCCCAGAGATGTTGCCAATCACGTCCAAGTTGATGTGCAAGATTTGATTCAGGACAAACCCTTGCGTGGAACTGAGGAACACAAACATGCAAATCGCAAGCCCCGAGGCCAAGATGAACGCAATGAAGTTGAGCGACGTCACATGCTCTTTCACCGCCACGACCTTCATGAACTTCCACGTCCGAGACTCGGCCGTCGTGTACATGGTTGCTATGAAATCCAAATATGCAGGGAAACGACCACACACGATAACCCACCTTGCAATAATCCATGGCCAACTTGGTCGAAATAAACACTCTCACAATAATCACAATATGGGATTCATAGTAAATACAATTGGGCAAATTAGCTGAAATTTGATTTATGTTTCTACGGCCATTTTGAACCACGCGACACGACTCCAATCACATGAGTAGCAACATCTGATTGGGCAATGACACAAGGCGCACCCATGAAGTACTTGATGGGAGTTTCCCGACACTTTGGAGATGAATCAACATCAGCTTGAATACACAGACAAGTGGAGATGAAGGGCAATGCGCACCGCATACTATCGCGTAGATTGGACACTTTGCAGTCAGTGATACTAGTATGTGCTGTAGTGATATATGTACGACGCGCGGGAGGGGTCGTTGGTCCAGTAGTGAAACACGATAGGACGAAATGCCGATGAAGATGTCAAACACAGACGGGGGCGAGGCAGCGGTAGACGCAGATGCTGCTGGGTGAAGCGAAGCGGGGAGTTATGGGTGGGTCCAGGATGTGCCTGTTCTGTAGCAATTGGGTCGCGTTAGTTTGACCCATTGCAACACACACAGAGTTATTGGAGGTACTGAGTACTTTAGTGAGTAGTAATCAGTAGGCGCCTGGGGGCGTGTTTAACCTCACTAATGTTGTGTTATATTTTCTACCTTGAGTACTACTGTACCACGCAAATGATAAAATTCTGTTATGTTCTATAATACTACTGTATTATAATACTCCGGAGTATAGTAATATTCTATTAATAGTACTAGTAAGTAGTACAGTACTACTACGTATTATAGTACAATAAAAAAAGTACAGTGTACTATTAGTACTACGCGGTGTAGTACCGCTACTACAGTACAGTAGTACTCTGGAGTACAATACTAACTTACTACTAGTAATAGCGTATTATTAATAGTAGTACCTCGAAGTATTATACTTCAAGTATTAGAACGACAGTGGCCGAAACCTGTAGCATTTAATATTTATCCAAATGGAATTGCTCCATTTCCAGCATGGCGGGGCAATCCGATCGCCAACGGTAGACGTGACAAAGGAGATCTTTGTACCTAGCAGCTTGGATGGAATCGATCGCGGAAGACTTCGAATGATGGGCAACGTTGTGGAATGGAGCATTGCGAACGGATACGTCATTGATCGCACGTTTGAGTTTCCGCAACCAGTGTTGGACATTGCTCTTGTCGAATTCAACGACGACGATGGAAGCAGCGTGTGCATCCTAGCGAGACCAGACCGCATGACGGTAGTCACTCCATCAGGTTCCACCATCGACGTTCCGTTGCCCTTCCAAGCCACGTCGATCTTTGCCATGCAAAAGGGTTTGTTGCTCGAACGATCCAAGCATCCGCCGTCGTCGGCCAACATGCCCGTGCTGTTCAGTTTGATGCACCCCCTGGACGAGATCAAGCCCGTGGTGGTGCAAGGCGACCCGTTGCAACCTCTAGATCACTGTGCGTTCGTCTCCGATCCCGTCGAGACCCTCGTGTTCGTCCACGCCGCCGCCCCGTCCTTTCTCGCGTTCTTCCATCCCGACCACCGCACCTTCCGCGTCAAGTCCATCGCCCACGTTGTGAGTCCACGGGACGCCAAGTCCACGTCCATTGTGCCCGAGATAGCCCTCCGCCAGGTATTGTGTCTCCACTCACAGTCTCCTTCACGTGTTTTTGCGGTAGATTTGGGAAAGTCCATGCATCGCAACGTCGACGCCGCACAAGCTCGCGTGCAAGCTGTTCGTTACGTCCAACGTAGACCTATCGCCCATCCTTTGCATCTTCAATCCATCGAGCGGTGAGCTTGTCATGCAGCCCATGAGCATCATCGTCCCTACCCCAAGCTCGACCTCGCCGCTTCCTCCTCCTGTCACCTTCCCGTCTCCCACGATCCTTCGTTGTCGATTGGCATGTCCTGTGCTTCGCAAATGCACCACCACTTGTCAACAAAGGTCGCTTCGATCGTTCGACTTGGTCGTGGTTACACTGGACCATACATGGGAATTATACCGTCATCTCCACAAGATCTGCTCCCTCGCGCTTCCCGTTCGACAACCGCCTGTCCTTCCCCATCAAGTCGTCGCGATCAAAGACACCCCATGCGTCCATACCATCGAAGTACAGGTCGCCGGCACCCCCGACACGTCGTTGCGCCTCGTGCTACCCCTCGACTTTACTTCGGCATTGCTGGAACGCGCTTTCGAATGCTTGGACGCTGTCGTGCCGTCATTGGTGCTGTTGTGGCGTGTACGTATTCGCACAACAACCCCAACGAACGACTGGCAGGCATTTACGTCGCAGCTACTGGTTGCCGCGCTTCCGCCGGTTGAAAAGGTTGGCGAGCCTTCCGCCCCCGCCCCGTCGACAACATTGGTCTTTGCTACGGCCTACGATCGTCTAGTTGCAACCGAGTCGTTCCAGAAGCTAGCCCACGCCCAACCCAAGATCTTTGGTCGCCCGTCTCCTCCTAGTCCTTCCACCATCGACGACCACCCCATGGATTGCGTGGACCTTGTCGCCCAAATCCGAGTCCATCTCCCGACGGTGTTTACAACTTTGCACTTGCTCTACGAAGACTTGAAGCTGTCCACGAGCTCGTTCCCGTGGCTGCGTCCATTGGGCGTCGTCCTGCATGCGGTAGCCCATGCCACAGCCTTGCCTGCGTACATGCAGCATTACGTTGCCGACCTCGGGCCCATCCCCGTCATGTCCACAAATCGTGATTCAAAGGGGGACAAAAACCCTTCAAATCTGTTCAAGTCGTTGCAAAATGCATCGGCGCCGGCAGACGTGTACGGGTGGGTACAGCGACGTATGGCCATGTTTCACTACCATCGCCTGCACAACTCCCGAGTCAGCCGCTTCGGCACGACAACCTTGTTCCCGACGTCGCATCTGTTTCCCACCACCCAACACGTCGTCGCCCTCTACTCCAAACTGTACCCCGACGTCGACTCGTTGCATCCCGTGCGCGCCCAAGATGTTGTCCACTACCTCGTGACAATCCCCGCTTTTGAGCACTTGATGGACGACTTGCCAGACGGCGTAGCGCTGCCGCTGAGGTACGCGCGAACGATTTGCAAGCACGCGCCGGGTAACTCGTGGGATGCCGCCACGTGCCACGTCATTCAACGGCCCGACTGGGTCGGTCAGGGGGGTCGACAAGAAGACGGCGACGCCGCCTCGAAAAATCGACCAGCCCCGCCGGACGATGACGACGGGTTCGACGACGTCATGCACCTCCATGCCCCGTTGTTCCCGACAGACCTCCGCCTCAAAGAAGTCGGGCGGTTGCTTCGATCGAATAAGATCATGTACCTCAAAATCCCCCTTGACCCGAGCCTGTCGGATAGCGACGTGATCAACATGCAGCAAGCGCGGCTGCTCATGTTGTGCAAGCGCTCCATGGCCTTGCCTGTGGCCAGAGGCATGGTCACGCTGGGCAGCCTCACGCCCGCTACTGCGACGACGACATCGTGGATAGCGCCCCTGCCCATTCCTCCCATGCCGCTCGCCGCGCGCATTGCCGAGTCCAACGCCAAGGTTGCCCAATTTCACGCTGCTATTTGTGTTGCTTTTGATATGGAAAGTGTACGCTATGCGTAGATCCACTTGGACTCGAGCACGTACAAAGAGCTGACTTTGTGGCCGCAATTTCACAACGGTGTGGCCACGGCCCTGCGCCTCCCACCCGCCCTTGAGACGAACGTGACGGTGCAGTGGATTTTCTCACACAAACCCAAGCCGCCCACGACAGACGACGACCACGATCCGATGGCCGCCCACGCCGGGTTTGTGCTCGGCCTCGGGTTGCGCGGTCACTTGAGCCAGTTGTCGCAAAGCGCCATCTTCCAATACTTGTCGATGGACCACGAATTGACGTCCGTGGGGCTGCTACTCGGACTCGCCGCGACTTCGGTCACCCGACCGAAAGATCTGACGCTGGAGCGATCGGCGACGCGCGTTCTGTCGCTGCACATTCCGTCGCTGCTTCCACCCACGTACTCGCACGTGAATATCACGCCTTCCGTGCAAACAGCGGCGCTGATTGGGTTGGGTATGTTGTCTGAATAACACTATGCTATATATATATATATATATGTATATATATATATTTAGCCTTCCACTCGAGGTTGATATATATATATATATATTCTATTGCTCACGGATTGGGGGGGGGTACATGTAGGGTTGGTGTACCAAGGCACGGGCAACCGCAACATGACTGAAATCATGTTGTCCGAGGTGGTATCGGCCCCTGTTGTAATGTCGCCCACGTCCTCCCAGCCCAGTGTCGACTTGAGCCAAAAGGAAAGGTAATCAGCTATATACCATATATAAAAATACCCCATAGTGTACTTCGTGCTATCATTTTCGCGTTGGTATGTCACGTTTGTACCGTTATATTCTGCGTGATGGGAGAAAAGGTGATAAATTCGTTTTTATTGTCTTTTTGCTCGAGTCGGCCTTGAATCAAACAACCATGGGTGGTGGTGGTGATGATATCGGTGGTAGCTACGCGTTGGCGGCGGGCGTGGCCGTGGGATTGATTGCGCTGGGTCGTCGGAACGACCCCGGGCTTGCGGATCTGCAGCTGGAGGCGAAATTGGTCAAGTACATGGTGGGGGGGTCCCGCAAAGTTCGACCCATTCCTGGCAACTGTGTCTTGCGCACCAAAACCAAGTCCCCGTCTCGTGAGTACGTCAATGTCGACGTCACGGCGGCCGGCAGCGCGCTCGCGTTGGCGTTCATGTACATGCACAGCAACAACGAGCGCGTCCGCCAGCAACTAGCGATTCCCAACACGATCGTGTCGCTCGAGGCGATTCGGCCCGACCTGCTGTTTGTCCGCGTGGTGGCATCGAATGTAGTGGCGTGGGATGCAATTCGGCCGTCCGAGGAGTGGATTCACGGGCACCAGCCGCCGTGTTTTACCAGCGATGGGCCTGTGGATCCGCCGACGGCGCAGGAAGGGTACGCCAACATCCTCGCCGGCGCTTGCTTTAGTGTGGGACTCAAGTTTGCAGGTACGGCAATCTATCTCATGCCCCTCACAACAATTCGCATGTACTGGTATGGTTGGTGCACTCTGGTGGGAATATCTATCTACGACAAGTATTGTCGTTTTACCCAAAAAGTTTTGGACTTTTGTGCTGATTCGCCAATCTATCGATCGATTCTTTGTACTGACTTTTGTATGTAAAATCATCCAGTATCACACTATAAAATTCGATGTTGAATTGGGGTCGAAGTGTGGATTTGATTGGCTACTTGATTTTTTTTGGGTTTTGATTGGTCGATCGATTGCCTGTCGATTTGGTTATTCTATTGAGCACCCCATTCGAATTTTGAATCGACTTGACAATATATATATATCATGTTTGACACCACCGAATCGCATGTACGGTGGCCGCCCCCTGGTTGGAATATTATATCTATATGAGACATCGTTTTTGACGAGTGTGAATGGGAGGGGGTAGGGTCACACGACGTGGTGGCCAAGTCGACGCTGTTGGCGTGCATATCCGACTTTTGCGAGTGGCGCAGCAAAGCCAAAGCCGTGAGTCGGGTGACATGGGAGCGGTGCTTGGGCGTGTTGACGCAATCGTTGGCGCTCGTCATGGCCGGGAGTGGGGATTTGGACACGTTTCGAGCGCTGCGGGTCGTGCTGCTGCGTCAGAAAGCGGACGCAATGGCAGACGTCACGTACGGCAACCACATGGCCGTGACCAGTGCGCTGGGTCTGCTGTTCCTGGGGGGCGGACGGTGCGCGTTCCAGTCGACGCCGTTTGCCATTGCCGTGCTCGTGGTGGCCTTCTTCCCCATGTACCCGAGTAAAACGTCCGATCAAAAGTATCATTTGCAAGCGCTGCGACACTTGTACGTGCTGGCCATCGACTCGAATCGGTTTGTCGAGACCATCGATGCCGACACGGGCGCGCAGAGCCCGGTGGACTTGGTCATTTCGACAACAGGATTGAAGAACCACAAGGTGGTGCGGACGCCCCATTTGCTTCCTGCGTACGACAAGCTCTCAGTCCTCTCATCGCGGCACTTTCCCGTTAATGTCAATGTCAAAACGGTGGGGAACGAGGATGATGGAGGGAACGCCAATGCTTGCCGCGTTCAAACGCTAAACGAACGCCGTCGCATATATGTGAAGCGAAAGCAAGGCGACTTGGATAGCCCCCAGCTGGCCCTGCTACGGCAGTTTCGGCGGTGGTTTGTCCACGATACGTCGTCGCATACGAATCATGCGTTTTGCAAACGGGTGTGGCAAGAATGCGAAGTCCAGCAAAAGCCACACGTGTTGGCCGTGTATTTGAATGCCAAACACACCGAAGTGGCCGTGCTATCCGATGCGTTGGCCCACTCTTTGAATGTGTCGACGCTGCACTTGATGCACCTGCACATGGAAGTCGAAGGCCACATGTTTCCGTACGAACTACCCATTGAGGCGGGCGCGTTCGACCACGAGAAGGATCAGCACGATGATTTGGGCGTCGCGCAACTTGTAAACGAAGACTTTGTCCTCGGCTACACGAACGCGCTCTTGCGATACTTTTCAGAGCTCCATCCAAATGAAAACGTGGACACGTTGGCGCAGTGTGCGCACCTGCGCTTCCTTGGCGATCACATGCTGGCCCAGCTCGAATAGAAACCATGGAGTAAAAGACTACAATAACCTTGGACAAATCGCAATATATATTATGTCATATTATGTCATTCTAGTTAACGGACGACGACAGCTGTGCACGGCATTTGGCTTGCATTGTGTACGATGCAAGGGACTTATGCAGGGATAGGCAGGGCAGATTTGAAGCTTGACGGCACTGGATAGAGCGGCGCCGTTGTCGGCAGTGCGAGGAGAGTCGATGGAGTCGAGGAGATTATGATTTGATCACTGATCATCCCGAGGTCTCGCTCCACGATGAGAACGATTGATTTTGTGATGATTGGCGAAGTTTTCGCTGCAGGGGTTTGATCGTGGCAGGTCAGACGTACAAGGCCTTGGACATGGTTGCCATTTCCACAGAGCTGTAGTACAGGTGCGGGGCGTCTTCTTCCGTGATGGACGGAATGCGCCGGACTCGCACGTGATTGCTGAATTGGACCCGCGACGGCGACGGTTGAGTCGCCTTGGGCGGAGTGAGGTCGTGAAATGCTTGCAACCACATCGCCCACTGAGACCTCGTGGTCGCAGTACCGCGTAACCAGTGCCCGCTTTCCGTGCACAGCTGAATACCAAGGTCCCGCTCGTGCCAGACTTTGCCTTCCGTGACGCAGTGTAGCGTGGCCTTCTTGCCGCTCGTGATGGTCAGCGCATTTCCAGTGAGCGTCCACTGCTGTTGCTTGGTGCTCTCGCCAAGCAACCAGTGGGGCTCGGTGACGTGAATGCGAGATGTCGTCGTGGCAGGCTGCTCATTGTTCGGGTTGGGTGGTGGCGGGTCGGTCATTTCGATTTTGTCGTTGAAGAATGGCGACGTGGAATCAGCTGTTGGCGCTTGGTTTTATCCCAGTGGCAAACTTCAACTTGGACACTTGAAATGTTCGTGACTTTTACATTTCATGAAGATTTTCCACAGAATATTACCGGTCGTTTCTGTAAAGTGATATTTTTTCCATTATTTATATATATGCGACACAAATACGCAGAACGTGCACATTTCGTTCGACTTGCTCAGGGAACATGGTATTCGACCGATTCGTATGCTGTTTTACCGGATCAAAACTTAGAACCAAATGCTTGACCGCTTGCTGACTTATCCGGATAGTTGTGATGTCGATGTCAATAATGCATAGTTTAAGACACAAATCCAATACAATTTTTCAATGAAGTCGACTAAAACGTGCTAGTACTTACTACAGAGAATTTCAAACTACTAGATGAAATCCAATTATATGGCGAATACCATTTGTAGATATTGTAGGAGACAATGGGGATGATACACCAGGTCGACGACGATAACTCTGCCAGTTTTAGCCCATTTTAGATGAATGTTGTAAATAAAAAAAGTAGAGATCCATTCTGAAAGTGTTTTCTATGACCATGACTTGATCCGAGCGTGTCATCTAACAGTAAACGCAAATGGCTCTTCACTTAATGCAAGTTGAAAGTTTTGGAGACGATGCTTAGGGTAAAATTATATTAATTTGATTGGCCAACAATGAATAGTACATCCTTTCATTGGTTAGAATTTGACTGTCAAAAGTGATTTCAAATGAAATCGGTTATCCGAAATGTACGGATAAAGCTAGTATCTACTACTGGTATATGCTAGAAACATTCATGAAGAATCACGAGAATATTCGAGTCTTCGCCGAATTCAGCATTTGCGATCTTTGAGCGAGGATATCGCCGCTAATAGTAACCCATCCGCACTGATTTGAATGGATTTAGTTAGACCGCACTGTCAGCATACTGCTATATATAAATGCTTTGAAATGTAGATGGATGTATGCCATCCAAAACATGCATTCAGAGCAAAACACGACGAGTTCGTTGTTTTGGACTCCCCATCATTGGTTCAAATCAGCACTCGATGCGAATTGCAACATGGGTCTCAGAACCCTGTGCTGTGAAGAATATGCGCTGGCGCAATATCATCATTCAAACGTCTGTATTTGCTGATTTATCATCCTTTCTACAAGGACATTCAGGTTTGGTTCGGGTTGGCGCCGGGGGTGGCTTGACTTGTTCGTATGTGCCTGGACGTACGTCATGGCCACGTCGGCAGAATGAAGTTGGAGCTTCGTGGCACTTCAACTTCCGTTGAGGACGGCACCGCCGCAGCACCCGCAGGGGCTGCCCATTCGGTCGTCGATTAATCACGCACACAAACCGGTCCCAAACACTGGGTCGGGGGCAAACAGGAGCGCCTTTTCTTCGTCCGAGAGCACAGGGATTTCCAGCACGGCCACGTCGTCGTTGAACTGGACTTTGACGGGGGAGTGGGGTTTCGGGGGCGGCGCCAAGTCTTGAAATGCATCGAGCCACATGGCCCATTGCACTTTGGAGCCGGCGGACGCGTGCAACCACTTGCCGTCGTCGGTTTGGACTTGGATGCCGTATTGGATGGCAGCCCACGCTTGGCCACATACAACGTGGCACTGCATGGACTCGTGGGTCTCTGTGACAACGGTCAGGACGGCGTCCGTCAGCGTCCACGTCTCGCATGTAAAACACCGGCCAAAAAGCCAGTGGACGTGCTCGACAATCACGTGCGATGTGAACATGATGGGGTTTAGCAGTTGATTGGAACTTGTTGGGTGAAAATTGCAACTGGCAATGATCCTCCTCGGATTTCGAGCATAAATTGGGCCAATTCGATTGGCCGGTTCTATTTCGAATCTATTGTCATCTGGACTAAATTCTGAGGCGACATGTGTTGTCCTCATAACATTCGACTATAACGTTATATTATAAAGATAACAAACGAATGTTATCTACATAGATCGTGTAGCTAGCATTCATTGTCCCCCCCGCATCGCATCGGCGTGGCCTTTCATGCGAGGACGCTTACTATAAGCAGGACGAGAATGGTCGAACGTTCTCGTGCAACTTGACGCTCGAAATAGTTTGGTCAAAACAGTCGAGAGCGTGGAAGGAATCTCTTGAAATTTGTATGCGATCTATGTCGATGTGTGCAGTCGCGCGATAAAAACGTGGCACTGCAGACACTTTGTCGCACGCCGAGCGTGGCTGGTGTTCCAACGAAGCAAACTCAAACAGTTAATCGGTTGGCGCTTATATATATATTAACGTAAATGGCCGCAGAGACTTGACTTGAAGGCACGCCACGTGTTTGGCAATGCCTCTTTTGTGGGGCATGCTAGCTACAGTAGATGATACTTAGCTGGCGCGGCACATCCTGTTGGACAAGGCGACGAAAGGTTGGAGGCAGTTCTGCAGCATGGCACTTGGGAGATGTATTGAGTGAAAACGCAATCAGTCTCCGTTCTCGTCGTCAGAGGACGTCGTGCAGTCTTCGTCGTCGCTGCTTGGGATCACACGCACACGGACCATGTCACAGAAGTGCACTTTCGTGGCAGACTTGTGCTCGGTTGGGGCCAAGTTGTGGAGTGCTTGTAGCCAGGCTGCCCACTGGGCTTTCGAGTTCGCGTGAGCGCGGATGACCATACCATCGTCGGTCTTAACTTTGAACCCAAACTTCATTCCTTGCCACACTTTGCCGCTCTCGACGTGGACGCTCACCGGTTTCGTGGGGTGGCCGTTGGTTGTCATGGTCAATGTACCTTGTTCCAAGCTCCAGATGCGGTCGCGGAAGGTCTTTCCCAACCAGCCAGACTCTTGGACAGCTACGACGGACTTTGTTTTCAACGGGGCGGACGTGTGCATGACGATGCAAATTCAATTAAGTCGCACGACATTCCGTTGTGGCCTCATCGGAACATAGATGAGGCTGCAAGGTTGCACCAACCGTTTTTTGCGAGGATTCCTTAGGGTATTTCATCAATTGGGTCAAATCATGAAATTGTTTTTCGATGTTTTGATAAATACTCCGTGGTTGTGATATCCGGAAGTTGCAGGATTTGGACGAATCGTACTGGTTCTTCCATAAACCAACCAATTAGACATTGTTTAGGGTAAATAATGAAAATCCTTGACAGTTTCGAGTGGGTGCACATCGCCGCTCATTATTTTCGCATATTCGCTGGGGAAATACACTGACACCTTGTCATACTGTACTGTACAGGTATCTGACAGTTTGACCATTGAATATCTGTCAGCCAATGTGGCACTCATCGAAACCATGTCAACCTTTCTACTGTACTTAGTACTTTGAAGTTTGTACAGCAAGTGAAGTTCGTCCAAATGTGGCCCTTATACGAAAACTGTACCAGTACAGTACTCTGCCTGTCCCCAACAGTCTACTGTACTGTACTAGTACTCCAGAACCCTACATATATTAATTAGTGTTCTGCGAACTCGCACGGTGGGATTTTATACCAGTACATAGATCCATGCCACTATGAGATATACCTGTACAGTATTTGTACCGTTGCTTCGTGCTGTGCAATACTGTATGGCAAATCAATGCCTCGCGAGCTGACGACTCGAAAAGCGAAAGTATACGTACTTCGTATAACGTTAGGTCGAACATGTCAACTCCACCATTCATGTCGAGGATATGTATCTACGTACGTGTACATGAATATCAGTACTTACGTCAGGCACTGCACATTTTCAAACGTGAACAACGATACGTACACTTGGCTGAGGTGATATTTGTGGCTAGAACTTTCGAGACGAACATGGAACGACCATCATTTGTTCCACACGTCGAGTTCCGACGTACTACCGTACTACCGGTAGTACTAGTATACCTTATGGATCTGTACCCAAATGTCAGTAAAGTCTGATCGAAATGGATACAAACAACTGAATAAGTTGGTCTGATTTCTTTCCAATCTATTCGTATTGGCCATTTCTTTTACTTCAACTTGTTTGATTGGCTAGATCGAAATAATTAGATAATTTTGACCAATATACATTGACTTGGGTACAGCCTTCTAATAGTACCATCCAATCGTTCTTTATTCACACCATACATCAATTTGGGTAGAACTTGATAAGACAAAATCATGGGTACTGAACCATACATAAGGTATACATTTCACCCAAATTTGGACTTGAGAGAGTAATTTCACCAAATAGCATTCGAATCCATTTCATCCAATTTAATCTTGTACACACTATACTATACAACGATGAGTATATAAATGGTTTTGCCCAATGCGGAGGGTTCAAACATTTGGATTGGCAGAAATTTGACATGACGTGATTTGATTGGCTCAGGCGGTTCTTTAATCGATTCTCCTAAGACATTCGATTCTCCCAAGCCTCCAGTTTCGAATCGATTTGACAATAGTATGTTTCACTTGGATAGATTTATTGTATTATTGTGATTGTGTTGCTTGGACACATCATGTCAATAAGTCAAAAAAGATTTCATCAGCACCAGAGCATGGCTCGAGTCCTGACGCAAGGAGGTTTGTACACTACATGAACGAGTATACATGGGCCAGTATACTAGGTATAACGCAAAACGCCCCTCATATGCCAGGCACGTAGCTCCAAATTCGAGCAAGTAGCAAGGCATACAGTACAGTACTGTACCAATATCAAAAACAACCAGCTCTTCAACGATAAAAAAGGAAATGTCAATCTACTATTACTACTTGTAGTTGGCTAGTACATACTGTTACTGTAGTAAATTAGCAGTAGTAAATGCAACAACCTACCTTCTGCTGTGGCCTCGTTGGACATAAAGGCGACGTGAAATACAAAGCGAGGGCACTCTTTATTGCAGTTCAAACTGCCGTGCAATGAGATTCAACTTGTAAGTACTTGAATTTCTCAATGGCAACTTTGAAGGTTCCCCTTCTTTTTTCTCAAAAACTCGCTGATACTTCCAATGAACGTTAGTGTTATGGATAATAACAGCCCCAGTTGGTTATCAAATCAAAAGTTATGAATTTGCTCTTTACCTCACGAATTTGGCCAGGTCGAGAGAAGCTATCGCTCCCACGCGATTAGGGTTGAAGTTGCACTTCCTAACTACAAGTGCTACTGTATTAGTAGGGTTCTGTTCATAAATGTACCTTGCCGAGTGGAATGCAAATCCATATGTAGTTTCATACTATGCCCTAAATAACCCCCTGTTTAGGGATGGTCCGACGTTCGAAGACTTGTTGGAGTGTTTTGATTGGGCGATGGAATTTCTTAGTGCTGGTGAAGGTCATTGTCCAATTTGCATTGTCATGCCCCCAACAACCCACCACAGAAAAGTGACCTCGTTCATGTCCGTCCAGGAAACACGATGGGTCGTCATGAAGACCTTCAAAGATCGCATTTGGACTTTGAACAAGCGCACTCTGACCGTATCCGCAGACGAACGATTCAAATTCAACACATACGCCGTCAAGCAGGGCATAGCCTGGACAGGAGCGCCCCATGGCATCCAAGTCGAAACTGAGGAAGGCAAATGGCTTAGAGCTGTCGCCAACAACAAAGCGCAGTGGGCCATGTGGCTTCAAGCGTTCCAAAACCTCAACGCACCGAACGACGTGCCGCAAACACCGGCCAAAGTGAGCTTCTGCGAACATGTCCGAGTCCGCACGATTCCCGCGTCCGACGATGAAGACGACGACATGTACACCACCAACTCGTCCGATGAAGACGATCGATAGGGCTCCATGTACATTGACCCTTTTTGATGTAACCTAGTGCAGTTCTTAACTATAACCACGTATCTATTTCTAAATACCAAGCCCCTGTGAATCGAATAGCCGTGAACTACGGTAGTACCGGTAGTATGTACTGCGCTGGAATGCACTTGGAACAAGATGGATTTATACTGTAACTGTAAGAGCTTAAGCATATTCGCGTCGCATGGGTACACTTTTGTATCTACAGTACCCGTAATTCTTACGTATGTACTGTACCCTCCCTACTTGGGCTTGGCTCAACGCTTATCAAATGATCTGCATCATGGTTTGGCTATACCGGTATGTACATCAACAACACAAACAACACAGTACCATCAACGGTCGCATTTGACAATGGCCTGAGACCTCAAATCTTGATGTTTCGATCTGTATACTAGGTATTTCGAGGTGCAACGTACTAGTATACCAAGTACAGTACTAGTACTACTGTATATCTGTACCCATAATAACGTTACTATTTATAGTATGAGGTACAGTACAGTACTGTATTGACTTTTCGAACGAGATGCACCCACATTGCTGCATACCGGTACTATTACTGTAGTCGACAGCTGCGACGGTGTTTCTGATAATATGTACTAGTATTTATTATGAGAGGATTGTTCTCAGATCTTCAACTATTTTTATACATAGAATCAAAAACGAGTTTATTAGATATAGAACTATATAATGTAATACGGTAAAACATGACTCATTTTGAAACTTTGAAACATCGATTTACCGAGAATATCAATATTGAGGATGTGTTTATATGCAGAGTAGAATGCAGCAAAAACTATTCCCAAGGGCCTCCTCACATCTGTGTAATGGTAGTATCGATATAAAAAATATAGAAAAAACGATTACGATCGTATACAGTACTTCTATTAACTAACGATTGTAAATAGAAGTATTTTGAATTCGCTATAAACTTCCAAAATTCGCCTGGTTTGTCTAATCAATAGTGAATCACGCCTGAGTTCTGATTGGTTGAATATATGTCATCCCACCGCCACCATCCCAGGACCAAGTTGGCTCGGCAACAGCAAGACAACAGTCGCGACTACCAACTCGTGCTTCTGTCCACGAGCCAATCAAGTCCACTCAATATGGATTAGCCAATATCCAATCCACAATACAAGTTAACTACTTCAAGTATGAAAGATGAACGTGAGGGACGACACAGCATTAAATATTAACAAACGTAGACACGGTATCACATGGACACAAAATGCTTGGCGAGATGGTACTGCCTGTGTCGATTGGTCTTCATTCGCAACGCATCGCGGGGCAGTTTGTCGTCTGTTGTCATGGCCGACAACTCGCTGTCGGAATAATGCATCTGCGCGACTTCGTCGGGCGACTTGAGTGGGATCAGCCGAATCCGCACCTTGCCGTGAAAGTTCACTTTCTTTGGGGACATCGTGAGTGAGGATGGAGGGTGCAGCGACTGAAACGCCTGCATCCACATGGCCCAGTGCACCTTGGACGTGGCCATGCCGTGATACCAAATGCCATCTTCGGTTTCGACTTGGATTCCAAGCTCCTTTTCCGACCACGCCCCACCCTGCTTGACCCGATGCTTCCGTGTGGTGCCGTACTTGCCTGTGGACACAGTCAACATGCCGTGGTGTAAGCTCCAGCAACGTTGCTTGATGCTGGACCCGATGAAGACATTTGGCGTTTCGACACACACAAGAGAGCTCCATCCATGGTTGCCGACGTCACCTTTCTCCATCATGCCTAACTTTCGAAAATGGACTCAAGCGTCAGTCCACTGTTCTTCTCTGGCTACTCGCGAAATACATAGAGTGAATATAGTTAGGGATTTTCACCCTTTGGCTTGGAGTTTGTATGCTACTTGGCTTGGGTATACCTTAAATATAAGGAAACACCCTATGTAAAACGATGGAAAGTGCAGCTGAAATCGCAAGGCGGATACAAAGCCACGTCATCGTTTTCCTGAAGTTCAATTTGAAGTTGAGAAGTGCTGTGTAGGTACCCCTCGCTTCCGATTGGCTGCACGTTAACAAGTGCAGTGGGATTGTTGAACTAGCAACTCTTGGTCATCTCGAACGCAAACCCAATAAGTCGGAATGAGGGATCTGCATGATACTTCCCCGTACCGTCCAGGAGCAGTACTGTACTGTAACAGCCCTTCCCTTTTGCCACACTGATAAAGTGAAGTAGCTTGTCATTAAGAATGAGGGCTTATCTGGATGAGAAATACTACAAAAAGGTTGTTTGAGGAGGCCCCCAGTAAGTCCAAACCGGATGACACTATCCGGATACAAGATCTATCGCCAACAGACAGACATGGACTTGCGAAAGCGGCAACCGCGGCCAGAGAGCCGAGACAGGCGGTAAGTAGGACGCATACGCACTAAGGTAGCCGAACGATGACGACGACGTTACGTAGACTGTCATCGTCGCCGCGCGATCCGAATGTGAAGGTGCGCTTCCGCACGTCGCTCCACAATACCGTGTGCGACGTCATGACGAGTCTGGACGGATGGGAAGAGACCGACAGCGACATGGACTGGGACCTGCATTGGGCGGACGTGGGGTGGGTTCGAGAGTACTTTGACGCGATGCAGCCAAAGCTACATGAACACCAGCGACTGAACCATTTTAAGAACCATTACGAGTTGACGCGGAAGGATTTGCTGGTCAAGAACCTCAAGCGCATGAAGAAGCAGCAAGCCAAGTCGTACGACGTGCATGACACGAGGGTGTGTGTGACGACATGTGTAGGGAACTGAGCGTTCCGCCGGCGGACTTCTGGAGCTTGACGTTCGTGTTGCCCATGGAGTATGGCATGTTCTTGGAAGAGTTCAAGCGGTTCCCTGGGGCCATGTGGATTATGAAGCCAATCGGCAAAGCTCAGGGCAAAGGCATCTTTTTGTTTGAAAAGCTCAGTCAAATCAGCGATTGGAAAAAGGACCATACGTGGAAACCCGACGGGTTGCAGGTCCGTCGTTCGTTCGTAAATTGAACCGATCGTTCGTTCGATCCGATATTGTCGACTTTTACCCAAAAATTTGGACTTTTTGTGCTGATTATCGCCAAATCTATCAATCGATCGGTGTATTCATTGTACTGAATTTTGTATTACGTAGTATGTAAATACGTGTCCTGTGGGGGGATGGGTATCACACTAATTGGAAGTCGCACACTAATTCGACGTTGATGGTGGTTTCCTGCAATCTGATTGGCTACATTCTTCTTCTGCCGATGATTCGTCAGCACATGTATATGGTTGTGTCGATTCAAATATTTTTCTCGTATGTCGCTCGAGTTTAGAATAAACACACACAACAATATTATATCGATAGGCCAAAACGTCCGATACGTACATTGTTCAAAAGTACATTGAAAACCCCTACACCATTGGCGGTAGGTACCGAACTACACCATTTACAGCAGACTCTTAATCAGGGTACTTGTGTACGTAGGCAAGAAATTCGATTTACGGCTATATGTGCTCGTGACGTCGTTTTCTCCGCTCGTGGTGTGGACCTATCGTGCAGGTATATACAACAGACTACTTACTACATCAATGGCTCAATTGTTCACCATGTCAAATATACTGTAGAAACGATATTATATAAGCTCTACGATTGAACCATACGTCCCTGAAATTGTGACTGTCGAATGTGTACAGTTAGTTGGATGTGTTCTACTTGCCCGAGTCTTGGATGTTGGAGTATTGAAGGTGTTCAATGCAATATATATATATACTAGAATATGTTGTATTATACAAAAATAATCAATATATATATGTATAAAACTTTTGTATGTTGTAGGGTTTGGTCGGTTTTCGAACGCTCGGTATTCGCAGGCAAAGGCGGACATGGATAACTTGTGTAAGTAGTCTGTTGGTTGTTCGTAGTTGGTTGATTTTAGTTAGTTTATTTTAGTTAGTTGGTTTTAGTTAGTTGGTTTTAGTTAGTTGATTTTAGCTAGTTGATTTTAGCTAGTTGATTTTACAGCTAGTTGATTTTAGCTAGTTGATTTTAGCTCGTTGATTTTAGCTAGTTGATTTTAGCTAGTTGATTTTAGTTAGTTCAATGAACGTGGTTAGTTGGAGATTTATGAAATGAGATATAGATATGCACTTGACCAACGCATCGGTTCAAAAGACAGCGCAAGATTACGATAAAAGCATGGGATGCAAGTGGCCTCTGGACTCGATCAAGCAGTTTCTCATCTCAAAACACGGTGTTCGGGCCGTGGACAGTCTATTCCACGACATCCAGGTCCAAATTTCAAGTTATTTGAAAACAGAAAAAGGAGATATTTTAACTTGGTTTAATTAGACGGTGGTCACCAAGTCGCTTTTGGCTGTTCAACCTATTTTAATCCAAGACAAACATTGCTTCGAGTTGTACGGGTACGACATCCTCATCGACAGCGACCTCAAGCCGTGGCTGCTCGAAGTGAATGCGTCGCCATCGCTCACGGGGGGTAGGTGGTGGAAACATATATATATATATTTCTGTGTTTTTTTATTTTATAGTAACGTTACCGCGACTTTTACTCTTATTAATATGAACGGATGGCTGGCACTGGGGGTAGATACTGACGAAGACTACGGATTGAAGTGGAATTTAGTTGCGCATACGATGCAAGTCATCGACATGGCTCGACATCGAAATGGATCTGAGCGACATGTACGGATATATATATATATATATATATATATATGTTGGAGTGATGATATATCTACGGATGATCCGGAATACTAGTATATTTTTTGCGACGGTAGGTTGGAGGGTTTGACTTGATTTGGGACAATGGACCGGTACTCGATGCCCACCCCGACGGGTACTTGTCCTATTTGGGTAACTAGTTTCTACATCCAAGCCCATAATGACTGGATAGAGCAACGTAGGTTGCGCATTCGACCGCTTGCCTCACCAACGCCCAGTCAAAGCGTGATAACTTAGACGACAAATCTTGGAATCTATCTCTAGTATATACTAGGCCACGTCGTTATAGTACCGTATACCTTATGGATCAGTAATTTTGTCTTATCGAGTTGTACCCAAATTGCTGTATGGTGTCAATAAAGTACGATTTGGTAGTACCTTGGAAGGCTGTACCCAAGTCGCTTTATATTGGTCAAAACTGTCCAATTATCTCGTTCTAGCCAATTAAACAAGTCGAAGTAGTAGAAGTAACCAATCTGAACTCATTGGAAAAAATCAGACCACCTTAGAGCCTGTTCCAAGTACTTTTCAAAATGGGCATTATCCAATCAAAACGCTCCCCAACTCATTACAAAATCCATTTTTCAAAATGGGGTACATGACCCCATTTCATCCCATTTTGGGCACCTCAGCTATTTCGCCAATGACTGGCTAATAATGGATGCCCACTATCCAATAATTGATCCCAATCTCATTCCAACTTTTCAATTTGACATCATGGACTCGACCACTGTAGCGTGAGTTGCTGCCGTTGGCGCCGCCTTTCGATCGACGAACGTAGCAACCGCGCCCCTGGCATCAACACTGTTGTCGTACCCAGTACCACGTGGCGGCAAGTCAAGTCCGACGGCACATACGACGGATGGTTCACGCGCCACCTGCGCTGCACCCGCCACACCTTTCTGCGCATCGCCGACAACACTGTGTTATTGACCAATCAGCATGCATCTTAGTCTAATGATTTATGTCCAATCAATCATGGTCATAGAATGGGTAGAAAACTTGGAACAGGCTCTTATTGAGTTGTATGCATTTCGATCAGATTTTACTGACATTTTCGGGGGTACAGATCCATAAGGTATACGGTAGTAATAGCTTGCCGCACCATCGGTATTAGTACACAAGTGGCTCAAGAGACAACGATTTCGCCAGTTTCATATATTCATATATATATGCAGTTGAGACCTGCGATTACGCTTTTCTCGTTGACAAACTCACAGCGAAAGTTTGTGTCGTGTTGTAAGCTAGTACTAGGATTGTCCTTTTACCCAAAATTTGGTTGACTTAGGTGCGATTCTATGCCAAATCTATCGATCGATTGTTTGTACTGACTTTTGTATGTCGTCCTGTGCACACTAATTGAAGTCACATACTAATTCGATGTTGAATTGGTCGAAGAATGGATTCGATTGGCTACTTGATTAGCAATCTGGGTTTTGATTGGTCGATCGATTGTCCGCGGATTTGGTGCTTAACGTTACTGATTCGATTTGGCACGTCGCTCCAATTTCGAATCGACTTGACAATAACCGATACTAAGCTTCCTGTAGTACAAAGTATTATACTACGTAGTAGTACTATTACAGTACTATGTAGAAGTATCAGTATAACGTTACCCTCGTTAGATTACGCCGCGCAAAATCCGAAAATCCCATTGCGTCAAAGTACAGTACCGGGGTACAGTACTTGAGCTATTAACTGTAAACGCCATCGTACCAAGGTGATCATTCACTAATAGTGGGCGAAGAAATCAGTCGCAAGAGGTGCGTTCAACCAAGCGGCATGTCTATATTAATTAGGCTTGCAATAATAAAATAGGCTTCTACAACAACACGAACTACCATGGGCTTTCTACTCGGTCGGGTTGAGCAGAAACGACAACTTCAACTGGGGGGCTAGGCTGGCTTGCTTCATGCGACGAGTTAGCTCGTGGTCGTCTGCACTTTCAGGGTGCTGGACAGGCTCAATCTTCATGGACGGCTCTGCCGTGGAGGCTGCTACCTCTGCGGTGGCGCCCTTGGCCGCTTCTTTCATGCGGCGACGGCGTTCGCGCTGGTATGCATTGCGCTTGTCGCGGTTCTTGAGGTCGTACGCCTTGGCGTAGGCGAGGATTTTGTCCCTGTTGCGTGCGTACCATAGTTTTTTGCGCTCCAAGTCACGACCCAAGTTCTTTTCCCGATACGCTTTGAACCGGTGCAGCTCGGTTTCGCGGTTGCGCTTGTAGTACTCCTTGCCGTACGCACTGAGTTTTTCCTTGTGGGTTTCGTAATACACCTTCATGCGAGCGATCTCCTTGTCCTTGTTCTTGGCGTAGTACGCCTTGCGGTAGTCGAGCTGGCTACCCGACTCGGAGCCATGTTCAGACGAGCACGACGACGACGACGACGATGATGTGGGGGACGACGACGCCATGACAAGATGGTGGTTGGGGTGGCAAGTTGAGTGTGAATTGCAAAGTGACTTTGTCCATGACTGTCGGGATAAAACATATAGTAACCCCTACGACACACGGACATGTTGTCGCTGACAATTTTCATCTGCCGCCGCCCATTGGCTGCGATGTGCACCAATGCAGTCGAGACGGCGTCAACGTATCGATCTTGAGGTCCGATTTCAACGCAGTCTGACACTTGGACGGGTTGACTCGAACGATTGGTGCCTCAGAATTTCCGCTCGACGTGGCAGGGCCGGGGCACTGGATTGGCTCGCTCCCAAGTGACAGCCTCATCGACAGTGGGCTTGTCGGAGGAGTGACCTGGTCAACATGGATGTACGTCTGTAGAGCCTTCGCATTCTACAGTACCAATTGTTTGGCAATCATACCCAACAAAACTGGGGAACGAAGTCCCCCACACCGGGGGTGTTGATACCTGCAACGAGTAGTCGTTCTGCTGGTACTTCGAGGCTGTACACCACCCAATACGAGACTCTACTTTGATGCCTAGTAGTTGTTGTGTTACATTCCCCCCCTCCGTAACAGAGAGATATGAGGCAAATGTTGGGTCGCGACAGCTGGCGGGGAACCAGATTATGATCACGAAAAAACGCGTTTAACCCACCAGTAGCGAACTAGACATGTGAGACGCTCTGGGCGATCGATAATGTGATGGAAGCGTGCGGGGCATTCTAACGATTGCAAGAGACGAAGAGTGCGATGAATTAACTTGATCAATGACCATTTCAAAGGATTGAGATCGTAGGGCCACCTGAACACCAGTGATTGGGTCCTTGGTTCATAATTTACAGTGTCAAGGTTGTTGTCCATGCAATGCTTGTACAACGCGGATTCGGCGCCGAAAGGCGTACATTCCTCACATGCGTATGTCTACGTTCATGAGAGCGTGGCACTAAGTGTAGGCTACTTACTGTACTACTTACTGTACCTGCAATTCGATATTTCAGATCGCAAGCACTTGGAGACTGATTCTTCCACCCAATGGCATCCTGTGCAGTGTCTACGTGGTTTCCCCGAGTATTATAGTCGCCCTGATAGGAGAGTTCGGAAGGGCCATAGAAACTAGCGAGGGAACGTCGATGAAGAGTACCGTATGACAAGCGGTTTACATCTGGCCGGTAAACAGATTGCCCACACGTCCCTACAAATTGATACATACTGTTTACGTTTTATTATTCGTCGCAAACGTGTGATGACAATTTCGCCGTCTCAAAGCATTGGTAACAATTCATGACTAGGCCAAGTGTCAATGTCGAAAAATAGTTTTTCGAAACACAATCTCCTTACAATATTCAGCCAAAAGCATACTAAAAAAGCAGAATTTACAAAAGTACTACTTATTACTGATAAAAGTAGTAGTAGTAAATAATAATAGTATACTTACTACTGTACTGTACTACTATGATACCAGAGTACTGTAATCTAATCCTAACAATGACCGATGTGCGAAACCAAGTGCCCCAATTGTGTATGGCCCCGTCTGGCAACCTGTAATATTCTAATATTCTGGCCCAAAACGCCATTTTGGGGGGCCGAATTCAATAAATCTGATCCAAATTGAAACATGTCTTGCTTGAATTAACCCAAATCCAATAATTTCATGTGGGATTTACTCCTTTACGTGGTCCGAAACGCCATATCATTACAAAATGGACCTTTTACAGTACCTCCATTTTGAAAATGGCATATTTCGTTTATCCCATTTTGCCAAAAAATGGAATATTATTTTTGAAAAATTACCAGAATTGAATGAGCAGCACCAAATCGGCAGACAATAATCAAAGAATCGATCGATAGATTTGGCTAGTCAGCACAAAAGTCCAAATTTTGGGTAAAAGAACACTACTACTACGCAGAAGAATTCCTGAATGCAAGCACTGCACTTGCAGTGAGCGATAGAAAGTGTGTCAGTGCAGCAGCCGATGCCTCTCTCCAACAAGTTGGATGACTGCGAAGAAACTCGAGATTTTACTTTCGCCAATTATGAATGCCTCAATTTTGGCCTTGGATGAAATGCTTGATGATGTGCGAATTCAACCACCTCCCCGCTCATACAACGTTTTCGACCTCTGAAACTTGGAGATTGTACCGTGTAGCGTTTATAGTTTTAGACACTCCAAAACGTTATTGAATATAGAGTATAGAGGCCCTCCCAAATACAATCCCTCTTATAATTACAATAGTATCTCCATTGTACGATAAGTTTTCTTATGTTCAATGGTACCCCTAACTTTTTATGATGATCCACTTTTCATATTTGAAGTTGGACAATTTGCCATTATCCGAAATTTCAGAGTACAGATAATTGCCCCGTGGGTGTCTAAAACTATAAACGCTACACGGTAGCTGACAGTGAATTGATGGGGAACAACTTATATTGGGTTTCGATGTGTTTCCAATGACTAAATCAACAAAAACCAAGCAAGTTTGATCTCATTTTAACAATCAATTTAGGACGCATATTTTCATCTTGAAGAAGGTATACTACATTGCATATAAATTGTGTGGTTAGGTTATTTCGCGTTTCATTGGATCAAGGAAATTTCACGTCTTTTCATTGGCTCATGTACATTTAATCTTAAATTGATTGAAGCCGCCCTTAAATTGATTGTTTACGTTATTGAGTGTCTAAATCCATACTGTACAGTATGGATTTAGACACTCAATACTACCCTAGTATGATATGTACACAGCCAACGATTCCTGTTGCTGAGCGACAACAGGGTCCGACCAAAGAACGTTACGTCTATGTTGAATTGTTGTGCGTTACTAGATAGAATACTTGCCATACTTGCGGTCGTCGCCAATGCCCACTTCCATCGTCTTTTCGTCCAGAATCCGCTGCAGTTCGCGTTTCGCCTCTGCCACAGCCTGCCTTGATCCAGCCTCGATGGCCAAGTACAGTTTGCGCTCGCCAACGTTGGGTTTTCGGCCGGGGGCGACGTACGTCCCTCTGCAAATGACGGCAGCGCCCGTGATTTCCGCCACCAGGTCCGACGATTCCTTCTGCACCACTTTCCATCGCGCTTGTTGTGGGTAGTCGTTGATCTCGAGTTCGTCTCGAAAGTGCCGCACTTCGTCCTTCTGGCTCGGCTCGCCCACCAACATGTTGGCCACCTGCCTTGCGCGCTCCTTGAAACTGTTCATCTTTTCGGCCATGGTCATTTCCTCGATCGATTTTTCCGGTTGTTCCGCCGCCGACGTAGCTTTCGTCGCCTTGTCATCGTCGTTGTCGTTGTCGTCGTTGCCGCCAGCATCCGCGAGACCCTCGTCCATTTCATACTGCCGCTTTTGAAAGTCCACCGCCCGCTGGGCTTCGGACTTCTCCGACTCGTCAAACGTAAACCCCTTGCCCTTGAACCCGCTGCCGTGGTACCGGGCCAGCCCCGACCGCACCTTTTCCTTGAACTGGTCCGACAGCGCCCGGAGCTCGGGGGGTACATCTTGCTTGGCGTTTTCGAGCGCTTTGACCAGATCGGGGGCGTACTCGTCTTCGTGCGAACTGATAAACGTGTACGCCGTGCCCTTCCGTCCTGCCCGACCGGTTCGACCCACACGATGCACGTAGTCCTCCAAGTGGTTGGGGCAGTGGTAGTTGATTACCAGCACCAAATCCTTGACATCCAGCCCCCGCCCCGCGACCGACGTGGCCACCATCAACGTGCGTACTTTTCGTTTGAAGTCGTCTACTGTGTAGTCGCGGTCCACTTGATCCTTGCCGCCGTGCAAACTCAGCGCCAAGTACCCCGCCTTCATCAAGTCTTGAAAGATCTGATCGCAGGCTTGCTGTGTGTTGACAAACACAAGCACGTTGCCCTTCTCGTACCACGTCCCGAGCAGCTGCAGCAGCCGCATAAACTTGTCCGATTCTTCGCGCACTTCGGCGTACTGTTTGATGTCGCCAGACGCCGTGCTCCGCGCTCCGACTGTGATTTCAATCGGTTTCCGCAGCACTTTGCGTGCCAAACTCTCCACGCTCCTGGGAAACGTCGCCGAAAACAGCAGCGTTTGCCGGTCCCCACGGATATTCATCATGATCTTGGTGATTTGCGGCTCAAAACCCATGTCAAACATCCGATCTGCTTCGTCGAGAACGACGTACGTCACGCGCTTCAACGACACCATCTTGCCCGCGCTCATGGTGAGAATGTCAATCATGCGCCCAGGCGTGCAAATTACAATGTCTGACCCGCGCTTCAAGTTGGCGATTTGCTCCGACACAGACGACCCGCCGTACACCGCTGTCGACCGCAGCGCCAAATCCTTGGTGAACTTCTTCGATTCTATGTAAATCTGCTGGACCAGTTCGCGGGCAGGCGCCATGATCAACCCAATCGGCCCTTCGCCATCGCTCAACGGAGGCTGGTCCAGGATATGCCGAAACATGGGCAATAGAAACGCCAGCGTTTTGCCCGATCCTGTCTTGGCGATGCCAATCACGTCGCGGCCCGACATGATCGCGGGCAGCGCTTGGCACTGGATCGCAAACGGCGTCGGGTACTCTTGGCGGGCAATTAGTTTCTGGAGCCGTTGACTCAGCCCGGTTTGCGTCCACTTTTGAATGGGGCGGGGGCAGCCTTTGCCTCGGATTTTGATCTCCATCGACACCAACAGCGCGTCCAGTTCCTCCTGCGGCTGGGCGGCTACATCCGCCGGCTCAATGTAAAACTTCTTGCGAAACGGAATGTACGACACGGACTTGTGGTCGACGGGCTTGATTTCCTTCTTCTTTTGCTGCTCCTGCAAAATCTCGAGCGCCGTGCGACTGTCCACGTTGTTGGCCATCTCAATGCCGATCGCGTCCTCCTCCACGCCTTGGTAAATGCGCCCCGTGTCGCTCTTCTTGTCGCCCACGTGTGTCGTGCTGTCGTCGTTGCCTTCGTTGGGGGCGAGGAAGCCTTCCTTGTTGACAGCGTCTTCGCGGTCCCGCTTGAGTTTAATCGCACGCATAAACTCGTCCAGCTCGGCCTTTTCACGGGCATCGCGTTCGGCATCGGTCTCGTTGGGCTGCCGAGGAGGGTAGATCGACGCTGGCAACAACGACGTGCTGGGAGGTAAAAACGATCCGTAGAAATCCACTTCCTTGTTCTTCGACATGATTTCTTCGAACGAAATCACTTTGGCTTTGGGCAGTTCCAAATTCCGCTGTTCCGCCACGTCGTCCCGCCCCGTGTTGCTCAAATCGGCCATAAACGCATCCAACGGGTCGATCTCCGGGGCTTCGGACGTGCCGTCAGCTGATGGTGGCTGCACTTGGTCTGGTTCCTTGTCGTCAATCGGCCACATGGGAACTTGCTGAACTACGTCCTCATCCACGACAAACCCAGCTACCGCCGGTACATCGGCTGTTTCCATTGGTTCGACCTCAGTGACAGCATCGTCTTCCTTTTGCTTCTGCTGCTCCCGCCACAGCCGGAGACGTTCCTGGCGACGTTCAATCGCATCCTTGCTGTCACTATTCGCTGCAGCAGGTGGCGGAGGTTTCTTCTCGGACCTCGACTTGTCATACTTCTTGTGCTTTCTTGAGTCCTTCAACGTCAACCCGCCATACGATGAAGTCGCTTTCTTCTCCGACTTTACAGGTGGAGGTGGTGGTGGCGGTCGAGAATGGTGCACCGGTGTTCCACTAAAAGCCGTTGATTCCTCTCCAGAAGTCTCATCACCCACCAGAACAGGAGTGGTGGTGTCCTCTTTGTGATCCTCTTTTCGCCGCTTCGACTCGGGTGAGCTAGATCGCCGTCTTTTCTCGCGGTGGTTGGGGTCGTCTCGCGATTCGTCTTTTCCTCGATGGCTGCGCTCCTTCAAGTCGCGATGGCTGCTTCGGCGGTCTCGTCGATCGTCACTCTCTCGCCGGTCGTCCCTTCCACGATGACTGCTCCGTTCGCCTCTGTCTCGTCGACTACTACTGCGCTCGTCCTTATCTCTATGGCTTCGTTCGCGACTCCGGCTTCGTCGTTCCCGATCTTTTTCCTTCTTGCGGTCGGTGCTGCGACTACGCTTCCGATCATGACTCCGCTTGCGCTCGCCTGGACTATGGCTGCGCTTCCTCTTCTCTCGGTCCCCAGCATCGCGACTTCGACTCCGACTGCTACCATGCCGCGATTTCTTCTTGTCCTTCGGCCGGTCGCCGCGATGCCCTCGTTCTCCCATGGCGCAACTTTACAACTGAAAAATCCAACAAGCCCTCCTGATCGAAGCCCCACAAACCCAATAACCAATCAAAACGCTCCGCCATCGAGAAACCAAATATATTTTTTTCTGGACATCAAGTATACAATTGTCAAGTTTGTAGAAATTCGACCGAATTAAATTATCCTGAAAACGCGCGCAATCTGCTGCGGCAAGCCGCCTTTGCGGTGAACGAGGCGGCGGAGAAAGGACATGAGGCATGATGGCATGGGGATATTAACGTTAAATAAGATTCCTCTATCATGCGTGAGGATTGCGCCGCTGGTTCGAGAAGATGAGGTACGAGAACATGAGCGCGTCGCAGAGCGGAGTCGAATCGTGGGCCAAGTGCCCAACTTCCCCAAACGACGTCAAGCCGAGGAAGCTCGCACCTCCTGACCATGCTTTAAAGGCCCCCACGAGACCAGACATGCTCATGGACGACCCCAAGACGACCTGGACACCCGCGGACAAAAACATGAGGCATCCGTCGACGTCTTTGACGTCAAATGACGAAGTCCGCATCACCGTGACGGCCATTCGCTTCACGGCGTCCTTCAACACATCCACCGACGTGTGCATGAGAGCGACTGTCGTGCCCGTTCGAATCGGCGTGGTCAAGCTTAACGTGCCAGCAACGTCATCTACGGCCGTTACAACTGGGGTGGCATTCACGTGAAGCGACGGAAGTGATTCTTGCACGACTTGTCCTAACGGATACATGTACCCCAGTCGCGGGAACTTCATCGGAGCGTCTGCTGCATGAACGTTCGCCAACCACTACATGGTATGCCCCCCATCCATTACCCTCATGTGGTCATTCTCATAGCCACACACGATAATGATTGCACAACACGGACGGACGTACGTACCTCCTTGTACACGGTGGCAGCCGGCCGATGGTCAATCTCGTACACGACCCTGGTTTGACTGTCGGCGGACGTGACGACTCCCATGCACGGCATGGGAGGACTGAGTTCGCTGGCGACGGCCGTGGCTTTGGTATGGACGACGTTGTGCCCGCTGAACCACCCGACGGACGTCTCGACACTGGGGGAGCACAGTGCAAATGTCATACCAATCGTGGATCCGCCTGCACTGCTGATTTGCACTACAGTTCTCAACTCATTTTCAGTTGTGCTTTCGCTTGGACGTGATGAAGACGGCGACGTACAATAGCCTTGGTAATGCGCAGAAAGGACGGAACATCCTCCGAGCACGGGGCACGGGACTGCTCTGCGTAGGCCGGCGAGGGCCTCGTCAACGACCAGCGGGCATGCATACACTAGACAAAATACCTACCGAAAACCCATCACATATATGTGAAAAGAGCGATGCCAAGGGGAATGGTACCGGATTTGGGGTGGTGTGGAGGGCTTCATGCACGGCATCGGCGACGTTATGCTTGGCCGTGAACTCGTCGTAGCCCGTCGAGCCGACGGTGTACGACCCTAGGGGGTCGTGGATTCCCCACAGCGCCACGAGACCGCCACGTTTCATAGACACCCACGCCGCTTCGTCGCATATGCCTACGACCATATCAAAGTGAGATATATTTCACAGTGATATTCCGTCGTTAGCTTACCTCGAGCGGAGAGCCCGCCCACAAACGGCACGCCCGGGGCGCCATGTTCCATCGCGACCATCACGTCGATGGCATCGCATCCGTCGGAAAACGACACGACCAAAAAGTGCACTGGACCCCCAATCTTATTGTGGAGATCTCGCATCGCCGCTTCCACCGCCGCTACACGACGACGGTGACATGTGTCAAACGAGATGGAGAACGAATAAATCCGTACCAGTGGTTGAGGTGGTGACACTGGCCCACGCAGAGGCCGTGCGGATGCCTCCGAATGATGGCGGCCTTGTCGACGGAAGTAAGTACGTCGACGGTGGTCGAGTGGGGGTCGTGTTTGTGCGCGGGAGGTATCGGGGATCGATTTGCAACGACGGAAGAGACGTCGACGCAATGAACTGGTCCACCGAGTGAGACGGAAGGGATTCGATGCTTGGCATGCGGCGATGGGACGATTGGCGCAACGGCGTCGGCTGCGCAGTCACCCCCATGGACATGGACGACGACGCTGTGAGTTGCAACGTGAACGTGTCCAGCGTTCGAGGCGATTTGTGATGAAGGCGCTGCAATAGAGTTAAGAACCATGTTCACCACAGCTCGAGAGGTCAATAACGCACAACGTACCGAGGACGTCGAGCTCGTGCTCGTGCTGCGAGTATGGGCGGCGGCTGGCGGGGGGGGTGGAATCCCAAGATGGGGCGTTGATGTACGATATAATTGAGGCGGGTCGACGATGTGAATGCCGCCGTCGTTCTCTCCGTCCTTGGAGCTGCCGCCGCCGCCGCCGCCATCGTCGTGATTGTTGTCGTCGCTGTGGTTACTTCGACCGTATTTGCGATGATCGTCGCCATCATACAATGCGTCAAAGTTGCGCCGCTCAGCGCCCAGACAGATGGTGGACGTGCCGAGTCCAGGATGAGTAGGCATGTGTTTGTCGGCACTGAGTCGCCCGTGCGACGACGACGTCGTGCGCGGCGACTGATTCGAGTTGGGATGGGGCGGGGTCGTGGCTGATCCACCACCGGGGGGAGGGTGCATCATCGGGCCGAGCACAAGGTTGTCTGTTGAAGGCGCGGCGTCCAAAGTCGCGGAGGCTGTGGACGGATGATTGTTCCACTTTGACGTGTCGAGCAGCTGCGTCGTCGTCGTCGCCGCCAACACATTCACTTCCAGGGTGCCGGTGAACGCGCCGCCGCTGGGCAGGGGGCGGCGGGCGGCGGGTGGCGGGACGTCAAACAGGTCGGGGTTGTTTTCCGCCAATTCTTCGTCGAGCCATTCCTTCAATTCGTTGGCGTCGATGACCCCGAGGTGTCGCCCGGCGTCCGCTTGTTGCTGGACCACACATCGATTGCACAGGCGGACGTCTGGCGCTGCAGACGATGACTGCTGGTCCAGTGTGTTGAACAGGTTGGAGCATTGAAAACACACCACTTCGCCGCACTTGCGGCAATGGTGCCGCCTCCGGACAAGGGGATGGAATGCCCGGGCGCACACGGAACAGGCCGGTCGATCTTGATCCCGAACCCACGACCCGGTGTCGGCAATCCGGAGCGACGATGACAACGCGGCCGACGTCCGGCGAAGCCCTGCGCGGTACCCCTTGGCGAACCGGAGCACGAGGTCTTCGGCTGGGTTCTTGAAGCCAAAGTCAAGCAAGGACGGTTGGCGTTGAAGGGCGAGGGACATCATGACGTATTCGCCGCCGGAGGGAAGTTCGAGCGCTTCGAATTTCATGATGAGGCCGTCCACACGCACGCGGTCGAAGGTGGCGGACACGGGAGTCTGAAGGGGCAACGGCGCGTCGTCTACTTTGCTCATGGACTCTTGGTAGATGTATATGGCTTGGATTCGGCTGTGGCTGTCGTACACCAAGCCGATAAACTGCCGCCAAAGGTTAGGATATATGGAAACGAATTAGATGGGTAGTCGGTCGTACCTCGACGACGTGGAATTCGGATGCTTTGGAGAGTTTGGACTTGCCCAACGTGGCAAACCATTTGACCGACGTGCGCTTGTGAACCTTGTGGAAGACAGACGGCACGTTGCGATGCTGCGGCGCCACTGTCGCCATGGACGCGGCATTCTCTGGGTCGGCACCAATGACTTCGATCACCCGCGCGTCCAAGTACGCGTCGCCCCACATCGAGCGCATGAGCTCTTGGTACTTGGACGATTCCGTGGCCTGGAACAGCCGCTGCACCACGTTATGTAGCGTTGTGTCGATGGTAGTGGTCGCGCGGTTGGCGCAAAACACCTTCCAGTCCGACGTAGTTTTCGACAGGGACACGTCGTCTTTGGACCCAACGTCGACCCACATCGACACACTGGTTGAGGACTCGGCGAGCATCTGCAAGGACGAATTGGCGCGCCTCTCGGCGTACGCAGCGTAGTGCCCAGTGTCGTGCTTCTTAGCCATCGGCATGGAGTGTTGTGACGGCGGTGCTTGGCTGCGGCAGCGACATGCACGAGAAACTTCGTCGAAGTTGACAGCGATTGGTCCATGGAGTGCCAAAACCGGAATCTATCACCACATGGCACGTGACACTCTCAATGCCAACTGCGTGTTTTGTCAAAACAGGTCGTAGAGTAGTCGTGTTCAATATGGAGGATGTGCCTCGATTTGAAAGCCATCGCCTGGGCAAAATACAACCCTAGCACTAGAATCGTTTAATACGCACAAGAATTCGTTGTGGGTTGACCGAGTGCATCTATCTGTATACCCGTAAGACAGAGCGTATTTTGTCAAACAGCCTTGCTATACTGGTTGAAGTAAGTTTCACATGAACAAGAAACCAATATGTAATATGCCGACGTACTGTACAAATGAGAAATAAGCCAGCTGGCATCCAACGCGTTGATTCTGTAGTTTTTGAATACAGTACCACCAGTCCTTCAAGTTTGTTTCTATTCGTCCAGGTTAAATCCTGGTACAGTTGTACTGATACTGTCATGTCCTGGGCTTATCATGACGTGCTTTGACGCGCACAACACACAGGGAGACCAGCCGATCATTCGCGCTCGCGGACAGCAACGACAATACGTAGATAGTGTTTTGCAAGTACTGGTACTTGTACTAAATTAAGTAGTAGAAGTACTAACTTACCCTAAACTCCAAGGCTCGTCCTCGGTTGTTTTAGCCGACCAACTTCTGTCCACTCGTCGCAGGAATTGGGGTGGAGAGTTGCCGGGGCTTGCAGCGCGGCTCCAAGGCCGTCTCGTCCGCAGCTTATGAGGTCACAAGTCCCATCGAGCAATATGTACTGGAACGAACCAATGACGATTTCAAGTTAGTTCCTGTGTCCAAACTTGAGCTGGTCGTCCGTTCGTTCGTGTTGAACTTGCGCTTATGTCTTGCTTCGAAGTACATTTTAACTGGAATGACTGAACATGGCATATGTATGCAATGTGTTATAGGAGTAGGGTGCCTGTTGCACCTGTACGAGGTTGAATGTTGTGAGGTTTCGTCACGCCTACCGCAAGTTCGCAATGCGGCACAGCGTACACTACTCAGTGCAGCCCTCAACTTATGTAGCGAGCGCAGTCACGCCGTGTAAAGCATTTCAGCTGAAGTTGTAAATCTTGGCCTGCGACGATGTTTTGAATTGATTCAACACATCATCGAGGCAAACCGTCGTCGCAACAGAAATACACTGTCGCATACAAATTAGACTTTGGGCAAACCGAAGTGGCTTACATTTCAATTTGCATTCAATCTCAACACCCATCCCAAAGCCTAACAACACCTTCGACAACTTATCTTCTTTCCCCTGGACCAGGATTGCAAACGTACACTAACATGAATACAAGTAAGTTTACTGTGGTGCGTAAGGCGAATATGTCATTGGACAATAAAGCATTGAGCATCCAATCAAAATGGATTACAACCTGAGTTGTTAGCGAATCAGACGCAATCATTTCCACATTTCCCAAATACATTCAAAATCAACATGGTGGAAGCGCTGTCGTTCCCGAGCTTCTGCTCGCTAATGGAGGCAGTCGTGGGCACGAGCAAACCAGAAGCCAAGGTGAAGCTGATCTTTAGCGACTCTTTTCGCAAATCCTTCGGCCATGCGTCGTTGTATCCTCTGCTGCGGCTTCTCTGTCCGCACTTGGATCGGGAGCGAACGTACAAGCTCAAGGAGACGAAGATCGCCATGATGTATGTGGATCTTCTGGGCCTCAGTCCAACGTCGTCGGATGGTAAAAAGTTGTTGCATTGGACGGACCCAACAATCGTCACGTCCCGCGCCGTGGGCGACTTTGCGATGGTGTTGCAAGAAGTGATGCAGTTCCGCACCGTGAAGCCTCGGGCGGACGAGGCACCGCTCACGGTGAAGGATGTCAACGCCATGTTGGATACGCTGAGTGGACAGGACAAGGATGCACAGAAGACGGTGTTTCTGCACATCGTCACACATTGCAGCGCCGACGAGCAGAAGTGGCTCGTGCGTATCATCATCAAGGACATGAAGATTGGCCTTCGCCACGAACGCGTGCTCCAGTTCATCCACCCCGACGCAGTCGAGATGTTCAACCACACGAACGACCTTCAAAAGGAACGTCCTTTCATCCTCGTTGAATGACATGACCCGAATGAGTACATAGGTATGCCAGGAGCTGACCAACTCGATGGTGCGCTACGTGCCGCAGATCCAGCCATTTCAAGTGTTTACGCCCATGCTGGCAAAGCGAGTAACGTTCGGCGATTGCACCAAAGCCATGAACGGCAATGACTTTTACATGGAGCCCAAACTGGACGGCGAGCGCATCACATGTCACTTGCAGCAAAGTAGCAGCTCCAACACAACCCAACGGCATATGCAGCTGTTTTCCCGTAACGGTGTCAACTATTCAGACAAGTACGGCCCGTGCATCGAAGCGTACGTGCAAGCCCAAGTACGTCCATCCACCTTATCTAGCTCGTGTACATGTGAAATATCTCGATTCACTGTATCGCAGGTGCGGCCAGATGTCGATTGCATCTTGGATGGCGAAATGCTGGTCTGGGACAGCGTCGAGTTTCGATATCATCCGTTTGGCTCTCTTAAAACTGTCGCCAGTGAACAACCCCAAGGGTAGAGAGAAAAAAACCTCTTGAAAAAAAAATATTTTATTTTTCTCGCCAACAAAAAAATATTCACAGATGATTACGGTAGCATCAACAAGCACCGATGGCTGTGTTATGTCGTGTGGGACGTCGTGTATCTTGGCGGGTCCGCTGCTCCTGCGTTGATCCAAGAAGCGTGGCCTTTTGGGGTACATACCACCAACATCATGGGTAAACAACAAATCTGTATTACTCGAAAAGCCTACGTTATTAAAATATTGTCCGGGGTGGTCAATAAATATTTAAAAAATTTTTTTTGGTATTTTTTGTTTTTCACTTGGAGAGCTACAGGTCTGCCGTTGTCGGCGCGGCTGACACTGCTGGACCGGATCTTGAAATCTGTGGACCATCGGGTGGTGCGTATCGAACAGACGTTGGTCCGGTCCACGATGACCGCCCAAGAGCGTCATGACGTGGTCATGGCGGACGTCGATGCCAAGCTAGCCGCGGGCTTTGAAGGTATGCGTATTGTGATTTTACACGAAAGTTGGACTTTTGTGCTGAATCGCCAAATAGATCGATCGATCGATGTACTCTTAGAGAGTTGTATGTCAAAAGGTGTCTTCTGGTGGTGATTGGTATCACACTAATTGAAGTCAAAAATCGATCGATCGATGTATTCTCTGTACTGCGTTTTGTATGTCAATTAAGGTGCGTTGTGGTGATTGGTTGGTATCACACACTAATTGAAGTCGCACACTATTTTGACGTTGATGGCGGTCGCGTTGGCTCATATATATATATCCTGCTTCTGCCGATGATCGTCTGTAATACATTTGTGTCGATCCAGTTGAAACACAACCATAACACTAGAATGGATGGACAGGATTGATCTTGAAGGATGCGACGTCGCACTACATGTGTGGGGAAGTGAGTCGGCGCAGTCAAAAGTGGATCAAACTCAAGCCTGATTACGCCGGCATGACCCAGCATTTGGACGTGTTGGTGTTGGGGGGGTATTACGGCGAAGGCCAGCGCCGCGGCGGCGCCGTATCTCATTTTCTGCTCGGTAGGGATGAAAACACAATATCTTTTTGTACATGTGTGATGTGATGTAGGCGTGCTGCAGCACCCAATCGACCCAAACCATGTGCCCAAGGATATTCCAGTGGTCTCGTTTTGCAAGGTTGGCACGGGCTATTCCCTCGAAGAGCTCGACACGTTGCGGACGCAGTTGGCTCCGCACTGGCGTCCATGGGAACCCATCAGCGACAAGGTACTTCTTGTTGGAGTTATCAATATTGTGAAAAAATTCGCTATAAACTACTAACATTTGCGCGCGGCTTGTCTAGTCAACCTTGAATCACACTGGAAGTTCTGATTGGTTGAATGTACTTGTCGTTTCTATAAGAGCCAATCAAATCCACTCAAAATTGGATTCGCCAATAGCGTCGATTCGTAATTCGATTCGACCAGGTCTGGAAATTTGGACTGACAGATCCACAATACCATTGATTGTACTGGTATCCCTGGTAGTGATTACTATGGCAGATTGCCCTTTCAACCAAACTCTTGGCCTTTTGTGCCGATTCAAACACTGTCTAGTGCTAACTCTAATTTCAGTCAACACACACTAATTAGAATGCTAATTAGCTTGTTGATTGGTTGATTTCCTCCATTCTGATTGGCTGAATTCGTCTGCCGATTCTTCTGCACAGTGGGTTGTGGTGTCGATGTTAGACGTGTCGCTCCAGTTTGGAATAAACTCAACAATATATTTTGCATTTCGCCCAAATTTGGAGATGAGAGTGTCATTTCGCCCAATACCATTCGAATCAATTTGAGCGTATTTAATCTTGTTCACACTATACTGTACAAAAATTAGTATTTATTGGTTTTGCCCAATGCGAGAGGGGTCAATCGTTTGGATTGGCAGAAATTTGACATGACGTGATTTGATTGGCTTAGGGGTTCTTTAATCGATTCTCTTAACCTGCTGAGGGATCCAGTGTCGAATCGATTGGACAATATATGCCTTGATATCCTTGAATGTGTTAAACCAATCACGAATCGTGGCCAAGCTGGACGATTTCCTTGTCGCTGATTGGCTACAGAATATATTTTTGTCGTTTTACTACCTACTGTCTGTGAGGAAACTTCAAAACATTTGATTGACCAATGGCTGGCGACATTTGTAGCTAATTCGTAACACCTTTGGCCTCTCTTATTTGTAGCGCCCTGCTCATTTTCGAGGGTGGGCCCCCAAGGGCGATGTACGACCGGATGTGTGGCTACCCCCCGACCAATCCGTGTGCATGGAGGTGTACGGGTTCGAGCTGACATATTCGACGCAGTTCCAGACGGGGCTCACGCTGCGGTTTCCTCGGCTTAAAGCCATTCGGTTGGCTATTTCTCAAGTAGTTTATGCTATTCATAATATTTCGCTTGGTTGTAGGTACGACAAACAATGGCACGAGTGTCTGACGCTGTCGCAGCTAAACGCGTTGAAAGGGCAGCAGTTGGGCCAGAAGAAGCGCGCCGTGGACGTTGTGCTGGGCGAGCAAAAGCCAAAAAAAAGAAAAAACGATGCGGAACGCCGCCGGTCCACGCTCGATCGGGGGCACGTGGGGGTGTCCATCGAGTATTCCCAAGCCAACATGGACATTGTCGAAGCACAGTCGACGATTTTTCAAGGTTATATATGTATATATATATTGGGAGTTGAACACTATTATATTATATATATATTGGGAGTTGAACACTATTATATATATATATATATATTGGGGAGTTGAACACTATTATATAAATATATAAATTGGGAGTTGAACACTATTATATAAATATATAAATTGGGAGTTGAACACTATTATATAAATATATATATATTGGGAGTTGAACACTATTATATATATATATATATATATTGGGAGTTGAACACTATTTTATAAATATATATATATATATTGGGAGTTGAACACTATTATATATTTATATGTATATATATATACTAGTATAGGTAGATATTAAGCGTTGCAATACATGACGGCGTAAGAGTAGGGCTGACGTTTTGTGTCTTGCCTGGGAAATACGACGCCAAGGGCGTGACCAAGGCCACAATAGAGCAACTTTTGTTTGCGAATGGAGCGACCATCACTCAAAACCCCCACCCGAAGCTCCACGACCCCCAGACCACAGTCATTGTGGCGGCGTCAGCTGACGGAGTTAGAGTCGGCAATTACATCAAACAAGCTACGTACAACGTCGTGTACGTTGACTGGATCCTGCGCTGCGTACAAACCCAGGTACGATTTGTATATAATAGTTGTCTAGTTGGAGAGAAGCATAAAAAACTCGGATATATATATATATATATATATATATATATATATATGTATATTTGTCGTCGAGTTGGGTGAGAATCGTAAAAACAACTCGGATATACTAGTATGTATGCATATAAACTATATATATTAGAGAGAATCATAAAAGCAACTCGGATATATATTGTGCTTTTCACCCAAATTGGACGTTTGAGGCAATTGGCCAATACCACCATTCGACCCTAGTTAATCTTGTTCAAACTATACTCTACAATGTGTAGCATATATCAGTTTTTGCCCAAGTGAACTGAATCAATATTTTGGATTCGCAGAAATTCGACAGACCATGATTTGATTGGCTTTGGCGGTTCATTGTTTCATTCTCTTACGGCGGCTCCAGTTTCAAAGCGATTTGACAATATATATATATATATATATATATATTAGTCATATTGTTGGAGAGAATCATACACACAACTCAGATATATATATATATATATATATATACATGTTATTTATATTAGACGTGATATACGTATATATATATATATATATTATCATCGGCGTCTTCTTGGAGAGAATCATCAAAATAACTCGGATATGTATATCCAGCATCCATCCATCCATATATACATAATACATCCCTCGACGTACTGTTTATACAGTATTTGGCGTCCTGTTGGTGAAAAAATAATTCCGATACGATGAATATATATAAATAATATATATATATATATATAATATTACGCTTTAACGTGTTGAATTCCATCCACCGTACTCGTGGTGACATTATGCTAGGTCCAAGAGCCTTGGAAAGCAACCGATTATGTGTTTGCAAATCCAGAAACTACAGCGACGCTCAAGACCCTGTACGATCGGTACGGCGACTCGTTCACGGCGCCCGTGACAGCAGACGACTTGGCTACGATCCTGTCATCGGCGGCAGTGTTTGCAACCATCGATATGTCCATGGGTTGGCAGAGGATGCTCATGGATCAAGACGATGAGACCCAGGAAGCGATGGAAACTAGCGGCAACTTTCTCTGGCGGTGCGTCGTGTATGTCGATATGGCGGACGATGTCCACATGCATCACGTTGCGCAATGCGTGCGGCTCTACGGCGGCGTGGTGGAGCCGGCGATCGTGTCGACGGTGACCCACGTCGTCTTGCCGGATGGGACCCGCACGGCAGAACGACTGGACGCGGTGCGGCCGGGCATCCAGCAGATCCGGCGATCGGGGGGACGAGAGCCCGTGGTCACCACCGCCAAGTGGGTGCGCGCATGTGTGGAAGCCCTCGAACAGGTGGTTGTCGACGCCCAGTTTCACATTCCTTGCTAACTTATACAAGTGATTGCATTGGTTTTGACGGGGGGGGATGGGGGGGGGTCTTAACTGTACATTTGCTGGACATGTACATACATTGTAGGTCCGTACTGACTGGCATATTCGATCCAAAACAGTTTCAAGTGGACGGAGATACTAAGGCCGTGATGTTGTTGTGCGTTGTGCTATTCTTGTTCATGTTCTACCGATAGTATATAACTGTAGTACTGATTTCCCCCTGATTTTGGAACGGCTAAATTTCAGTATAGTGTTCATATCGCAAGGAGACGGCGTGTATTATCATGATATCAACAGCACAGGGGAAACTTTTTGTTCTAGTAAAAGGCATTGGCAGGGAATAAAGCACCCGTGTACTTCTAAAGTAGTTGTGCGTTGCAGGAGGCGGTGCAGTAGGATACGCATTAAGTAATCGACGACGAGGTTCATTTCGAGGAGTCCTGTTAGCGAGGACTAGTCAGTCGATAGCCCTTCAAACTGGGGAACAGTATCCCATATCATTTCATGTATATTCATGTGGGACATGGATGATGAGCTCCATACATTGCGAAGCGTCGACAACGAATGTGCCGCCATCGACGACCCACGACGGTTCGCCCTGGCCGACTGCTAAAAATACATTTGCAGCCTCGCCTGTGGTTGGTGGATGGGTTTTCCCATCTCGTGATTGGTGCATTCCGAGGTTGAAACGGCGGCATCCGCCTTTATAACGACAGCGAAAGGTTTCACTTTTGCTCAACAGGTCGTTGTCTTTCAGGCCAGCAGCAGCATCCAAGCGGGCCGACCGCGATGCTGCCTGCCTTGACGACAAAACCAAAGCAACCGATTAAGCAGATCCGAGGGCTCACGAACGACAGCATCGATTCGTATGCCAACACGCCCGGCGGCGGCAGTACTAGCACCAACGCCGTGACCACCACGTACAACGATCTCACAGAGACCAGTTCCACGACCACCACTGGCGGGAAAAAGCAAAAGTCCAAGGAGAACGACGACACCACGCCCGACGACGGAGACGGCAGTACAGTGAGCGTCGTGGCAAGGGCATTACGAGACCGCAAGCCCAAGTCGGACGAAGAGCTGACGCTCAAGACGGGCGATGTCCTCAATGTATACTCGACCAAGAAGACGGGGTATCTCAAGTGCGAATGCAACGGCAAGACGGGGTACGTGCCAGCGTCGTACGTTGAGTTTCTGGATAAGGACACCACGGGGGAAGCGACGTCGTCGCCGCGAAAAGCGGGCAAGAAGAAGAAGTCCAAGAAGAAAAAGGGCAAAAGACACAGTGGATCGTCCGACGACGACGACGACCCGGATGTGACCGACGACGAGGAAGTCACGAGTCGGAAGAAACACCGCGACAAACCAAAGAAGCAGGACGAGGGCGACATGAGCGATGACAAAGGCGGCGGTGACGACAACGGTGACGACACGGGAAAGAAGGCGAAAAAGAAGCACCATTCGGCCCACAAGTCGTCGAGGCAACGACGCAAGAAGCGGCACAGCAGTGACTCGAACAGCAGTGACGACGACACCAAGTCGGCACGTCGCAGGCACCGCCGTCGTCACCGATCGTCACGACGCCGTCGAGGGGGTCATGACGATGACGACGAAGACTCGGACAGCCCCCGCAGCTCCGACGATGACTCGGAGGAGGATCGACGTCGACGTCGGCGGGCGGCTAAGAAGAAAAACGACGGGGGCAGCGACGACGACGACAGTGATCGGGGAGGAGGGGGGAGCCCCAAAAAGAAGGTCTCCAAGGAAGGGGGAGGAGGGGCAAACAAGGGGGAGTCGTCGGATCGACCGCAGGACAAATCAGCCAAGGCCACAGCATCCGCTGCAATTGCCAAGAAGGAATCTACCGACGACGACAACGATACCGAACGTGGCCAGTCTCAAGGAGGGGGGGGAAGTGCGGCGACGGCAGCCGCATCATCGACGAAAGATGCCAAGCAGGAGCAGCCCCCTTCGTCCGCGCGGCGTAAGGACAACGAAGTACGCGAGGAAAGCAGCACAAAAAACCTCACCACCACCGCGTCTGCCAGCAGTTCAAACGCCCCCAAGAGCACGATCGGCAAGATGCAGGACAAGATGCGATCCATGTTGGGGAAAAAGGGAGATGGCACGACGTCGACGAAGAAGTCGACACGGGCCAAGACACAAAGCAACGGCATCTTGAACGCGTGTTCAGGCACGGTACAGGGCGAAGAAGGGTGGTACGAGCATGGAGAGTGCGAGCGCTACTACTTTGTGCTGCTCGAGGGCAAGTGGAGTTTGCTGTACGGACCCATGACAGACGACGACTTTGAACTGTTTTGCAGCAAGGTACTACATACATACATACATATACATGTCTTTACTGGATGTGTGAGGAATACGTGGCGATGTAGGTCGTCGAATACGATTTAATGATCGAACTGCCCGCGACGCATTTGCACAAGAGCGGATACTATTTGGACAAAGACTTCAAAGTGCGGCACATCAAGCCCTGACTGCAATATGCACTATTAATCCTAGTTATTATACACTATCACGTTGTGTGCTTGTTTATATCTTCTACAAATTTGTAAAACATTGGGTTGATGGATTGTATAGGTTCCATGGGGGCTATACAGCTACCGGTAGTGTACTCAGTAGCTTACTGTATATCCATGTCGCCTTTTCAGTGCAAGCTGGTGGCTACAGTACAGTCTGTATGGTTGGTTGGTAGGTATTGCCTCCACGTACCACCACATTGTTATTCCTTGGTGTCTTAGCCGTTGCAGACTCTGTAGCTCCCTCACGATCGGCGAAGTCAACCAACCGTACTCCACTCTGGGTTTCGTATGTACACTTTCCTATTCTAGTACTTCGAAGTATGACTTTTAGCAGCTCAGTAGTACGGTAGTACACCAGAAGGTAGCTTGATTGCGAATGTCTTTGACAAAAACTGTTAGTACGGTAGTACACCAGAAGATTAGCTTGACTGCGAATGTCTTTGACAAAAACTGTGCAAGATTTCCTGTGTAGAGTGTTCGCATCACACGAGATTCACCAGATTGAAAGCCTAAATTTCTACCTTATTCATCTCAATTGGCAGTAAACTCAACAGCAAGTTGAACAACGTAAGCCACGTGCAATTTTGAAATGAAATAGTCTTCATATTAAAAAAATTGCATATCAACATTTTGCTTAATGCAGTTTTGAAATTCTGAACGTTTCACTTGACGTGGTGGCCGTTGCACCACGGGCCGTCGGTTAACTTTTCTCCAAATCCCAAGAAGCTTATAAGTATGAACACCTTGGCTACATGCATAGTTGCCAATTGCCAATTGGACATTGTTCAATTCGCCATTTCACATCAACATGCCAGTGTCTGGAATCCCCTCGTCGTCGTACCTGCCTGCCGAGAAGTCATGGTGTGCGCGGTGCCGCAGCATGGTGCCCCAACACAAGACCCGGACGCACGTCTTCTGCATGGAGTGCACCACCTGTATTGCACCAGCCAAGACAACTAACACATCTACGTGGAGCGCGCGATGAAGTCAAAATGATAAATGTTGTATTACAGCTGCGCATTTCACTGTCGTTGTCTTGAACTGACTAACGTTAGAATGTTAGAATGTGATGTTTGTTGTAAAGTAAGAGCATTCCCACCGGTTAATTGTAAGCGTGGCGATAAACACATAAAGTCAAGCCACCAGTTGCTGTTAGACATTTGAGACAAGTTATGGTTTAAACCTTGACGAAAATTGATTGGTCCAGTACAATTTTCCAACTTGTAGGCGGCCAATGGGAGCGCAGCGCGGCTGTTGGTCATGTTCATGTCAAACTGGTTCTATAGTTAGCAGCACAAACGAATCTGCGATCAAGCCAACGCTGGAGTGACCGTAATGTGGCCTTCCCGTTGGATTCTGCAAGACTACGACGACTTGAGTCGCAAGAAGTGGTGTTGTCACTGCAAGCAACTCACGCTCCACCGCAGCACAACGACAGACGTACGCTCCTGCCTACTGTGCAACCACGCTATCTCCATCAGGTACTCCACGGGTAGGCCAAGACGACGCGGCTGCTGACAAAGATGCTCCTAGTTTAACGTTGTCGAGATTCGTTGAAACTTGTATTGCCGACCATTGTATTAATACCATCACGACGTGAAAATCATCCACGCAAGGATCTATCCAGTCACGATTGATTGTAGATCACAACGCCCTTTCTTGTACACAAGTCATCGACAATAATAGATCTCCATGTGCATCGAAAGAAACTGATACTTTGGCATATACACTGGTAACACACCAGTACACTGTACTGTATACCAGTGCACCGAAGGGCAGTGAGTAGGCACCGAGTGAGCAAAGTATTAAAAATGGAATCATCATTGCTATTGTCTTCAAATGTAGCTGACAATCTAACAGACGATGCACATTACTCGTCTTCTGCTTCATCGTCGTTGGCATCGGTAACTCTCAATGCCTTGAGAAAGCTGCCAACGTCAAGCATGGTTTGGGCTAGTTGGCTCCGACGTCTCGCAGCTACGTACGTACATTAGTTGTCAGGTCTTTTCACAACCCCACGCGAGATTCATACTTTCTTGCTTTCGCAGCCGATTCAACAGCACCAGCGCCACCCGCTCGTTCCAAGTCGGAAGTTTGCGCAGGCATTGCATTTTCACACGACGTTTTTCAGTGGACGTTGGCTCGCAATGCTGCGCTGTCCCCACTTTTCCATCGGCGTTGGATCCTTGTAGAAGATGTGAACCATATTCCTGCACGTCTTCAAACTCCAACACCAAGTTCATGATCGCTTTGGACACTTGAGCGCTGTCGCTTGCAATTTGAAAATGAAGTCGATCTTTATCCGAATCCGGATAATTCAAATGTGCAATGTACATTTTGCTGTTTAACTGTTAACAGCACTACCGGTACCAAATTGACTGTAAGACACTCAATTGGTAGTGGATTCGACCAGACTCGGGCACAGCGATGGCTTACTGGAGCGGATCACCCATGTAGTACTTTTCAATGGCTTCAACATACCAACTTTGTGTTAGTGCTACTGTACATACGTACAGATTGAGGCATCCATGACATTGAGCCTCCACACATTCCAAACGTTGCCTAAAAATACATTATCATGTTTGAGAGGTTGTACTTCCCGTTGTACGTACCGTGTATTGGATTATTATTTCGTCAAACTGTAATACTTTTTGGGCGTACTAATTCATACAATACGTACGTCGTACATAAAACAATCCCTGTGAAATTGCATGTTGCGTTGGCACCACTTATCATCCATCCGCAATCTCAATCGTCATGAGCCTGCTCGCCCTTCCTGCCCCGCCCAAAGGTGCCGACGACTCCAAGGTCCTCCTTGGGTTGGGTGGCTACCCGCACTTGAAGCGCGTGGAAATCGCCGGTCGCTCTCTGCACAAGCGTGTGCGCAACGCGGCTCGTGGCCGCTCGCTGTCGATGGAAAGCGTCGGCGACGACGCCAAGGTCGCGGCCAAGCTGCAAGAAGAAGCCATCTTGGACAAGTACCGCAAGTCCATCAAGGGCAAGCAGTTCCTGCAACTGACCATGTACCAGCAGCTCGGCTTGACTGACGTGATGTTTGACGCCACGCCCGAACAAATCAAGAAGGCGTACCACCGCGTATTGATTGAGCACCACCCGGACAAGACCCTCAAGGATGAAGACGATCCCAACTATTTGGCGGTGCAGAAGGCGTTCCACACGCTCACGGACGCACAGAAGAAGCGCGCGTACGACTCGCAGTGCGAGTTTGACGAATGGATTCCCCTGGGCACGGAAAAGATCAAGACCGACGACGGCAAGGGCACTGTCGACTTTTACGCGCTGTACGGACCCGTGTTTGAGCGCAACGCGCGCTTCTCCGAGGTCAAGCCCGTGCCCCTCCTCGGCGACGACAGCACGCCGCTGGACGATGTGACGGCGTTCTACAACTTTTGGTTCCAGTTCGACTCGTGGCGCGACTTCACCCACAACGCCGAGCACGACGTTGACAGCGCAGAACATCGCGACGAGAAGCGCTTCCTGATGAAGAAGAACGAAGCCGCCGCCAAGAAGCTCAAGAAGAAGGAGTACGCGCGTCTGGCGACGCTGGTCGACCGCGCGCAAGCCAACGACCCGCGCCTCCGCCGCGTCAAGCAGGCCGCCAAGGACAAGAAGGAGAGCGAAAAGCGCGCCAAGGAAGCGGCTGCCCAGGCCATCATCGACGCCGCCAAGAAGGCCGAAGCCGACGCCGCGGCGGCTAAGGCGGCGGCCGAGGAAGCCGAGAAGGCCTCTAAGAACGAAGCCAAGCAGGCCAAAGAAAAGCTCAAGAAGGCCTTCCGCAAGGTCAAGAAGCAGTTCCGCGAACTGCTGCAAACCGCCGCCGACGTCCGCGTGGACGAGTACGAAGTCGAGTTCTTGTGCGAGTCTCTTGAATTCGACCAAGTGACTGCGTTGAACGAAGCGCTCGCCGCCAACCAATCGGCTGGTGTTGAAGAAGTCGTCCAAGTGCTGACTGGCCTGCGCGGAGACAACTACATGCAAAAGCAAGCTGCCAAGCGCGGTTAAGGCTAATCTAACCAACGTGTGATGACCTACTAATGTGTCTGGTTGGCTTCAGCACTAACAACGTTAGCAAGTGTGTGTGAGCTCCTGTTTGGAAATTCTGACGATCGCGACTTGAATTAGTGTACGAAGCGGATGTTATACTAACAGCAAGTCAAAAAAATGTGGACAACTTCAAGTGAAATCTGACGTGGAAATGCAACAACAGCCAGTTGGGCCCCTTTCTCTCGTCACCTGTTGTGGCACTTTGCCAAACGTACATACCACGCACAGAATTATGCTGAGTGGCCTTTCGTGGGCTGCCACTGGGCTTTTACTTGTTAGTTTACCTAGCGGATGGTCCCTGGCCTTTGACTCGACCTACGCGTGGTGCCAGTACCATTGCTCCGAGTTTGCACTGGCCCACCCACGCAATTGCTCGACGTGCCAGCAGGACGATGGCATGTCGTCAGAAGGACGTCGCCGACACTTGGAAGCTGCCGCCACATCCAAAGCATCCTTGAACTTATCCAATGCGTCCTTGAACTTGATTGCATGCGACGCACATCACCTCCACGTCAACATGACAACGAAAGGCGTGGGGTTTCATTCATTTTGGACTCAATTCCAACAAGCCACGGACCACATATTGGACAGTCCGACCAGTCTCTTCCTGCAGGGCTGCGATCTATTCAACCTGGCGTCACTGCCGTCCATCGATGTAGCCATGGTACGATACCACACAGATACATTTGGTCATGTCAGTACGACTCATCAATGCTATGTCTATTTCATACGCCTGCAGGCAATGGGCAATGCAACGATGGCGCTGCCAGTGTTGGTGCAGTTGCAGCGATCTCACCACGAACACGAGTGCGTCGAGGCCATTCAATCCATAGCATCGACGGCAACTGTCGTGAGTCGAAGCAACGGAATTGACCACGGTAAGTTCCATCAACACTTTGTGATCGATTGTGATCCATCCAATGAGTGTGTAGGTCGTACAGTAGTGCTAGTCCATGCTACCTTGGACCAGCAGGTAGCCATGTCATCCTTAGCTTGTGTGGACGACCAAGTGTTGCCGCTGCCTCCGCTGTTCAAATTCAGTCCGTTGGCGCGCTCTCTGCATGCCATGTACTCGACGGCGTCTCCAGCGGTGCACATTGCCCTTGTGGACGGCGCATCCTCGTCCGGCGTCCTGGCGTCGTTGAATGCTGGGCTGAAGAGCACCACGGGCATCCACAACCTGGTTACGTTCGATGACGATGGCCTCTTGTATGAATATCTCTTGCCATTACTAAACAAACAACCCCTGAAACCAAACCATCTGAAACCGAGTCGAACTTGGTAGGGGGGTGCCACCACTGACGAATTTCAAGACGTGGGCGACAGCTATTGCGTTGGCTTGCAGTCATCCTCTCGTCGATTATGTCACTCGAACGTCCATCATGGAGACATTCGACTTGCCTCTGTCGTCATATACTCGGTCCAGTGACTACTCGAGTGACCAGATCTCATCCATCGTTGGCATCGACAACGCCCACAAGCATGGCATGTGCGTACCACGTAGAACGTAATTGAAAGACTTGGCCGTTTTGAGAATAGTTTGGGCCATGGGGTCGTGGTGGGCATCTCCGACTCTGGCTTGTACATGGACCACGACCAGTTCGACCAGCCAAGTCCCCGGGAGTTCGGCACCATCAACCCCCACGCTCGAAAGGTACCCCCTTCTTCCCGTTAGTTGGTTTCTAGTCAGTTAAGAGTGACTAGGTGGTGCTGTACGAACCCATGGCAGACAGAGTGGACCAGTCCAAGTCGGTCACGTGTGGTCATGGCTCCCATGTGAGCGGCATTTTGGCAGGCAGTTCCTGGAGCCAACTGCATCCGGATGTGGGCGTCGCTCCACAGGCCAAGATTGCGTTTACAGACATTGGCAGTCAAGTATGTACAGTAACCACCAATATGGGGATTCTAAGTGTGCAAATACAATTCAACTGGTAGAACGCGTCGTGTGCCAACAACAGAGCCTTGGAATGTCCTGTGAAGCTGACCACTCCGTTAACCGCTGCGGCGTTGATGGACAAGCAAGTCCAAGCAGGCGCCAAGATCTTTTCCTACTCGTGGGGCACTCAAAAAGACGACTACAGCAGAGTACTCTTGCCCGTCCAAGTGTTGGCAACCACTCAAACGACTAACGACTACTACGTCACTAGCAAGCGCAAAATCTAGACGAGTACTTGTTCAACCATCCCGAGATTTTGGTTGTGATTGCGGCTGGGAATGGCGGCGACGACGGCGTGCGCACGATCAGCTCTCCTGCCGGCGCGAAGAACGTCATCACGTACGACATATACTTAGTCGTTTCAGAACGTTATTTTGGAGGAGCCGTAGGGTGGGGGCATCGCTGACATCTGCCGACAGTTTGTTGGCCAAGTTCCGATGCCCGCGGGTGTACAACCCCCAGAGCGTCGCGTCGTTTTCGTCGCAAGGGCCCACGAGCGACGGACGGATGAAGCCGGATCTGGTCGCTCCGGGGGAAGTCTTGTGGTCGGCCAAGAGTGAGGCCCCTGGGTCCACTGCCAAAACCAGCGACGTATGTCCACTCCAAGGCACGTCGCAGGTACGAACAAAATGTCATTCAACATATCATTCGTGTCAAAATGATATAAGATATATCTGTAGGCCACGCCTGTGGTTGCGGGTATGGCAGTGTTGATTTACGAGTGGCTACGAGACGGGTGGTGGCACGAGGGAGTGTACGATATCTCCGTGGGGATGACGTACATTCCGGCGTCATTGATCAAGGCGCTGTTGGTCCACAGCTCAAACGGCCTCGTCCGTCGATTGGATCACAACAAAGTCCACCAGGCATGCGACGCTCGCACCAGTGTGCCACTGCACTACCCAGACATGAGTCAAGGTACGAGGTTATAGTACATACTACTCACAACTCTAATAGTTACTAGACTTGGCTCATGGTGATAGTGTATGTAGGCTACGGTCTACCCAACATGTCGAACGTAGCCTTCTTCAGTAGCGACGATCCCATCGTCAAGTTTTGGCCCAATGCGTTGCAACCGGCGGCGCCGTTGGTGGCCCACCACAGCCAAGACTCGTACCCAGCGACGTTGACTCGCCATCAAGTGTTTCGGGCGACGCTGGTAAATCTTGATCGTGTTGTATAGCGGGAAGGCTACCTACCAGTTAGCCTTGTTGATCGTGTCTTTCATAATGTTTGATCTAGGTATGGACGGACCCACCGGGCAATTTGGTGGCTACGCGCATGTTGCAAAACGATTTGGATTTGTTTGTGACTGTGCGAGGCGCGCCGCACATTGTCGTGCGTTCGCTAACCTCCAGCGACGAATGTAACGACCGACTCAACAACGTGGAAATGGTGCAAGTGTCGTACAAGGACGTTCTTCGAGCCGCGGGGTCCTCTGAACTGCAAAGCCGACAAGCGATCGAATTGGAGCTGCATGTCAAGGGCGCGTCTGTGTTGATCCACGGACCTCAGGCGTACTCCGTCGTGATGTCCATCACCCCATCGACTGGGGCGGCGTCGCGGCGGTCGTCCGGGAAATCGCCCATGAGCACGCTTATGGCCTCGAATAGTTGGGATGACTGGAGTAGTTTGTGGTGGGCAAGTGCACTTGGAGTTGTCTGGATTGGCTTGGTGGTTGCGCTCGTTCGCCATTTTCGACGACACAAGGATCAAGCCCAGCCTACAAAGATGGTGGTGCACCTGCACTCAGATGGAAAAAGTTATGGCTCGACATAGTCTTTTAAAGCATATTTTCCATAAATAATTTTTATAAATATTTATTTTTGTTTAATACTATAAATAGCATTTAAAAAAATTGAGAAAATAACTGGTAATAATTTAAATTAACTCCAAAGTTATAGGTTCAAGTCCTATCTGACGAGAATATTGTATGGATAGTTGTAAAAAAAACAATAGAGGAGAGAGAGTTAGGGCTCGCTACGCTCACGAAGTGAAACGGGAGTAGAAGAGCTTAAAAGGGGAATTACTCTCGGAGAAGAGAAGTTGACGAATACGTCAGCGTAAAGCGGTGAGAAAGGTGCTTACTCGATTAGAGTAGAAATACAGAAATATTTCAAAAGTCCTATACCCACAGTCTTTTTTATTTATGTATTTAATAAGAAAGACACAAATACAAAAATACTAGAAAATTGGAAGTTTGGTTTTTCCCAAATACAAAAAAACAGAAATACAAATTTCTAGGAAGTTTGATTTTGGTGAAAGGCAGAAAAACAAAAACCCAAGCTATCAGCAGTTTCAAATTTCATAGAGAAAACAGAGAAGTTAAGAATACGATTTTAATCATCATCTTAACAGTTCAGATACAATAGAGGTATATTTTACATTACGAAATTCATTTTAACGTCTTTGGAGTTATTTGCCATTTTGTGCCTTGATTATCCAAAATTGGCCATTTTTTTCGAGTACCACGCACGATATACTTTAATCTGTGTGAAAATATCCCCAAATGGTCCGAATTACACGCGAGATTGAAACTCCACGAATGAAAAACTAAAATTGTTATTGTCGATTTGATACACATTTGGGGAGGGGGTGCAATCGAATCGCGCCGACCAAACCGATCCACAATCGATCTGATTGGTTGAATTTCGTTGAGAAATGGGTTTGATTGGCTAATAATTTTGAGCTCATCTGAGGTAGCCAATCAGATCGATTTATATTCCAACGAGAACCCACATTACAACACAATGAAATTTCACTCGAAAGTACAATATCGTCACAATAAATCAATCTGTCGCAGGAGCTGCGCTACTAGTATGGCTAGAGTGCTGCTTCTTCCACTAGAGGATTCCATCAAAAAAGGTCCGCAAGGCAATCAGGTCAATGGAAATCTGGGGATTCACGAGGGCTGCCAAAGCTGGTGGCATTGCAACACCAGTGTAGATAAGAGCAAGAGGAAATGAAATCGCAAGTGGAGGCAATGGAGGATGACCAAATGCCACTTCTTGATTGGGCTGACCACGCTGGCACAAGATTGCCGTTCGATTGGATGAGGCAGCAACGATTTTAATTCCAATCACAACCTGGACTGAAGTGTTGTGCATCCAACGCACAAGTTTCGCACGGAGTCGACCCAGGTCTTCATTCTTGTAGGTGATCTCAACAATGACATTGGGGTAGGGATGGTTGTCTGCAGCCTCCAGCACCGCTCCTCCAACTGCCAGACCCGCAGGAGTAAGTGAACTGTCCGGTTCTTAACCACGATCTCCAGTGCGGCATGTTGGATCGGTTGCAGGTTTAACAGAATACATCAGGCCAAAGTCGTTGCCAGCCCTTGCAATTTGCTCGAGGAAGATGGTTGCGATTCGACCTGCTGTTTCAGCGTGAACGAAGGACGGGATGCTATAAATGACCACTCGTCCTGTTGCCGTTCCATCTGCAAGAGGCTCAAAGACCCACCGTCGCACACGCCCTTCGTTGCAGTTGAGCCATCCTTGGAAATCGTCCCACATGATGGCCTCACACAGAACGACAGATCCCCAAAAAGCATCGCCATCGTCATCGATGTTTGGCGCGTTGGCGGGTGGGTCGTTCCAGATGATTTGCAATTCCTTCATGGCCTTGTCACAATCTGACGCGTGGATGACTTGTTTTCGCCGCCGTGCAATTTGCGCTTCTGCTGGGACCAACTCTGTGTCATGTGTATGTCGTGGATCGCGTTGGTGGATGTCTGATATTACCCCCAAAGTCGATGCGTGGTTTCATCTTCCTCGCATCTCGAAATGATATGGATATTTTCAAGAGAATTTGGGATCTGCTGTCTGATTGGCTAGTTTGAAAATACACATCACCAATTGGAAGATTCTCATTTATCTGGATGGATCACGTCCCAGCTCGTCCATATTTATCCGGATAAATGCAACCAAAACGTTACATTACAATTCGTCGTCGAATTACAGTAACGTTAATTAATTCTGCCTTAGAGTTACAGGTTGTATCGAATTGTGATACAGACGAGTACGAGTTACCCACTCTAATCTCGGCCAAATAATTTGCATTGCACAATACTGCACTCGAGTACTTGATATGAGTAGCATTTTTTTAGTACTGTAATATCATATTAACACTGTGATCAATTTTACATGTCGCATATAAAAGTAACTTCCGTGAGAATAATTAAATTTCTCCTCATTTTGAACTATATAATATAATATATACTACTAAATATTGTACTACTAATATAATTATGCCGAAGCGTTCAGAAAATTGGAAAGAATATAAAAACCTATATCCAAATAGTAATGTTTCATATAAGACATCAACTAATGTATTCTTGGAGTCTAAAATTCAAGCTCATCAAGCTAATCAAACCAATCAAGCTAATCAATCCAAGAGCGCAAAAATTAATAATTTCGTTCGAACAATTAAGAAATCTAAATCCAAAATCAATATTACTATTAGAAACGGTAATGATACACCAATCGATCTAAATGAAATAACTGATTATGCACCGACCCTATTAAAACAATATCATTTAAAGGATAAATCTGTGTATATTAGAGGTTTAGGTCAGCTAGGGTTTGCCACTTTGAAAAGTTTAGATCGACCATTAGCTTCAACCTTGAAGTACAAGGATAAGACTAAACTTACTGAAAGTTCCAAAGTCTTTAGCAAATGGTACCATAGTTTAGCTACATTAAAAACTAAGTGTCCATCCAATAAACTAATTAAAAGATGTTCTCAACGTGTTGGGGCGAGTTACAATCTAAAAATGTTATCGTTAAGTTAACAGATCAGATTGAGACTGAACATTTTGATTATGGTCAATCAATTGATGTAAATGACAATAGACACTATTAAAAAAAATTCTTTATGCAAGAAGATCAAGAATTCTATCAACTCATAGATCTAACAAAACCATTATACAAGCATCAACTCAGATTAAAACCATTCTTAGCTAGCTATGCTAGAAAGATAATGAAGTTATTAGTATTAAAAAGTATAGATAATGTAATTCGGGTTATGACAGATAGCATTACATATGATGCAGACTTAGAAATTAATGAATACTTGTTTATCAAAGAGAAAGCTAAATCAAATATCCGAGCCGAGATTAAGGGTAATTCACTAATCAAGTTATAAATACAAGAGTAATAATCAATATTTTTTTAAAATTATACATCTACATTATGAAGATAAAACAATCTTTATCTTAAGGAATAATATATATATAATATATATATAAAATGGAAAGTTTGAAAAATCAATTTGCTGAAAAAGTTAATTTAGCTGATAAAAGTAGCAGAAATGTATTGCTTTTTTCTGAGCAATCAATCGACGAAGTAACTCTCTTATTTGCTAAAGGAAAAGCTGAAAAAATTAATCAAATTCAAACGAATGTGATTTCACTAAGCTTTAAATCAGCAATCAAAGCAGATCAAATTAAGATCGCTCATTTCTTATTATATTCCTCTTTTAAGAAGAATGATGATCTAGTTTTGAATGAAGATGACAAGCGAAATAAATTTTATATAAATCATTTGAAAAAAATCTTTGATTAGCAGAATTAAGCAATTTATCTAAAGAACAATTCTTCAAGCATTATCCTCAAGAATTTCTCTCTCAAAAAATGTTTACTGCCATTAATACTTGGTATACGAATGCAATGTATAAGGAATTGAATAAGCAGTTTGAAAATATCAAATGGAAGCCATTTCAACAGACTATCTTAGATATTTGTAGTAAATCAGCTGATGAACGAGCTATTTATATCATTGAGGATGTTGATAAACGTAAAGGTAATACTCTTCTCAAATCTGGTAATATTGGTAAATCATTCATCTGCAATAAGTTAGATTTGGATTACAATGTCATTATTGCTGATGGTAAAAAAGATAGCATTTTTAATCAAATTAAGACACAGATGGACAAAGGTAATATACCAAATGTAATTATTCTAGATGTACCTCGGCAAGGAAAAGACTATATTAATTTGGTGCTCTAGAACAAATTAAAATTGGAACAATTTACAGCGGTAAATACGAAGGTGGAAAATGCATATATCCATATCCTCATGTATTTGTACTAACTAATTTCAGAGTTGATACGTCTCAATGGAGTGCTGACCGAATGAGATTTATTAATATTGAGAATGGTAATATAGCTACTTTTAGAGAACCAAATGAAGATGGTGTATATGATGATGTAATTGATACATCGGATATTAACTATAAAGAAAAATATTGCGATCTTCTAGCTCAATGTGAAATTTTAGAAAATGAAAATGAATCTCTTAAGAAATTAAAATTAAGACGATAGTCTTATAACTTTAAAAACGCACACAGTCCGTTATAAAATTACAATTTTAAAAATACTTTCTTAATTTTTTTGTTTCGAGCGACAGTTAGTGTCTTTAATTCATTAATTAATGTTGGCACATTTGTTTGCTCAGGTGACGAGCTCGGTTGCGGTTTACTGTTAGTTGCATCTTGAGTACGAATTCTTTTTTTTGCTTAATTAAAATTCTCATGACGAACGTTTAAGCCTTTATATATAAATGCAAAGCCTTTACTACAATCTGTGAGTGTATATATTTAAGAAGATATTAATAGGAAAATATTAATAGCTGGGTCTTTAATGTACTTCGAAGTATAAAGGAACACCATTTTGATCCGTAAATGCAATTACCTGGATATTAGCAGTAGTAGCAATATCGTAATAAACCAGATTAGTTGGTTCAGTCTTAATTATACTACCATAACTAACTCCGGGCAGTTGTAGCTGTGTAAATAATAGTTGAGTCATTATTTAAAGCCATTGCATCATTAGCTAAATTACAAGTTACATTAATACTAGATACTGGACTAACAGTCCGGACTGTAAATTGTGGTACATATAACGAGTTGTAAGTAATAGTTGAAGTATTTCCATCAAATACAGATGATTTACCTGTATTGTATCTGAACTGTTTACATGACTTGTTCATGGAATTCGCAAGGTGAGCCACCTTGCTCCTTTTTAATATCCAATCAGAGTCCATCACACCTTGTTTCTTACACACGATTGGCTATAACACTGACAGAAGACGTTACAATTTTGAACTTTGAATTTTGTAGTAGAGCTTTGTGTGATGCTGCTCCAGAGAATTGTGCCCTTATGAGTGCACTCCGACTATGTCCAATGTGATTCTCCCCTTACAGCTAACATTATGTTGTGCGCTCGGTTGGGTCGCAATGTCGTGGTGGCTCTGGTGGGGCCAACGCGGTGGCGCATGAGGTCTTGGTAGCACCCATCGCAAACGCAAAGTGCTAAAGCCGCCACTTCAGCACTTGCGATGGGTGCCACCAAGACGTCTTGCGCCACCGCCCGCGCAACCACGTGATCACACCGGCAGGGAGGTGTACGGCACCGACACGGGCTGGATGGTGGAATATGGGATGACCAATTTCATTGGGTTAGTAGACAAGTGGTGAAATGAGACCTGTTAGAATTGTCCGAGTCCTGAATACCACATCACATGATCTTGCTCTCATACACAACCTACAATTATCTCAAGGCTCCTTGCATCAACCGTCATCACAGGAATATATCGCAACAGGGCGTGATGAATCGACGCAGGGATTTTCGTGATTTCACCGCATCTGATTGGACAAAATTAGACAATTTTGAATTCGCAAGGGTGACCTGCCTTGCGAATTCCAAAAAGAGACAGACACATGAAAAATAAAAATCATCAATACAAACTTTAAGATATATTTAATTGAAACTATACAATTTCAGAATTATTTATGGACTTCGCAAGGTGGTTCACCTTGCGCTTCATACAAAATTGCCTATTTCACCTTGCTTTTTCTGATTAATGATGTTCAAAACAATATTTTTAACTTTTCTGTTTTCTCTGGGAAAATCAATCTCCTTCAGATCTTGTGATTCTGTATTTTTGTCTTTCAAACTTCTGAAATATTTGTATTTGTGTTTTTTTTGTTGCTGAACTTTTTTCAAACTTCTGAGTAACTTGTATTTGTGTATTTCTTATTAAATACATAAATACAAAAAGACAGTGGGTATAGGACTTTTGAAATATTTCTGCATTTCTTGTTTCTACTCTAATCGAGTAGGCTCCTTTCTAACCGCTTTACGCTGACTATTCGTCAACTTCTCTTCTCCGAGAGTAATTCCCCTTTTAAGTTCTTCTACTCCCGTTTCACTTTGTGAGCGTACTAGTAGCGAGCATGCTAGAGGGTCCCTAACTCTCTCTCCTCTATTATTTTTTTTTGTAACAAGTACCTACGCAGTGTTTAATTCAATCGCAGACGAGCCTGGTATTGTGCAGGGAATCCAAAGGTCGGTATCCTCGGTTCATTCGGTGTCGTATATGGCTCGATGAACCTCTCTTTCGACAAGTTCATTCTCAACAACCTGAACGGTTGTATGTACTATGTACTCCAGCACCAAATCCTGTCAACCACGAGCTTTATGGAATATTTAACCCCAGTTTTTTCAGCTTAAGCGTTCAAAACGAGCGAATACGACGGGGGACCAATGACCAACACAGACGCCCCTTTCACATGCACGTATATTTATTCCGAGGGTGGAACCCTAGACGTCCTCGTACGTCACTTTCACCATTTACTCGTTGTTGAGTCGGTCGTTACGTTCGTCATTGGAGGTTAGCGAACGGACGACAATGTGTGGCGCACAATCACAATCAAATCCAAATCGTTTTGCAACATGCGCGTAGCCACCAAATTGCCCGGTGCGTCCGTCCATACCTAGATCAATCATTATTAAAGATACGACTAGCCTTCCCGCAATACAACACGACCAAGATGCAAGGCTCGCACCCTGGCGTCTCAGTTCCACTGTACGTGGATCCATCGCCCCCGGGACGGCAACCAAGCCGCGGACTTCCTATCAAAATGCGGACGCCTCCGCCAGTTTTGACTCCCTACACGATTACAAGTCCCCCGCCGTCCCACCGGCAGCCTCAGCGACCCTCCTGGACTTCCTCGACGAGGACCTCTCCTTCAACCCTGGTTGATAGCACCCCCCTACATCAGTAGCTTTGCTTGTATAAGTCTCTGAAATACACAATATCTCTCTAAAAAAAACACGACCAAGATATACATACCAGCGTCGGTCAACGGCGCTGGGTACGAGTCTTGGCTGTGGTGGGCCACCGACGGCACCACCGGTTGCAACGCATTGGGCCAAAACTTGACGATGGGATCGTCGCTACTGAAGAAGGCTACATTCGACATGTTGGGTAGACCGTAGCCTACATACACTATCACTATGAGCCATGTCTAGTAACTACTACAGTAGAGTTGTGTGTAGTATGTACTACAACCTCGTACCTTGACTCATGTCTGGGTAGTGCAGTGGCACACTGGTGCGAGCGTCGCATGGCTGGTGGACTTTGTTGTGATCCAATCGACGGACGAGGCCGTTTGAGCTGCACGTCAAAGTGCAGTGTGTGAAATTCCATTATTACTAGTGGTCGTGATGGATTCGCTCTTTTCATCAGTTGGAGTATTGGCTAAGCGAATACCTCTGCCATTTCGGCAGATGACATGCCAGTCGGGTCATTTGATTGGGTAGGTCCAACCTGCATTCTGGCTGGCTTCAATAGAATTCAACTCCAAGTGAGATTTGAGTATTGCCACCATCAATTGCTCATCATGGCCACCGGACTCCAGTTTGTCAAGAATGCAATCGCTCAGCATGCCGTGGTCGTGTTCTCCAAGACGACATGTCCGTACTGTGTGATGGCCAAGGAAGTGCTCAAGTCCACCGGCGCGACGTTCCACGTGGTGGAATTGAACCGGATGGGGGACGAACCCACGGGCGACGACGTGCAGAACGCGTGCTTTCAGCTCACGGGCCAGCGCACCGTGCCGAATGTGTTTGTCAGTGGCACGTCCATCGGCGGAGGAAGCGACACCAAAGCGTTGCACCGATCCGGCAAACTCGTGCCGATGCTGCGCGAAGCCGGCGCCTTGCCGTGATGGACTTCCCGTGAGGTAAATTTCCAGTTAACGTTAACACACCAAATTCCTTCACGCACAATTGACGTATTCATAACAGACAAGCAATCATATATATATATATATTCCCCACATCGACGCGACCACACTACTACTCTTCGTCTTGCACCACTTGGATCGGGAAGAACTTCTTGGCTGGAATGCGCGCCTGGGCAGTGGCCGGCGGCGGCGCGCCGCACATGAGCCATTTGGTCGGCTCCTTGAGCATCGTGCATAATTCTTCGCTCACGGTGCGCTTCCGAGAGGTGGAATGCTTGGCGGCGAGCTGTAAGATGGTCGTGTCCAGCGGATTGTTGGGGTTGAGCACCTTGGTGGCATCACGGACCTGGTCTTTGCCCTGGTTGGCCGCCTCAGCAAACGACCATGTCACGTTCCGCTTAAAGGGCGAAATCTACTTCAACATAAGTGTGTCCACACTCCTGTTTATTTCCACATGTCTCACGCGACAAGGTTGAAGAAGGCTCGTACCGGTGGCTTAGCTTTGGGCTCGACCGCCAGCGATTTCCAATTTTCTTCGTCTGGCGACAAGAGCTGCGCCACGTCGGGCACATTCAAATGCACACCAGGCTCAATATCATTCATGAGGCTCTTGCGCTGCCCTTTGCGCCACTCTGCCATCTGTTTCTCGCTCCATTCGTCCAGCGGTTGGTTGGTCGAATCGTCCACAGGCTTGACGGTCTCAGTCGTTCCTGCCAGCCCTTCCGTGTGCGTTGCCATGGCCTCCAGCAGCTCGGGGGTTCGACTGATGCTGAACGTGCCATCTTTGTGCATTTGCACGAGTTCATCCAACTGGCGGCTGTGCGGCAGCCAGTGTTTGGTCACCACGCTGTACGCTTCGCTATGTCGTGTACTCAACCCTAACATTCAAGAACAAACACAAACAACGTCCACGTCAGAAACAAAAAGGCGAAACAACCGAACTGCTTCAGACAGTTACTATACCCTTGGGCACGACACAGTGTTGCTGGATCAAGTGCAGCAACTCAGGGGTGCGTTCCGAGTGCAATTTGCGATTGTTGATGCACCGCTCGGCGTGCTGCACCAACTCTTCGAGCAACCCCATATTTTCATTGTACCGCCACAGAATGTTCTGTAGCGCTTCGTTCTCTCGTGGACGGAGCTGGTAGCACTTGGTGTTGATCTCCTTGAGCAAGTGCTCCGCCTTGAGCATGTGCATCTTGTTCTCGCCAGACATGAGCAGCAAGTCGTCCAGCAATACCTTGACCCCTACCCCAATCTGGGCAGCGGGGGAGGTGTCGCACCACCCGACCCCAAACTGCCACCAGCGATGGCGAATGGCAAACGCGGCCGACGCCCACTGGAGCCGCTGCATGTAGTACTGCCCGTCCAAAGTCTTGAGCTTGATGGGGGTGTCGTCGCAGCCCAGCAGCCAGTCGGCCATCATATACCCGAGCGTGAGCTTGGACTTGTCGTCCGGCAGCGACGTCTGCTGGATCGTTTCAAACGTCAGGTGGATGTCCATCGCGTCCACGGCCTTTTGAGTCGCCGCGTCGAAGCGAGATGCAAACGACGAGTGTTTTTGGAATGCATGCGCCGTGGTGCGAAGGGCGGCGTAGTACGCCATGGCCTTGGCGTTCTCAGCCGTCGGACACGCTTTGGCAAGGGATTCCGACGGAGGTTTGATCTTGCCGGGGTTCTTACGTGCGGCCTCCAACAGTTCGTCCCGCGTAAACGCTTCGGGGGGCAGCCGACACTGGAGCGTCAATAGCCCCACCGCCATGTCTTCTTTCGTGAGCACTTGGTCTCGTTTGGCTTGCACTAGGGCCCGCGCACATCGGTCCAGGGCGGCGTACCCTAGATAGTTGTTGGTTGAGCCACTTCCATATAAAGTGTTTAAGTTTGGAGAGAGAATCATACCAGCTAGTCGCGCAGTGTACGCTTCGTGCACGAGCCAGTCGTGGAACCGGTGGACGAGCACCATGTAGTCGCCGCTCATGTCGAGCTCGACGACATCCGCTAGCTCCTTCATCAGCGCGGGCGACGCCACGGGGAACGTCTTGACCAACGAATTGCGCTTCCGCATCGCCTCTACGAGCAATTGCTTGCGCAACGCCTCCACGTGCCTGTCTACAATGCCCAAATGTCCATGTTCCTTGTTCATTCCTACAGAATTAACACCAGATAATTTATTATCCCTTTCGTCTGGGGGCTTCAATAATTTATGACACGGCAATTCTACAGTACCTAGGGCATGCGTGTTGATCCGCACCCCTCTGCAAAACACGGGGTCGCCCTTCTTGTCCAAGTTGTGCCCTACCAGCAGGTCCTGGATGTCGGACGTCTTGGACGGCAGGGGAACTTCCTTGACCTGGTTGGCGACCATGATGGAACACACTTTGGCGTAGCTGGCGTTGGCCGGTACGTTGATGCCCAATCGCGTGAGTTGCTCCTTTTGCATCGTGTTCAACAGCCCCTTGACCAAGTCCTCGGCTTCGGTCGTGGACAGGTACCGCTTTTTCAGCTCGTACAAGAGCTCCGTGAATGTTTCTGGCACGGCTAGCTCATGGTTTTGGTTGACGCAGTGTTTCACCTATACAATCCCAATACATGCATAAACGAAATCGACATATCAAATGATCAATTCGTACCTTCCACAACAAATCACCTTTACCCACATCTTCGAGCACATTGTACAGCTCCACCACACGTTCTGGGTTTGGCAGGGGCAAGTTTTGCTCGACCAAGAGCTCCAGGTTGTCAATCTCATCCAACACTGCACGTGGCCACAGTCCCGTGGATTTGTGGATATGGTCGATCTGAGACACTGGCATGGACCTACAAATGCACCATATATATTCCCATGTGATATACTAACCCTAATTGGTCAAAGTGACGACAATGCACGTACTTTGGCAAGACCCCGCGGTCCATGAGTGCTGCGCGGACGTTGTCGCATGTGAACAGCATCTCTTGTTTGGTGATCAGCAGTCGTGAGTCGCGTCCGTTCTCGGAATACGCGAGCCAGTTGTCTCGTTCGGCGTCAGTGGTGATGCGGTGGTATGGCAGGCGGATCAGCTCTCGGCGGGATTCTTCCTGGGCATACCATTCCATCAAGCCCTCGACACTCTCTTCGTCGTGGGCCTTGGTCGATGTTGAAGGCAATTTCGCGTGATCTTTGATCAAATTGAACTTGCGAAGGGCGAGCGGGGCCTCTTGGCAGTGAATTTTGTGCGCCAACTGCATCTCCAAAAAGTCACTCAACCACGTCTCAACCTGCGCCCATCTAGCGGTCACGGCCTTGAGCGCGATTTCATCCACGTCGCTAAATCCTTCGCACTGCTCGTTGAGGAGCATGAGCAGGTCATTCGTGCGGCGCCAGTGCAGGCCATGGGTGTCCATAAGACGCAGCTCGTTGATCGGTCCGTCGTGCTTGGTCAGCGCCACCCATCGGAATTGCACCGTGGACACGGCGTCGGCATGCCGGTCGTTGAGCCCTTTCGAGCACTTTTGAGCGACGAAATTCAGCAACAACGGTGCACGCCCCATGTGCAACTTGTTGCGTTCTTTCATTTGAACGAGCTCTTCCAGCGCGCCTTCCAGCGCCAGCCACTTGCCTTGGACTTGTAGCCAGGCCGTGTTGCGAAGGACGTCTAGGCCCTCGATTTCCGACTACAAACGACAATCCATTTTCATGCCAACACGTCGCACCTGTATATGTAAAACAACTACTTACCTCGATTTCGGCAATGAGGTGCGGCGTGCGCGTCGCGTGAATCTGCGGCTGCGACTGAATCTCCAGCAACTCGTTCAACTTGGGCTGCAAGTTCACCCACCGCGTGTGCACCTTGACCACGACTTCACGATACATGTGTACTTGGGACGAAAAGTTGGCCAAAAACGTTGGCAGTTGGCGCTTGTGGCTGAGAAAGATGTCCCACACGTGCTCCAGGAGCGTCGGTGTCGTCTCCCAGTGCAATTTGCCCGTGGATTGGAGTCGCAGCGCCTCCAAATACCCAAGGAGCGTCTGCCACCGACGACGTTGGGCGGGCACCACGGCCGAATTCACCCGGCGACGGGATACTTCAAACTGGTAAATGTACTGGGCTTTGTACTCTTTAAGCAATACGATCGCTGTTTCCAGCAAAGATACCTAGACATATGATCAAGTCCGTTTATGCTAATGATGGATCATCAGTGGATAGGAGTAGTACCTCTGAAAACGTCAACTTTGTCTTGACGTGCACGGTACCCCGTCGGAGAATCCGGTCGTAGCCGGAATTAGCTGGGGTTTTCTGGTCGCGGTACATTCGATCCAAATGAAGCGCGTATTGCTGGTTGTGTTCCTTCCGATCAATCAAGTCGATTAGCGGGATGATGGCGACACCCACGAGCTCGTCCCCCCGCACCCCCGCATGCCCCTTGGAGTCCTGGTCCACCAAAATGGAGATCTTGACGAATGAGCGCATGAGGTCGCTGACTAGTTGGGTGAGCTGAATCACCCGCGTTCGTTTTTGGAGTCGGTCAAACGTTTCAAAGTCCTCCTACAACAGCCCCCACTTGTGAATACCCCCCCCATATTCACATCTTGAAAGAAATATACATCGATCTACTCACATGATCCAAGTCTTCGACTTCGTCTTCGAAGAACGCCAGCAGTGACTGCGCCTTGTCCAAATGCACGTACGATGCCAACGCCATCGCCGCCATCTCGTCCAACTTTGGCAGCAGTTTCCGACTGCACACCCCATGCAGCTTGAGCAGTGTGCTGCGGAGGCGGTCGGTGGCCACATCGAAGGGCGACCGCTGCTCGACGTCCACTTCGTAGGTATCAGCCAAGTCCTCGTCGACGTAATCGGCCGACCATTTGCGTCGAACGAGCGATCGAGTGGATGACAGGCCCCGAGATGATTGCACCTAGGATATATCAGTTTTAGTAATCGACTGTCACATGCCAGTTTTCGAAAAAATGCACATATCTTTATATCATTTTTAGACAAGAAAATCGTAGCCACGAACGCACCAATTCCAAGACGGTTTCGGCCGTGGCAATGCCCGCGGCTAAAATGTGCTTGGCTTGCACTTGATTCAACGACGTCGGTGGCGGGGGTGGAAATGCGGATGCCGCCGTCAACGATCGAACTCCGCGGCTTCTTCCCGCGGGCGTTAAGCTGGCCTGGACGGTCAAAAGACGGACCAACCGCAACAGCTTCTGGACTTCCTTTTCTTGCTCAATCGCGTTGTTCACGACGATGACATTTGCCAGTTTGTCCGTCAAGCCCCGTTCGGCATGCTACAAGAAGTCACCAAACAACTCAATTGAGTGGCTGAAATCACGATGCACGAATGCCAAGATATGACAGCCTAAGCGGGAGGCTAACATATATATATATATATATATATATATAAGTATTTTGCGAATACCTTGGTTTTGAACTTCATGGACTGAGTGAGGAGCTCCATGGGGCTGAGAATCCACTTGTCGCGAGCTGAGCCAAGTCGAGCAAGAACGTTCGACCCTTCTTGGACATAAGTGTCACGACACACGCGGAATGTGAGGTTGCCTTGAGGTTCCTTGTTGAGGGGATCACCCTTCACGAACAGCACTTCTGTCCGAGTGGCCTATGCATGTCATGGTTAGGTTTATGATTATTGTTCCTTCATCAAGTACTGTACCTCTCGGGCTTGGATCTTCGCCAACGGCGTAGTGTGGATGCCAATGGTTTTGCCGGTTGTAAGGCTCACCACTTCTAGCGCCAGCATTGTCATGTGGGTCAAGTCCACCGTGGGCTACAACACGATGTATATGCAGGATAAGGCCACATACTACAAATGACAACATGACTAGTACATACATGGCCAAAGTAGAATTTCTTGAGTTTTTGGCTCTTCTCCCAATCGGGCAGTTTGCTCTTGAGGATTTCAGTGGTCGTCGTGCGCGGGTACTCAATGTCTTTCAAGTCTCGTACGACCTACATAAAGTTCCAACCCATCATGAATTCCTTTAATTGCTGATACAAATAACATGATAATAATTCATACCGTGCCATCAGATGCGACAGTGTAGCCGAGTCGATTGCGCCCGCCGCCATTCGGGGGCACTTCGTCGGTCATCAAGTACACCCGGACGCTAATGTCTTCGTCCTGGCGTTTGCCGTCGCGCAACATGGTCGTGTACAAGTCCCGAGCGCTGAGCACTTCGACGGTCAAGTTGTCTAGTCGAACATCAGCCAACGCAATGGAATGGGGCACCGCATCCGGATCGTCGACAAACTGAACGTCGCAGCGACCGGTGGAAGTCACCACGGGGCTCACCACCACCGCCGGACACAACGGAAGCAAGTCCTAATACCAATAAAAAATATGGTTAGAAATTTATATGCTCCAACGTATGGTCATCCGCACACGACCACGTACATGGCGCAATTGGCATTCTTGACGAAGCGTCGACTCGGCCAACGTGACTTCAAAGGTCGTGCCGTCAGTGGTCACGATATTCAACCGGACGTCGTCTAGGGCTTTCAGGGCAAGGGCTGGCTTGGGGTTGCCGCGCAAGTCCAAGCTGGAAATATCAGCATACAAAACTGCGTCGCTCGGCACATCGAGGGCGTCGGTACACATCAAGCTCCACGACTCGAGTTTGGTCGGTACATACACGAGGGATGATACTTCGGCGAGTGTCGACACGATCGCGTTTGCATGATCCAGCGCCGCCATCGCCGCGTCTGCCGCGCAGTTATTTTGCCCGACGAACGGCAACAGAATTTCAAAGCGCACGTGGATGGTGAGAAGGTGCGGGGCCACGCCCTTGATGCGCTTGCCGGTGCTCACATACGCCGCATCGATCGACCCCAACAAAGTCAAACTCACGTCCTTGACAGCTTTGCCGTTGATCGTGGATGTGATGGCGGCTACCCGGACGGACGGCATCTCCCGTGTCCATGGCAACCAGACATGCTGGATAGCGTCAACCAGCTGCCGCGTCAAGGCCGCCCCGACCTCTTGGGTCTTGCACTGATCCAGCAGCGCTCGGAAGGCTCGAGAGTTGGCTCCGGAAAGGTTGAGCGACCCCGGGATGGACACGTACGGCTCGGGCGCGACCGTGACCGCGACGATGTTGGCCCATGGAATTTGATCCTGCGGCTGGTTTTTCAAGTGCATCACTTTGCGCTTGTCGACGTCTTCCAGCTTCGATCCAAGCGTGTATCCGTGGTATTGCCCTTGCATGATTGGGGCCGCGTTGTCGCGTTCAACCAGTTGCACGAGGTTCCCCCGGAGACTGTCACGAGAGCTCACAGAGCCCACCGCCCCTGGCAGCTCCAACATGGTTTGAATCACATTCACATCTTGCCACAATCGCACTAGTTGGGCCGCCACGTCCGACCCAGGCAGACCACAAGCAACATCGACGAGATACACTGAGCTCAGATGGTACCGATCAGTGTTCCACCCTTCGTGGCCCAGGCGCAGAGAGTCGCGGGGAAGGGCCGCTGCCATCGTCCAGCTCTGGTCCTGCAGAACGTCGTACACATCGCCGTTTGGGTGGACGTGGGTGACCACACCGCGCACCAGCGTGGAGGTAGAAGCCGGACTCAGCCTATCGCGACCAACGTTTGCTTCCACCGCCAACGAACCTTCGATAAACTGCACCGAATACGTGCCGTTGCCATGACTTTCCGTGATTTTGGCCGATTTGGTAGCTTTCCCATGATCGGACGACACCTATATATATATACATTCATATGAGCGCATAATACTACATACGAAGCAGAGACACTGGTCATCGTACATGAACAAACTCGTGGAGTTGGAGTTGGGGCAGCACATCAGCTACAGCCACGCGCGGTAGAATTTGAACCAGATGGTCGCGACGGCACCATACTTCAACAGGTCGATTCGACACGGGCGGCACTTCGTCCGTGAAGGCCACCAAGTATGGCGTCTCTGGCGCGTCGTGACTTGCGTTGTAGTCGACAATGGTTGCTTGGCGCAGTTCGTGAAACAGTGTCACATCTCCAACATACACGACATCTCCAGGGTGGAGTTGCGGAAGGACGTGGTCTGGAATCGCCAACGACACGGACCAGTGCAGGTTGGCCGCGACGAGCACATCCACAAACTCGTCGGGGTATGTCTTGACGACGCGGCCAGGGTATAATTGGGTTGCTCCGTCCGGGTACTTGGAAGTTCCTAGCCGCACATCCACCAGGCGACCCACTTGGAGGGTGGCGCGAGTGGGGACATTGGCCTGGACGATGTCACCGACATGCAATTGCGGCAGCGATCGGGTGGCAGTCTCTACGTCGGGTAGGTCTAACCACCATCGAATCTCGCGTCAACTACACCACACCATATAAGTTTTGGTCAAGGATACCTGTCCAGTCGCAGAGCGATGCCAGGGTGCCAATGAGCCGGGGGGTGAGTTCCCCGTGCAGGCGCCCCGTGAGCTGCGACTTGGCTTCTGCGACAAAGCTCAGGAGTTTGGACCATCGTTTCAAAATATCGTCCAGGGGAACCGTGTGGCGGAACTGGAGCCGGTCCTTGGTGTTGGCGGCCAACGCGTGATGGAGCACAAACAAGAGCAACTTAGGCGTGTGTTTCCAGTGCAAAGTCGTACTCGCGTGCATTTTATGCAGCTGCGCCAACAAGACTTCACTGAGGTTTTGACCGGGCGACACTGGGACGTGGCACACATCCCACAGAAACTGCTCGGCAGTTTCGCCGAGCGCCGCCACACTCCGTGCGTCAAACTCCAAACTGGCGTGCTGGTACGTCTCGGTCAAGACGCTACACCACCATCATCAGACATGTTCACTTCAAATGCAAATTAAAAAACAACAAAGCAAACGAACGCAATCGACTGGTTACCGTTTGATGTAGTCGGCGCGGTTGAGCCCGACAAACGATACGACCAGCGACACTTGGATCACACTGGCGTCTCCTTTCTCAGTGCACTTGCACGCTACCGCCACGGGTGTGCTGTCCATCGCCGGATGCAACGGCCACGAGCCGACAAACGTGCGCCCTTTTTCAATGTGGTGAAGTACCACGTCGTACGCAGCCACCCTTGTGACGTCGTAGGTTAAGCCACAAATGGCCTGCTGGTGGACATGTTCTCGCAGCGCCTTCTTGCTGTCGTGGCTCATTTGCTCGGCTTTCGCATCGTACATGATCACATGCCCTTCCACTGTACGGGGCACCAACGCCCATGTCATCGTGTCCAGGAGATCGTCGTTGTCGACGCTGGCGAGCATAATTTCGGCTGCAAAACGAGTCAAGTGGTTGGACGTGTTGATAACCACTTGGGTGGACGGAGAGGCGGTTGTGTGATTCGCAGCTGCTCCTCCTACTACTGCCACCTTTTTGTCATCCACATAATCTTGGTGGGTCAACTTGAGCTTGAAGCGAAGTCGACCGAGCACTCCGTCTTCGTCCGAGTTGCCTATGACCGTTGCAACAATATGACATCTTGATTTCTGATATTTTTTGAATAGCTCTTACCTTTGGCTTTTGCCCACGTCGACTGGCCCGCCTTGGTGTCTCTCAAAAGCCGCTCAAACACTTCGACTTCGCCATTCTTGGACACGTCCAGCACCGTCGACGTCGCCGAGCCTCCGGGCCCCGAGTGGTGCAACTTGACTTTTCGAATATATCCGCGCTCGTCCTTGCCGAATTCGAGCTTGAGGTACCCCATGGGGTCGTTGGCGCTGTACGTGTCGTGGTCAAAAAGGCGCAGCAGCAGCGCTTTCTTATCGTGAAGATGCGTTTCGTCGGTTCGGCCAAGGGTAAACTGCTGATTTTTCCACTTGGGGTTCAGTGTGCTGGGCACGATGTCGGTCTTCCCGCAGGCCTTTTCTTCATCTTGCATGTTGACGAGCAAAACGACTACATACGGGTCGGACGTTCGGATGTCGGAAATGATCAACTTGCGCCCCTCGACAATGTCCACTTGCACGATCGACAAGACCGGTGGTTTGTTAACCTTAGCAGGGGACCCCAATGGTGACGAAATGGTTTTCTTGAGCCGATTGAACCAGTTGGAATCGTTGACGCTGCTCGCCTTGTTTTGCATTTGAATCGCCCGCTCCACCTGCTGCGCCAACGGCGGCGGCAGCGGTGTGCTCCCAACACACGTCTTCTTGTCATGTTTTTTCATTTCCACCCGAACGCGGACCATTCCGAGCTCCCGGCGCTGTAGCATCCCCCTCTCCGGGGCCAATTTGTACCACCAGTCGATCTCGCGCTGTTCCGACAGCGACTGTAGCTGGATTTTGAAGCAGCCCATGGGAGTTTCACCGTTGGTGCACTCGGCGAACTGGCTCACGCACCCCTCCAGGTCGGTGGGGCGGAACGTGTAGTTGAGGTCCAGGCACTTGTCGCGAACCTTTGCCGGGTCCAAGTCGCCGTCCATTGTCCGGAAGTCTTCGCGGAGCATGTCCTTCTCGATCACAGTCTCCATGTTGTTGTTGTACTCGACGTCGTACAGCAAAAACAAGTCGCGGATCGCAATCGGCTGCTCCAACCACGACGCCCGCGTCGTGATCTTGTAGCGTTCAAGCAGATCCTTCAACCGAAGCGGCGCCGCATCGATCAAGAACTGCTTCTTCACGGGGTACGTTGCGTCGGTAAAAGGTGTGCGGATGGCCACAATGCGCGCCGCATACTCGTACCCTAACGCGTTTTCCACCGTTAGACCCCCCCTCACCAACCAACCAAATTTAACATAATTTGTACCTGGAGTGTACTTGCGGGGGTCGGTAGGACCAGGATCAAACCGATTGCTTCGGGCATACTTGGCGGAAATCGCCAGTCCTTCGGCGCCTGCTTTCTTGAGCTCGGCGCGAAGGCGGGCGCGCACCTCCTTGACACGGCGGTCTGAGCTCCGGGGGGCGACTTGATCGTGGCCAAACACGCGGTTCATCAAGTGCTGGAACGACCCTTCGAGGTCGCTCGATGAAAAGTTGAGAGAATGCTCAATGCACTTCGAGTGTAACACTGCCGCGTTGAGCCGGGACACGAGCACCTTTTGGCGCTTCTCCAGCGTCACTTTGACGCCCGCCATGAGCATGGCCTGCATCCATACTTGGGAATCCTGCGCTTTGAGCACCACCTTGGCCTTCAAGTCGGGCAGTTTGCCCAGAAAACTCGCGTCCACGTCGGCGTCCGTCATGCGCATCAACTTGCTCGTGGACGGATGGGGGATCAAGAAAACGGGCTGGCGAATTTCAAAGCAGTCGGGGCCGTGGGCTGTCGGGTTGGCGTAAGTGACGATCGTGTTGGTACCGGACAAGTCGATGACCACCGTCGCATTGGTTGTATGAACAGACTCGTACAGGTACAGGTATTTGTGATCTGGACGGAAGATGCAGTACCGCCACTGCCATAGCGTTTCTTGGGGCAGTCGCAGCGATGTCGACACGTTCGGGACGGTCAAGTGGGGCACTTTGACTCGGCCGAGGCTCTCGACGGCGTCGACAGCGCTACCGATCATGTTTGACACGGAGCTCAGCGTTCCGAGGAACCCCGCGGCGTGGCTGGTCAGTTTCTTGCAAAACAGTTCGCCTTCGCTCGTATCGCAGTCGACCTCCCGTACCAAATCCAATGGCGCCGTGCTGTCCGCCGCGCGGATGTGCAGTCGCTCGAATTCGAGGTTGTGCATGCGGTAGAATCGGTCCGATTTGTCGGCAAAGTCGCGCTTCTCGCTCACGCTTTCGACAAGGCCAACGTCGAACAGCGCCTTGAGCCACACCACGACGTGCTCGCGACCCTCAGGCGCTTGCATCGCCTCCGCGTTCAGAAGCAGTTCTGGGTCGGTCCAATTCAACTTAGTGTTGTCGTCGCTGAGCTCGTTCCAGGCAAACTGCACCCACTCGTCTTGCCATAGCACGCTGGGGCGACGAAGGATCCACGACACTAGTCCTTCGCCCGTGAAGCACGCCGAGTACTTGAGCAGCAACCCTGTGGATATATCACGATTTGGAATCAGATTCCGACTATATGATAGATGGGGGTCTTTGGAATCAGAATCCGAAAAATATGATATATTGGGTCGTTGGAATCAGAATCTGAATATATGGTATGTTGGGTCGATGGAATCAGAATCCAAACTGTGAAGGGGAGTGGATAGAGTAGAAGGCGAGGTAATAAGTACCTCGCTCCATAGGTAAAAAGTCACTGAATGGTGCAAGGGCGTCTTGTCTGGCCTTGCGCAATGCTAGCCACGAATCCAAGTCGGCGTCCGGGAGTGGCATCTCGGGCAGCGATCGGACACCGGCGATCATCAGCAGCTGCATTTCTAGGTCCACAACGATCTTCTTGCGGACATGCACGTTCATTTCGTTGATGCGGCGGTTCAGCCACTCGCTGTCAGGGTGCGCGCTTAACGTGTGGACGGCGTTGAACTTGAGCATGTCGTCGCGCGAGAGCCCTTCAAACTCGTCGAAGAGGGCGATTTCCCGCAATGCCCCCAGGACATGGCGGTAGATGGCATTGAGTGCAGTGCCCAAATTATCGATTTGTCGGTTCTGGCGGGCCGTGAGGGCCCCCCGCAGCGCCTGGCGCCGAGCCAGGTATGTGTACACAACCACAGTTTCTGGAACCCACAGCGCTTTCCAGTTGAACGCGGCCATTTGTCTTTCCTTTCGCAAGACGTCATTGTACCATTCCGCGACGCCTTTAATCACCAAGGCAGTCGAGGTATTGGGGGTCAGCCCCGGCAGAATCACATCGTCGTCGACAATGCGAGGCGCGCAGGTGGTGCGGACGTGGATGGCACCGTAATACTTGTTGTACGGCTGAGAGGTCTCGGGGGGGACGATCTTTAAGTGCCAGTTGCCCACGCCCTCGTCACATGCGGCCAGGTCAATCTTGACCAGTCCCAAGCATGGATGGTCCAGCGAAGGAACGTCCGCAGAGCCTTGGTCAACGATCCGGATAACCAACGCCACCGTCCTGTCCAAGAAGGGCTTGTCCAGCACGAGAGGGGGCACGGAGCTGCTGAGGCTGATGCTGCCCGGATTATTGCTTCCAGCCGGAACCACATAAGTCCACGTGGACGTAGTCGCCGTGGGGGTCTTGCCCTTTTTACTCCACTTGCCCCCAAACTTGGGGGACTTGGGTTGTTCGTCGGTGGGGATATTCGACGCAGCCGTGGCCAGAATTTCCCCCCGTGAGTTGGTCGTGACGCCGGCGTGGTCAATCGAGTACGCAACTAAGGTCACAATCACGGCGGGGCGGACGCTCGGGTTCGGCAGTGGGAACTCTGTCAGCGACAACACTTGCAATTGCACTTGTTCCCACTTGTCGTGTCTCGCCGTTGTCGTCGAAGCTGAATGCACGACCGACGTGTCCACAGCATCATTGAATGCTTTCACGGGCTTCAACGTCCGGATGGGGACGCGGGAAAGGTACTCCCCTCTGCCGCCCGCCACCAACTTGACGTCCACGGTGCCGTCGCCTCGGACGTACGCGATTTCGCCTTGCACGTCGTAGCTCATGAGTTTTCGTATCTTAGAGATCGAGTCCAAGCTGTCTTCAAACAACACAAGGTACATGTCAGATGGAAACGGGGTGTAGTGGCGGACGCGGGCCGGAAAGTAGTTGCCGCCGTCCGCGCCACATTTGCGGAACGCCAGCACCTTCTGATCGTACTCGAGGACGTCCGTGATGGGGGCCGCGTCGACGTCACCCCACGGGGTGACCTTGCGCAGCTGCGACCTCGGCACGACCACCGAGTTGTGCGTTTCGTTCGGATTCCCGAGCTTCTTGAGCACACTCGTGTCCAAATCGGCCCAGTCGCGGTCGTAGAAATGCACCGACAGATGCGACATTTGAGTTACGTCAAAGTTGGACCCAAACACAAACTCTTGTGTCGGCCACACGGGGTTGCGGCTCTCATACACGGTGAGGCTTTGCCGTTTGGCGGCCAACAAGACGTCGCCACTGCCCCACACCGGCGTGACCGTGAAGAACGGATCCGCTTCCGAGTTGCGGTCACATGTGATGAGGTTCCGCCCGCACATGACGGTGACCCGGATGTCGTACGGAAAGCCTTCGTTCCGGTACACGACGGGGGGGCCAATATCCGCCAGGAGGCCTTTGTAGCTCAGCTGCAGTTGAAATCGGTCCGTGGTCCATTGCGGTTCGCTGCCAGCCACCGACACGGTCCTAACAGTGTCTCAGGGTGAGCGTTTTCGTCGAAACCGTGACGACGGTGGTCCTTTGATTGATTGTATGTACCGAATGATCTGACCGTCTTCATATACGGACTCGTCTTCTTCCATGGACAGGACCGCGTCCGCACCGACGCTTCCCTCGCTCGTCACAGACAACGCCGACGTCATGCTCGTCAGCATTTGATTCTGACGCATGAGCAACTTGGCGAGCACGGTCGCGTTGCCCATGACTTCGGTTTCAAGGCACAACTCCCCCAAATGCAAGTTTTGCTACATTCCATTCCACGGTGAACAATTCGTACATTAACAACCATCCGTCCGCATAAGGACATACCTTTTTCATCCATGGCTCGGGGGTGATGGGATACCGCTTGGTCACTGCGACCGAGTTGATCGAGGTGGTGGTGGCCGACCCTTGGCACAGATCTTGCAGAGGAATTTCCACCCGTCCTAGCGGCGTGCTCTTGCCAATGTTGTTGTGGTCTTTGACATGCACAAGGAGACTCTTGGCGTCGTTCAAGTCAATGTTCTATGACATGTGGTCGTCACCACCTCGAATTAGTACTACTACTACTACTACTACTAGCTGTTGCGAGTAGTCATGCAGGTCGTACATAGCCAAACGTAAAGTCCTCGTGCTTCCACACTGGGTTGAGCGTCTTGCTCACCACCGCCGTGCGTTTCTTCTCCTGCTCGTATGGCATGTCTTGGGGGTTGGTCAGAAACAGCGTGCAGTACGGATCGCTGTAGCCGTTCAAGTCGCCTGCGATAAAGTTGTGGCCAGACACAACCCGCACCCGCAGGTACGGCCGGTCATCCGTCATCACTTGGCTGCGCTCCATGCGCGACTCGTTGCGGCCGATGCGCTGCCGGCTCGGCGACACTTCGCCCGCCACGGGGGTCTTGCCCCAGATTGCATGGCGCACCGCCCCCACATTCAGGTTGATTTCACGTCCTAACCGTCATAACAATGGAGTAAATCTCGTTTGTGTACAATGTTGCTTTGGGGATTAGGAGCTAAATAAAAGGCGTACCGTCGCTGTCGTGCTGCACCACACGTTGGGATTGCATGTGCTTGATCGCTGGCGTCTTTGTAGCTTTGCGTGCCAAGTACGGTTTGTACATACGCTTGGCTTTGGTGACTGCCGCTGTGGGCTCGACGTCAATGCGTGCGTACGTGCCAACCCCAGGCACTACAACACAGCAAGCCATACCATATATTTAGCCTTCCTTGTCAATGCAAAATACTCCTGGGGCTTCTTACTGTTGACGCGATCCCCCAACTGCATGTTGTGGACCCCAACCACAGTCACGTCCAGCAACGAGTAGCCTTCAATATGCCCCCGACTCTGAAACACATCTTCGGGGGTTTGATGTCGCGTGTTGGCCTTGACCAGCTGCGAATGGGCGGCGTGGAGGTACCCGTTGACGCCGTAAAACTTGGGGTGGCGGATCTGGTATCCGTCTTCGGCACACGACACCCTTGCGCCGTCCAGGTCTCGCATGGACTGTAGCATAAGGAATTGTGCGCTTTCCAACCTACCACACGTATATATATATATGAGATACGGTCATCTACTAAGCCCGTGGAAATAACAGGCTTACTCTGTCTGTTCGATCGACTTGGCGTTGGCTGCAGCATTGATGGCCCTAGGTATGTTATGTTTGCGGTTGAGTATGTATGTGTGCTTGGCTTGTATTAGACTGAACGAACCGTTTGATTTGCTCGCGCTGTTCCTTTTCGCCTCGGGTTTCTCCAATGAGCAGCAATTGCAACCGCACTTCTCCGACTTTGGCCGGGGGCGACGCGTGCGAGTACAGCGGGTACCAGTTGGCCACCTATGTCACATATTTGTATCATCGCATGGATTGATTAAGAGGCAAGGAAGGACTAATAGGTACCTTGAATGCAGAGACTGTGTTTAGATCTACTTCCACCGACCCCAGGGCGACGCTCAGCTTGGCGTTTTCCACGTGATACAGTGTTGCTTTGACGTACCCCGCGCGGTCAATGTCTGCCACCTGCGACACATGGAATAAAGAAGATTAACGTGCAAAACACAGCACAAACACTTGAAATGAATTGAGAACTATTTACATACCCGGCCACACACAAAGTTGGCGTCGGGGAACACGGGGCAGATGGTTTTGAACTGCACAACGGTGCGGAAGAGCTCGTTTTTCATGGCCGCGTGCGTCTTGGCATCCAAGAGGGTGATTTCGCACATGGGGTTCACTGCGTTTGTGGGCTGACCCGTAGGGTCCTTCGGGTCGACGTACACCAAGTCCTTGGCTGCGACTACCGTCACTTCGAGGCGGTTGTCCGTTTCATCCAGCGACGACGTGAGCTGGTGCTTGGTGGGGCTGGAGCCGCGCAGCTCCAAGTTGCGGAAGAAGTCGGGGAGCCCCGCGCCTTTGAGGTTCATGATCAAGTGCAGCTCGCCGTGGTCTCGCTCGTCCATTTGCCGTTCGTTTTGGCCAAACGCGATCAAGTTTGTGGTCGGCCGTGCCCCCGTCAGCGGCGGGTCAATGTGAAACCAATGGTCAATCTAATGTATGTATGTATCGTCTGTTTGTTCCCGGGTTCCATGAAGGAAGGTCGTACCGTCTCCGATGACGTGGCACTTGCAACGTTCATCTTGAAGCAGCCGAGGGGCACGGTGACAACGCCAATGTTGTCGTCTTTGGTAAAGTTGTCGTGGTCGATGATTTCAAAGCGAATCGCGCCGACGGTATTCAAATCCAATTTCTACCCTCAACAACAAACATCCACACACATACAATCAGTACGAACGCACGATCGAGACAATAATCGGTTGCCACGTACGTCGCCAAATCGCATGTCACAGTTCCACACTGGATCCAACGCTTTGTCGATAATGTTGGTTTTCTGCGTCGTGTGTTTGATTGGGAATGCATTTTTGTCCAGTAGCGTCACCCCGACATACGGGTCACTTGTGCCGGACGTGTCGGCCGCAATCAGCCCCTTGGCTTGGACGACTCGGATGTTGAGCAATACCCCGCCTTGGACAACCGACGATCCTTGTCGGGACAGTTCTCGCGACTTGAGCGACGATGGCGGCGGCGGCGGCGGTGGTTCCAGCAACGACGCTAGGCACGAGTTGTCGTCAGTTATGAACCTAAACGAAGAAAAGGGGTCCTAGGGGGGGGTATGTACAGTACCTTTGCGCACGACATCTTTTGTGAATCGCGCAGCATCAAACAAGGCGTCAACCCACGCCTTCTTTTCCGCCTAGTTGTTCAGGTTGGATACTCAATCGTGATGTGATGAAACAAGGATGAGAGTGTGAATGACATACTTCAGTCGTGGCTTGCACGTAGAAGACTTCGGACGTCGGGGACGACTTGACGGACAAGCACAGCGTGTACCCTTGGTCGTTGTTCAAGCTCACGACCGTGTCCAGCCCCAGCTGAATCCGTCGTCGAGGCTCCAGATCCTCCTTGGACTCAAAGTACAATAGCTCGCCCGGCACGAGGCGGAAGTACCGCTTCCGCCAGTTGGTCACCAACGCCGCATCTTTGCTCCGCTTGGTCAGGTATCCCTCCTTGAGCACCGGTGGCGGACTCGTCATGACGAATTCCCACGCTTTCGAAAGTGAACAAACTCCGTTTGGAACAACTTGGAGGTGGTTACAATCTGACGCGACCTTTCAACATCCAATCTGACATGTACCTCTCGTGGTGATCGACAGAATGATGGTCGTTTGAAACCGTCAAGACATCAATTTGACTGTCGAACGACCTGTAGCGATCGATAGGTACAGTACGCTACATGCGTACGTACCTCTACAAAGTTTGTTAATTCGCGAAGGCCACAACAAAAGCTGCTTGATGATGACACTTTCATCGTTCATACTGGAAAATCAAGGGGTGCATTGGCTCTGTCCAAGCTAGATGATGCGAGCCCTCGTCCCTCGATTCCTAGACCTACAGTGTCTTGAATAGCCGTGACTTGCTCCCCTGGTCGTCAACGAGACTTCATCACTATAATCCTTGGCAGCACACCGTCTACTGTTCTTCGCTGGAGCATGTAAAGGCAACAACGGCAACTACCCTGGAGTAAGAGAGTGACTATTCAAAGGAACCTCTTGACAACACGACTCCTGTATTGCTACAACCTACTGGAGTACGTAAAGTTACTTGCGGCTAACTGGTTCGTTAGTATATAATGCCGACAACAAACGGTCCTGCTAGTGGGAATCACTTGCAGCACCCTCCATTAGCCTTCCTTGGCGGTTTAGTCGCTAGATCGAGTCGAAGGAGGGGGTCTGGTGCCAACGTTGGCCGCCGGTTTGGCAGCGGCGACATCGCATTCATACGTTCATACTCCAGATGTTTCTTCAACAGAGACCGGGAAACCGCGTCGAACAGCCCAGTCACGCCCTGGCCGGTCTGCGCGCTCGTTTGATGGGCCGTGGCGCCGATTTCGCGCGCAAATGCTTCGGCGAGGGCAAAATTGAAGGCCGTGGGCAGGTCACACTTGTTCCCGACCACGGCCAGCACGATATCGTCTGTGACATACTTCCTCAGGTCGCTCAACCACCCCTTGGCCTGTGCACGAAACATCGCAAATCAGAGTTGGTTCGTGGAGAGTGACAAAGAACGCTACCTTTTCAAACGTATCTTCCTTTGTGACGTCAAAGACGAGAATTGCCGCCTTGGCATTGCGGTAGTACATGGGAGTCATCGAGCGAAAGCGCTCCTGGCCGGCGGTGTCCCATATCTGTAGGGTCATCTTGTACTTGTCCAGCGCGATGTGCTTCTGCATAAACGACGCCCCAATCGTAGCCGCCGTCAATATGTTGAAGTTGTTGCGGCAGTACCGGATTGTCAACGACGTTTTGCCGGTGTCTGTGCACCCGACGATCACGATCTTGCGATCGATGCCGACTTCATCCATGGGTTGACAAAGCGGAACAACGCTTTCAAAGTGAAATCAACTGAGGTCATCATTGACACATTTTAATTTGTTTTACAAGGGTATTGAATGTCACAGAACGGTGCAATAGCATTAATCCCTTTTTACATCGAGGATTCAAGAGAACTAAACGTGACAGGTTTTTGGTGTTGCTTTTTATCCGACCATCGGCACTTTGACATTTGAAACGTGTTTTAAATGAGTCACAAATATTTCTGCACTAGATTGTATCCGACCGTGTTCATTTCAACGACTGAAACGTGTTTTAAATGTGTCCAGAGTAGTACTACGTAGTATTTCTGTACTAACGTTAGTATTAATACTATTAATAGTATTACCGACCTGTGGTAGAATCTGGACATTTGAAACGTTTTTTAAACGCATCAAACATATTTGTACTGTGTGTAAAGACCTCCTAAAAGCGGTAGTATATTTGTCACACATTACATTATTATATCCTTTTACCCAATATTTGGACTTTTGTGCTGATTCGCCAAATCTATCGATCGATTCTTTGTCCTGACTTATTTTGCATGTAAAGATCGTCCAGTATCACACGAATTTCAATCATACACTAATTCGATGTTGAATTCTTCGAAGAGTGGATTTGATTGGCTAGTTGAATTGTGCTTTCGAGCTAAATGTGGTGTATTTTCGGTGGATTCGACGAACAACGTCAAATCCACATGAAATCGTCGAGACGTCATTTTACTTGAACTAAATATACTCACTGTGACTTCTGTCCGATACAATGTTGAACTCTTTGTGAAATGGCGAAGCTTGGCAATGCATTAATGAATTCTACTTCAGAGTTCAATTAGGAAAAACCGTAAATCCCCCCCCGAAACAGCGCACACTGTTGCGTAGCGGAGGTCGCGGGCATAATTTTGTCTTGGCATCACCGAATGTCCTATCGATTCATCTTGTCAGGAAGAGCGGCAGGTAGACCGTAGACCGTAGGCCGTGCCGCTACCGCTAGTGACAAGGCCTGTTGTTCTACATCGATTTACCGTGAATTGAAAATAGTTTAGGGTGCGTCTAGTAACCGGAAATATTGCAATATTCAGGTTTTGGGGCCGAATTCAACAAATTTGATCAAAATTGAAACATGTCTTGCTTGAAGAGTTTTAACCCAAATCCAATAATTCCAAGTGGGATTTACTCGTTGAGGTGGTCCAAAACGGACCGTTTACCTCCATTTTGAAAATGGCATATTTTGGCTCATCCGATTTTGCGAGAAAATGGAATATTATTTTTGAAATGTTTCCAGACGCACGCTTAAATATTAAACCAACCGGTAGGTAGGTTAATCCCGATGGTGTGGTTTTCGTCATTTACAAAACCGGGTCTCAAAATTAACCAAGGGTGCGTCTGGTAACATTTCAAAAATAATATTCCATTTTCTCGCAAAATGGGATTATACAAAATGCCATTTTCAAAATGGAGGTAAAAGGTCTATTTTGTAATATGGCGTAAATCCCACTTGGAATTATTGGATTTGGGTTAAAACTCTTCAAACAAGACATGTTTCAATATTGATCAGATTTGTTGAATTCGGCCCCAAAATGGGGTTTTGGGGCTGAATATTGCAATATTTCCGGTTACCAGACGCACCCCAAATATTTATCCAATACTACCTATTAATAGTAACGTTACTACTACTGTATATTATGCAGCTCAATGAAGTTGATGTTGTTGGCTACAACAATATCTATCTAATACTACTTGTAGTATATCTGCAAGACACTAGACAACATGGGAACGAGGTAAATGTGGTTTTTCGTGGTGTTAATCGCTTGCGTTCTATCGTTGTATTGCAAGCAACGATGCAACACATCGCCGTCTGTTTCTACCTCCATCTATCTCCTCGCACCCTCTCTCTTTGTGTACTTTTTCTTTTCGAGGGTGTTCCTAGCGATTCTACTACTAGTATTTTTGTGTTTTTGGTTGTATCGAGCCCTGGAGCTGTATGTGCTCGTCAAGTCACATGGCACCCAATGAAATTTTCATTTTCCGGCGCTTGGGCATGGGCGGCGACTCGTCCTTGACCGACGGCTTCTCGAGCGACAGGGGCGGCGGGGGGGCATCCACTCTCGTTCGCTTCTCGGCACTGGGGGACGCCGCCACGAGCAGCGGCGACGGCGCGGGGGGGATCGGCGTCGGTTCGTCCAGCACGATCGCGGGTCTGGTTTGGTCCTTGGAGCTACTGGTCGCCGGGGGTTGTTCGTCCGTCGGTTGCAGCTCGCTGTCTTGCTGTGACAGCACCCCCTCCGACCCAGACGACGTCGACAGCACGGCAGCCGCCGCCGCCGCCGCCTTGTCCGCTTCCGCCTCGACCTTGGCCTGCTCCTCTTTTTTGCGTTTGAGGTACTTTTGGCGCTGATCTTTCGCCGCTTTGAGCCCCCCCATGTCGTGAAACACAGCTTCGGGCAGGCTCTTCCACCCGAGCGCTGTAATGCGGACGTCCATGCCGTCCACCCGCTTGGGCCATCGGTACAAACTGTTGAGTTTAAAGTCATCGACGGCGCTATCGAGGCGTACTTCCTTGCCGCGGAGCTTGGTCTTATCCACGTCAAACGCTACAAAGTACGTACACCCAAACTTGCCTTGAGCGTCTTCGCTGCACAAATCAAACTTCTTGGGGTACACGCGCAGCCGGCACAGCTGCGGGTTGTGGTACGCTAGCGATTCGATAAACTTGCGTAGCCGCGACTCGGCAAAGCCACACCATGCGCCCTGGTCTGCCGCGTCCGCCACGTACATTTCCACGGCAAGGTAATGCTGGTGGTCCACAAAGTACTCTGACGGGTCGAACAGCGGCGCCCAGTCTGCGCCGCCCGCCGCGATGATCGTTTTGACCATGGCATACCCCCGTGCAAACTCTTCTTTCATCACGCTGAGCGAATGCACAGACACATTGTACGACGAGTTCATGCTCGGGTACGCCGGCGTCAAGATGGGCATCACCTGGAAGCGGTTGCCGCCAACGTTGGCGTTCCAAATCTCGAGGCCGAGCTTGGCGTCATATGTTTTGCATAGCTACACAACCCATACACACATGAGAGATGACGGAGATGATAGAGATGAGACGGGACCTGGATCGCGGACGGCCACTTCCATTGCGACAACACCATGAAGAAACGAAGGAGTAGCGTGGACGGCGCCGCCGTCGGGTACAGCTGGTTGATGAAGCAAACCAAGATGCACCAATTCACACCACCAAGATACCCCAGTTTATTTGAATACAACCCTCGACGCTTGGCCCATCGCCGCACGATGCGCAGCACCGCGATAAAACTACTGCGGTTCGGCGTCAGGTTGATCATGAGCTCTGTGACGCGCGGGCCGTTCAGACTCTTCTCCGTCGCAGAGTCCACGCCGCGGAGGATGTTGTCGTCCAAGATGTTGATGTTGTCTGGGATCGAACTGAGGTTGAGAATGGCAATCTGCAGATCGATGTTGATGTCCTCGTAGTCAAACGTGAGGATCGGCACCGTCGCGCCTTCGATCGCGACAAGGTTCGTCACCTTGGGGTGCTTGAGCAAGATCTCCTTCAACGAACTGAAAAAGTCCTCGCGGGTGACAAACTTGGGCGCGACGCAATTCGTATCGATATCGGCGCCGGGCTCGTTCACTCCCAACCGATACGACCCAGACACGAGCACGGTACCCCCAGCTTCGTTCGCAATCTCCTCTAGCACGCCGCGTTGCAGACACACGTCCTTCACCCATGCCCGGAAGATGCGCCGCAGCTCGGCCAGGATCATCGTGCGACGCTGGATGTTCTTCTCCGTCTCGGTGGGAAAGTGACTCGCCATGAACGCTTCCAGCTTTGCACTGAGTTCGACGTCCACGGGCTCTGGAGGAGTCATTCGGATCGGCTTGTACGCTTGCTCGAGCACGGTACCCGGCGCCGTCGTCACGCTCTCCTGCATTTGCATATCCTTGCCGAATCCAGAAGAAATGTGTGCACAAGAGACCACTGGAAATGCTGCGGAGTTATACTTGTTCCAAGTAATTATAACAAAATTAGTGTCTGTCCGTATACCAGTAGTCGATCGTATTGTTACAAAGGTTTATAACACAGGGTTCTTATGTGAAACCACATTTCGGATAATTGTATTATTTTGGGCGGGAGGTAAATTTGCAGCATTCCTGCTACTTTGTTTCTCATTTTTAATTCTTGTTTCAGTAGAGTAATATCAAGTCTAACCACAACAAGATAAAAAATAAACACACCCAAGGTTGCTGCAAATTATCCCCACGTCATTTCGTTATCCGGAACGCATGAGTTGAGTATCCGGACAACTCGTTTGAACGAGCGAAAGAGGGAGGAGCATGGAACCAGAGCAGATGCAGTTGTGCGCAGAAGTGCTCGATGACATCTTCAAGCAGGAGATGTCAGGTAACGATACATGTGCATGCATGTGGTGCGTTTGTGGGTCAACGGAATGGATGGTGGTAGAACCATTCCGAGAGCGCGTGAACTGGGAAGAATGGGGTCTCTACGACTACCTTCAGATCGTGAAGATCCCCATGGACATGGGGACCGTGCGCGTAAAACTCAACAAGGGCGAGTACAAAAAACCCGAAGACTTTGGGCGGGACATGCGGCTGATCTGGGAAAATTGCAAACTGTACAACCAGGTAGAGTGTCCATCATATCATTCCGACACTCAACAACATGGCATAGGATGGGTCGGATTTGTGGACGGTGGCGGACGACTTGACAAAGTTGTTCGACGAGAAGATGAAGGAGCTCAAGTTGGACGCCGGCGACCCGTCGTCCAAGGCATCTTCGTCGTACGCCAGCCATGTCATCCCGTTTCCACTCGATCATCTCACAAGTCTACTTCATGCAGGGAACCGACGTTGGAGGAGCGCATTGTGTTCAGCCAAGACATTTACAAAATCTCGAGCAAAGATCTGGGCATTGTCGTGGACATGCTGGAGGAGCTGTGTCCTAAAGCGCTCGACAAGGTACGCCGCCTCATCGCAGTCACGTTTGTTGTTGCTGATGTGCTTGTGTGTCCCAGCAGAACGCGGACGAGCTGGAGCTGAACGTCGATGCGATAGACGCCAAAACGTTCAAGGAAATCGACGCCTTCATCAAGGACTGCGTGCCGGGCGGCGCGTTGCCGCGGACGCTCAAGAAGAGCAAGCGCAAGAACAAGGACGGCGGCAGCGACAAGGGATCATCCAAGCGACACAAGGAGTAACCATCGCATGCCACCAACTAGGACTACTGCTTGCATTTTGCGTTACGCGTGCACCCGTTTGAATATATCTTTGATCGACACGACGCCTGGGGCTGGACTAGTACTAGTACTACTAAACCTAGTACTACTAGCCGACAATAATGCTTGCAGATTCAGTCTCGGGACCGGCGGCGGTCGGTGGTTTGTCCGAGGTGGCAGATTAGCGTCTGGATGGAATCGATGGTGACTCCATGTAGTATTCGAAGATGGCGCCATCTTTGGCAAGGGAAGACCTCGCGGTTGCATGGCGGACGGCCCCACTGGCCGCTGTGACTTCCATTGAGACGCCGCCACTGGTACCGGCAAGACGGACCCAGGCACCCCTTGCTGGCTGCGGGCAGTTTTTTGCATGTACTCTTGCTGGATCAACATTGCATGGTTCTGACGGTCAATGGCCTTGGCCTAACGTTTAGGAGTAGTACAGTTGTTGTAATATGGACAAGTAAGTACTCGATGCAGAATGAGTAAAGTACTCGTGGCATGATGAAGGTAGTACCCAATGCAAGATCAAGTGCATACTCATAGTAAGTACTCATCTCGATATGCAGAATTCGAAAGTACTCATGGCATGATGAAGGTAGTAAGTACTCAATGAAGTACTCATCGCAAGATAGTAAGTACTCATGTCAATATGAGGGCACACGACGTGATGAAGGACATACATGACTGGAGGCAAGTGTTGGAGGTGTAGCTCGAGTGGTCGCAGCTAGTAGTTCGTCCTTATGCATGGTTAATAGCACCCTACTCTCGGCAGGTGACAAGGCATGGATAACGGAGGTTTGACTTTTGCAGTCTGTGGTTATTACCCCAGAGGAAGTTGGCCGTCGGTACCGACTTCCCATTCATCCTGGTACATTTCCTTGCCGCGTTGCATGATCTCGTTCCATCTTGGATCGTCGGACGGAGGGGTCTCAAGCGCTTGGCGCGCCGTCAACACTTGCTCCACGCGGTCATGCATGTCGAGCTGCTGTTGTCGAGTCGTCAACTGTCGTTGCAGCGTACTGATGAAGCGCTGGAGGTCTTGCTTCCGCCGCGCGATGTTCTCGGACAGCGTCACTTGGCCCACGTCCAATGGCGAGTGAACTACGTCGAGATGAACACAATGCAAGCAACATGCTTGTCTTGATGAACGTACAACGAGTGCGCCGCCGTCTGCAGTACAGCCTCAGTAGAATGGCGATGCCAAGAAGAGACCCTCCGCATACATACAGCGTAAACGAAAGGTCCACTGGTGGCTGGGTGTGCTTCATGCTGTTCTCATCACAAGGAGGTAGGAGATTGCCTATTTATAGAATCGACAGTGGTCATTTATATTCATTTATTCCGTCCTCATTAAACAAGCTGTTCGATCAATTTCACATTAATGTTATAAAATAAACTCAATAATTACCGAAAAATATCATCGAATTCCAACAAAACATTCAACGAGTGTGATTGGTCCATACGAGGCGATCGAATTCCCTGCCGCGGACAACAACAATAATGGCTGGCCATAAGCGGACTGCCGACGGCGAGATGGCGGCCGCGACGACTGAATCCGAGATCGTGGGCATGCCCCAGAAGAAGTTCTATCGCAGCCGAGCTCATTGCAACCCACTGTCGCACAATGACTCGTTTGACTAGTACGTGAGCCACGTTCCAATCCCCGAACATCCATTCACAATTATGTAGTCCGTTGAACCCTGCCGACATGAACTGGAGTACGCACTTCCCCAAGCTCGAGAACCCGTACGTGCTTCATTTCGTCGTCATACCTGACTTGGGCTGCTTCAGGAAAGTGGACATTTTGGACATTGGATGCGGGTTCGGCGGGCTCACGATCGCCCTCGCCGGTCTGTTCCCTGACAAGACGACGCTGGCAATGGAGATTCGCCCCAAGGTCACCGAGTACGTTCGACTGCGCATTGAAGCCCTTCGCCAGGAGAATGCTTCCACCAACCAGGTCGGTCCTCCTTATCCTCGTCAACGAACCCTTGTCATGATGTCGTAGTTTCAAAACGTGTCCGTGTTGCGCACCAACGCCATGCGCTACTTGCCGCACTACTTTGAAAAAGGCCAAATCCAAAAAATGTTCTTTTGCTTTCCCGACCCGCAATTCAAGCAGCGCAACCACCGCCGTCGCATTGTCAAGTAAAATGCCTTCATTTATTTATTTATAGATGAAATTTCATTTATTCCTCTCTAGCACGCATTTGCTGGCCGAATACGCGTACTTGATCCCTGAAGGCGGCATCTTGTACACGATCACGGACGTCGAGGACCTGCACAACTGGCACGTGGCCAAGTGCGACGCCCACCCCTGCTTTGAACGCATCACGGACGAAGCTGTGCTCGTACGATATCTATCATTTACTATAATTATTCCATCGGTTTAATCGGAAATTATCTATATGTGTGTAGAGCGCGGATCCGTGCGTGGCGGCCATGACCAACGAGACGGAAGAGGGCAAAAAGGTGGCCCGCAGCGGCGGCAACAAGTACATTGCAGTGTACCGCCGCGTGTCGGACGCGCACGTCCAGGCGACGGCGTCGACGTTGTTTTAATCGACTTAACTGTATCGCATATCGTTGTGTTGATTGGCTGGGACAGTATGACACTTTGACTGCTTGGTCAATTGAATTGCCGTGATCAACTAACTAGTCAGACTACTGGTAGAATACCCCCTTGCATGTAGTAGTACAGTATTACGTACAGTATTATGCTTTTCAGTCAAATTTGCATGGTTTGATGACATCGCCAATTAATCGAGCAAATGAGTATGATTGGCTACAACACGAAGGAAGGTTGCAATATGATTGGCTAAAAAGATTGATTGTCGTATTGCAGTTACAAAGATACCTCTTCAATTTTGTTTTATATGAAATTTCGAAGGTCCGGCGATTGTTCGGCGGGTCATACAACCACCCACGGGAGGAAACTTAGAGTAAAAAACACCATATGCGTACTGTAGCTAGCTATTATTAACAGCTAAACTAACTCTATTATGCAAGCTGTGGCAACTTGGTTTCCTGTGGAAAGAATAGGGCACGGAGTCGTAGAAGTGTTTTGAGTTTGATGGCATTCGAGTCGCATTGGATATCATCAGAGGATACCGGCCGCCTCATTGCAATGCCATGGTATTGGTTCTATCTACTCTAGTGGTCGGCAGTGAATGTCGGCCACGACATGCAGCACCTTGGGCGCGTAGGACTTGACGCGCTCGACGTGCGGGCACTCGACGTGCCACGCCTTTCCAATTGCCAGGCCCAAGTTCCGAATCGACCGGATCACATGCTCTCGCCTACCAAGGAAAACTCATCAGCTCTTCCTTTCTCGCAAGACAGACCACATTGCCACTGCAAACGGACATCTCAAGTAGTACTACAAAGTACCTACTAAGTATGTACTAGTAGTAGTGGACATACCAAGTAGTCAGGTCGTCAATGGCGACGTTTTCATGGACATGGAGCCACCCCCCCGTCGGTTTCAAAACTTGCACCGCCACGGGCCATCCATGTTCGCTTTTCGGCAGCAATCTACACCAATAATAATATCAAGAAAACATCCAATTATAAGTTTTGTGCTGGGTTTTATTTTGCTGTTTTTACCCCAAATTGACGCGGTCGGCTATAGCTCCCAAAGAAGGCCCTGTGATACGGTTGTCCCCAGGATGCACTGTGCACTTGTGTGCGACGTGGTTGGTTTCCAAATTGAAGCGCAAAGCCGCAACCGAGTCAGGATTCCACTCGAGCGCATGGACGTAGCTGGCATGGCCATGTACGAGGAAGGGCACAACGTAGTACCCAATGCCAGCGTACATGTCGACGATGGTTTCGCCGGCGCACCCTATGAAAATGATATATATGATACATATATCATGTAACAATTTTTTTAAAAAAGAGAATATGATTTCCATATATTTAAACGAAATTTTATGAATTAAAAAGAACAACATTTAGGATTACTTTAAAAAAGTTTTTTATAGAAAAAAACAAAATAACATATAACGCACAGTTTTAAATGTATATGATATATACATCGTTTTCTGGTTTCCAGTACCAATCTTGGCCATGCGGGCCTTTTCCGTCACGTTGCCCGACGAAAACATCACTTTTTGGAGATCCCATGCATACGTCAACCCGTTTTCACGCACTTGGACCCATCCTTCGCCCCTTTATATAGATCAAAATATATACTCTTTTGGGGATTTTACGGATGTACCGTGAAGTTGGGGTAAACGACGGGTGCACATAGAGTAATTCAACGTGACTTTGGCGCTTTTCATTCGTGTCCACGTCGGCGCTGCGTGCCACGCGCTTGAGTGGCCGTGGGGAGCTTTCGCAAACCGACTGCCAAAGGACCTTGGCTTCGTCGCTGACCCACGCGAGTTCTGTAAACGAGTTCTACCATGGTATGTGGTCATCACTGGGTTGGTTTTTTTCTCGCATTTTGATGCATACGATAAATATATACATACATATTGTCGATTTGATAGTACAAAATTTGGGGAGGGGGTGCAATCGAATCGCGCCGACCAAACCGAACCACAATCGATCTGATTGGTTGAATTTCATTGAGAAATGGGTTTTGATTGGTTCATAATTTTGAGCTCATCTGAAGTAGCCCATCAAATCGATTTAAATTCCAACGAGAAACCACGCCACAACACAATGAAATTTCACTCGAAAGCACAATATATGAAGAACTATTTGAGTTTAAATAATACTTTTAACTATCTACAAAGTATCGTGGGTACCTTGGGGAGGACCAACACATCGGCAATGAACTCGAATTTGGCCGCCACGGGCGCCAAGTCGTGCGCAGTGGCAAACGTCTGCAGCAATGAATGCAATACCACCGTCGGATTGAGCTCAGGCTTAACGTCCCTGAGATCGTCCACGATCATGTCAAGCGCAGTCAGCATCTAGGGGATTGTCATGCACATGTCGAATTGACATACAAATGTACAGAAGAATCGGCAGAGATATTTAGCCAATCAGATTCCTGGAAATCATCAGTTCAACCAATCAGAACAGCTAAAGAGTGTGTGATTTAAATTAGTGTGATGGGCACTTGTTCCGCTGGCCTTTTTTAAAATACAAAATTCAGAGCAATATATCGATCGATGGGTTGGTAAAAATCAGCACAAAAGTCCATATTTTGACTGAAAGAACAATAATCTAGGTGCTTTTGTTCCTCTGCTGAAGTAGTAAATACTATACGCATATTGTACGAGTGTTTATTCGAAACTGGAGAATGAATTTGAATCGACATATACACCACCAAATGTACAGAAGCATCGGCAGAGACATTTAGCCAATCAGATTCCAGGAAATCATCAATTCAACCAATCAGAACAGCTAAAGAGTGTGTGATTTAAATTAGTGTGATGGGCACTTGTTCCGCTGGCCTTTTTTAAAATACAAAATTCAGAGCAATATATCGATCGATGGGTTGGTAAAAATCAGCACAAAAGTCCATATTTTGACTGAAAGAACAATAATCTAGGTGCTTTTGTTCCTCTGCTGAAGTAGTAAATACTATACGCATATTGTACGAGTGTTTATTCGAAACTGGAGAATGAATTTGAATCGACATATACACCACCAAATGTACAGAAGCATCGGCAGAGACATTTAGCCAATCAGATTCCAGGAAATCATCAATTCAACCAATCAGAACAGCTAAAGAGTGTGTGACTTGAATTAGTGTGATGACATACAACATTCAGGAGTACAACGAATCAGCATACAAATTGAAGGTAAAAGGACCATCCATACCAAGTCGTCGGACGGCAGCGACGAAGTTGTGATGGGGACTGCAAATAGTGTCATGTCGTCAGCCTAAAGAGAGAACGTCGTCTGCTATTTATATCGGAATTCTTAGTTTTGTTCATGTTCTAGGGTACATACATGTGGATGGATACGTCTGGTCTTGTCGTAAAGACTTAGGCGTTCCAAGTGTGTTTTGATAGATTTGACAGAGTCTTTGGCCACGAGCACGGCATGCAGCAACACCTTTGAGTCGTGGACGGTCGACACAGCAACTTGCTCTGCAACGACCTCACCACCGACGGGAACTTCGTCGGTTCCTTCTAGTTGCGCATGTTCTGCAACTGCCGCCGCCGCTACATGCGCTTGCGTGACCGGCAAATGCTTTAGCTCCTACGTATACAAAATATATCCTTATATATATATATAAATATCGACGCGTAGGATTACAGGATGGTCGTGGTCCCGAAAGCTATCCATGACAGGCACGGTAAAGTACCCGGCAACATCCTACATGTATAAATCCCATATATATGTGGGTTACTAATTGGACCGGTATCGTTCGTTGTATGGTGAGAATATTGTAGTACCGGGATCGGCTGAATTCGCCTCGACTTGTCGTACACGGCCAACGCTTCCACGAGTGTTTTGATGGCTTTGACCCTGGGTTTAGTGACCACGACCACCAGCAACTCGTGGTTGGTGAGTGATTGTGTCGATTTGTTGGACAAGAGTTTGGTTTGCGTGTCCAATATGAACGCGGGGCTATAGACAGCGCCAAAGCCAAAGCACTGGCAGCTACCGCCGACCACCACGACCGCTTTTGCCTCTTCGTCGTATGTCATGGTATGGTTGACAAGCAACGCATCCGATGGAAAGGATGGCCACTGCTTCCACGTCTTTGCTACGAACCCACGACAAGAAAATGAGATATCAAGAGCCCCCATAATATACACTAAGTCGACCCACTTTGCACATCGATCGAATAGAGCTGGTCATGACATGGCCCAGTGGTAGACGTTCCCCCGGAGAGCAGAATGTGCTGGTTATCCACGACACACAACGCTGCGCTGGCACGGGCGGACGGAGCCGCACCAGTGCACGCCAGTTGGGACCAAGCTCCAGTTTTTGTGTCCAAGACAGTAATACAGTTCAAAGTGCACTGGGAGTTTGGATCTAGCTCTTGCCACCCCCCAAACACGTAAATACAAGAACCCACCGCCACGGCTGCATGTCGGAACCGACGGGCGTCGTCTACAAAGCAGCAGGAAATATTAAATATATATATGTGTGTGTGTGGACACGCATGTATTATATTATCATGGAGGTTTCATGCATAGAATGTATGTATATATATAAGCATGTAATATGTACATGTTGTAGTATGTAAAAATGAAGATCATTAAATGGTTTTGATATGTATACTATCCACCGGATAGTGTATGTAGAAAAATAGAAAAACCATGGAATATATATTTATATTATATCCCATGGTTTTTCTGTTTTTCTACATACACTATATATATTATAGTATAATATATTATGCTGCAGTATATAAAAATATGAGCATACCAGACGACGCCAGTTGGTGCCACGTTGGCGGCGACGTCGTAAACGACAACACGTAGACGTCGTTCAATACACTGGTGGCATCCCGGCCGCCCACAACCACGAGTTTGCCATCCACTACACAGTAAACATATTAGTATAAAGTGATATATATATATATCGATCAACATTCCCATCGTGAAGTAAAAACTGCAAAGTGATCATCTTTCAATCCTGCAGTTAGAATAATGCGAACGCACCCCATGTCGCAGTGTGACTCCACCGAGGACACGGCGGGGTGCCTTGGGTTGTGACAGGCACAGCAACGCCGTGGGCAATGTCGACTGTCCACAGGTCGCCCAATGGTTTCGTGGGACTTGTACGACCTCCAAATACAAACATTTTGTCCTGGACAGAGTCGTACACTGCTGAATGGTACATTCGTGGCGGCATGTCCAATTGGACACTTGATTGGTCCTGAGTACTCAAGTCCACCACGACCAAGTCAGCAAGGCGGGTCGTGTTGGTTGCGGTGGGGCCTTGTCCTCCCACAATGCACAGCTTACGGTTCGGTCCTGTGTACATGGGGATTAGTATCAGAACAGTATTCCGTCATCTCGTGTCGAATATATATATATATATATATATATATATCCAAATTTGCCAATTTTGGGAGATGTAGAAATCACCGAGAAATCGAGCAAAGCAGTATGATTGGGTAAATAGAATGAAGGTTGCAGTGTGATTGGCTAACACGAATGAATACTCACAATGATTCCTCGTAAATCTAGATCTATATCATGTATATATCGCATGTCCAGCGATTGCTGGGTAGTTCATTCAACCAACCGCCGGGGAAAATTATATGAGTCGGACACACTATATATGCATTTCAAAACGATCAGTAAATATATATATATATATATATATACACCCAAATAATATCTCCAAACAACGCTGCCAATTCACAGCCAATACACATATTATGAATTGACCCCAAAACAATACGACATACGACATTCCGCAACGAAAACACACACAATATATATATATATATATATATATATATTATATATTTGAAACAGGACATATTCTTTCTTTTTTAAAACGGATTGATTCCAACTCTCACAATAACATTTTTTGCTCGATAATAGTTTCAATCTCATCATACGCTACTACTATAAATGACATCAACCACCACATGCAACTAAATTAAACGCAAAAAAAGGTACCTAGAACAGTGGCATGTCCAGCCCTGGAGATGGCCAACCTGGAGCTCTCAGTCACATGCAGCTGCGTCAGGCGGCTCGTGCAAGTCGAGGCATCGGTTGGCGCTGGCGGGCTGTCAAAGAACAACGACGTCCGCATCGCAGCAAACAGTTTATCGGTTTTGGATCGATTTGCATGGAATTTTTGGTTGGCAATGTCTAGGATCCAGCGCAAGTAGGCGTCGGTGACCATGAGCTGGCCTTGCAAAGCAATGGGAATCTCCATCGCGTTCGCGGTGGTGCGGATAGCCACCATGGTCCGCTTGTTGCCGAGGACGACGCCCGACTCGCGGAATCCACATGCGAGACCCACTTGCAGCAGCGCTTTCGCCGACTCTTCGTCGCGGCATTGCACATGCATGATGAACGGTTCGTGCTTGAAGATGACCTACAACACATGTCGAGATTGAGAGTTGTTTGACGGAGTTTTGCCGGAAAGATCATGATGGAGATGAAGCTTGACATGGAATACGGTGAATGTGTACCATGCCCTGCAGCGACGTGGGGTCGGCGAGGACGCTAGACGTGAACTCGTCGTATGTGACAGGGGCATGCGAACTCACGAGCCACTTGCCGCCTTTCGTGATCAAATGCGAGTCTTCGTCGTGTGGGGTTTGAGCCACGCCGCAGAACACGGCGATGCGACCGGAACAACTGCTGCACGTCACCTAAGCATCAAGACGTGAATGAAAACACACACACTGCATCCGAGAGATATAGGCAGAGTACGTAGTTGGGGTGAGCATTCAGCCGGGTAATCATGTCTACAATCGGAGCATCCACACTTCCTTTCGGCGACTTGTCGATCACTTCTTGCAACTTGTGCATAATCTCACGCTTGGACGCATCAAAGGCCATGTTGCTGTCGTCGCCACCGCCGCCGCCTTTTTGATGATGTTGCAGTTTGAAAACTCGAAATTGGTGGTGTGAAAATGTTCCTAATTAGGAGGATTTGCCCTTTTTAGTGCGAAATCAGTGACATCCTATTGGTTATTAATATCCAATGGAATCCATTACATTATTTTCACGACTTTCCATTGGCTTATTTTACACTAATCACAGACCATTATTTTGTAAAATTTGGATTTTTTTATCCAATGAACGGGACACACTCGAATTGGATTCGTTCTGCCACACAACCTGTCATCATGTCGGCGTCTGCGGCGATCGAGCAACGCAACCAAGATGCGACCATCTACGTGGGCAACTTGGACGAGAAGGTGACGGAAGAGCTACTATGGGAGCTCATGCTTCAAGCAGGGATTGTCGTGAATGTCCACATTCCGCGGGACAAGGTCACGTCGCGCCATGGCGGGTACGGGTTTGTCGAGTTCCGCACCGAAGACGACGCCGAGTACGCGACCAAGGTGATGAACATGATCCAGCTGTTCAACAAGATCATCCGCGTGAAGAAGTCGTCCCAGGACACGAAGACGCTGGACATTGGCGCGAACTTGTTCCTAGGTAACTTGGACCCGGACGTCGACGAGAAGCTTCTGTACGACACGTTCTCTGCGTTCGGGGGGATCGTCGAGACGCCCAAGATCATGCGAGACCCAGACACCAAGATGTCTCGCGGCTTTGGCTTTGTCAGCTACGACTCGTTCGAGGCCGCAGACCTTGCGATCGAGTGCATGAACACGCAGTACCTGTGCAACCGCCAAATCGTCGTCCAATATGCGTACAAGAAGGGCAGCAACAACGAACGCCATGGATCGCAGGCGGAGCGTCTCTTGGCGTCGAGCAACCCGAACAAGCTCAAGCCGCACACGCGCTTTGCGTTCGCCACGCCCGCGGTGCCGCAGCCGCCACCCATGCAGCAGCTGCCACCTCCCCCGCAGCAATATCACCACCAGCAGCAGCAGCAGTACCACCAGCCATACCAGCAACAGCAACAACAGCAGCACAGCCATTACCAGCCTCAACCTCCCTTGATGATGATGCAGCAGCAGCAACCACAGCCCATGATGATGATGCATCCGCAGCAGCACATGCAGCATGTCCCGCCGCCGCCGCCCCCGCCGAGTATGTACATGACGCACGGCGTGGCGCCACCGCCGCCGCCACCCCAGCATTTTTAACCAGCATAAGTACAACCATTCTCATCTCCATGTGTTTATTCTAGTTGATATAATCGAATTCATACAAACTAGTATCTATAGTAAAATGTGCCTATACACATGAAGAACTTTCGTACCCCCACTGAACATATACTACTAGTACACTATACTAGTAGATGCAATGTGCACTTTGACAGTGCCTCATAGTATCATCGCAGGTTTGTTGTGGCGTGCGACATCGCACCATCACACTGTATCGCAGCATCATCCTCATAACTCCAATCTGTTCGTGTTACACCATGGGAGACGCAGTAGCATCGACGAATCTGGTGCCAATCTGTTTGATTTGCCGCAGTCGATCTTCGACGTTGAGCACAAACTCAAACCGGTCCTGGTGCATCTCTCGACACGCCAAGTTGGCGTGGATGGCCGTGAGTCGCACGGCGGCAGCCACCATGTGCCCCGGCACTACCTGGACGCCATGCAGCGGACCAAACGGCGCCAACGTCGCCGCATGTTTGCACTGGACGCGCGTGCGAAAGAGGTCGTCACCGCCGGTTAGGGGCTGCACAAAGATCCGGACGTCGGAGAACTGCCCCCCCAGCGACGGAATCCCATCGTCGTTGTCAGTGTCATCGTAGTCCAAGTACTCAATGTGTACAAAGTCGTTGCCAATGTGGCGCTTCTTGGCAATATGCCGTCCAGAGTCCGGGGGGCTGTCAGATGTAGCGGTGGGAGATGAAGACGAAGTTTCTGGCGCCACCATGAACGTTGCCACGTGAAACATCACCTACGCACATAGGTAGGCTCATTAAGTACTACTCAACAGTACTACTCAATAGTACATAGTACATAATAATACGAGTATCGATCAAAAAAGATTGATATTTCATGTGACGGGGGAGGGGGCAATTTCGGTACTCGTCGGTACATCGACACCGATCCGTTGTATACATATGTATGTGACAGGGTAAAAATAGTACGCAAACACACACTTTGATATATTGTCTTTAAATCGATATTCGAAACTGGAGCCCTCAACAGAATCGAATGTATTAAGCGAATGGATGAAAGAACCACCTAAGCCAATCAAATCACGTCTTGTTGAATGTCTGCAAGGGGCAAATTGCCACAAATATATATACTATTTATTGTATAGTATACTTTGTTCAAGCTTAAATAATAGATCAAATGGATTCGAATGGTATTTGGTGAAATGACTCGCAAGTCCAAACTTGGGTGAAATGCACAATATATATATATATATATGACAAACACGCACTGAAGATATATATATGTAGAAAATATATATATATGTACATAGTGAGAGATCGTTTCCTACTTACGTGGGTGATGGCATCCCTGTAGACGAGGCCATACTTGCCGTCGCTTTGACTTGTCGAAATGTCCAATCCGCCGTTGTACCCGACGAGATGCTGCAGCGGCACCATCTCCCCCAACCCGCGGAGAAACTCGAGGTACCGCGGCGACCCCCCGACAACCTCTAGCAGTTCGATTTCCGTCGCCTTGTCGTGCGGGACGTACAGCACCCCCACTTTATGCGTCTCATATGTCGGACTTCGGTCCAGCACGGCCAGTGCCCTCGACAGCGGCGCGCCTTCCACGAGTCGTTGCATGCTGGGGGAGTCCAAAGCCAGCGGATCCAACCGAAATACCGTCGTCATGAGCTGCATCGGGTCGTTGGATGGAAGCGTCCAAGTGTGGGTAATGGTCGCATATCGAACGGTGATAACTGCGTCGCGATCGGTTGTACACAGGGTGAGGATGCTGCCGCGGTGGTACCACGAGGTCTTTCTACACTCGATGGACATGTCAATCAGAGTGTAGATACGAATACAACCAGAAATATGTGTATTGTGTGAATCAAGATGTCAAAATATAAAAAGAGGCCAATATCGTATATCGATATTTTGGCACTTTCGAATAAAATCGGCAAAAACATGAAAAAACAACAGTCTGCATTAAAAAACATTCGGAGACTGCCATGTTTAAATATCTGTGTTTTATCGAACAAATAAAAGAGGTAAGGGACATATATTTTCAAAAAGTGGCCAATATCAACGTGTGTTACAGCTTGATCCAGACAGTCCAATACAATTGTCAACACTAAAGTCTTTGAATTCCATTGAGACCAAATTATTAGCGACCTATGCTATTTTCATTGGGCAGCACCACCAATTATTGGGAAATGTGGTATCCAGACCCCCCCTCCCTCGTTATCGAATTTTGGGGGTATCAGTCGTCTCAACACAGTATAGGGGGACGATGCTGCGTGGTACGTACGTGGATGGATGACAGGTGGCGGGGCCGTTCAAAGCTGCGACGGTGTTGGATGGCGGCAGGGGTAGATGGTGGACATGGGTCTGGATGAAGTCCACGGCCGCGTCCACAAGGCTTGACTTGTGGGCGTGCAGCAGCGTCGGCAGGATCGCGCGCGCCAAGTGGTCTCGCCGTGTGAATTTCGACTGGGAAAAGCACTGCATAAGCACTTGAAGTGCCAGCGACGCCATGAACTTGGACGCTGGCCGACACAACGCTTGCAATGCCAGCGCCACGACCAAATCGTCAGATTGAACGACTTTATCGTCGTTGGAATTGACTTTGTCGTTAATATCATCATCTAGTGAAGGCGGAAGGACGTGGAGAAAGTTCCACACCAGAGCCAGACATAAGCACAAGATTATTTCAACCGAGTGGACACGTGGTCCATTGATGTCGTCCAGAGGTTTGCACACGCGATGGACTAGGGTATGTAAAATCGCAGGCAGCGTCGCTACCACTGGATGGGGCTGTATCAACGCCATCACGCATAGCCCTACACCACAAGGATATATAGTTCTATTTGAGTTTTTCTATATATATATATATATATATATACTGTTAAAACATTTATATATATACACTGTTAAAACACATATATATACACTGTTAAAACACACATATATATAGACTGTTAAAACACATATATATATACACTGTTAAAACACATATATATACTGTTAAAACATATATATATATACACTGTTAAAACATATA